GCGTTGTTTGTCCTGAGACTTGTCAATCAAGGCTCGTGGAGGGGTCGAACTACAACACTCACCATTCAAGTCCAAAGAAGCCAGCCATCCAGTTCTCCGCTGACTTGAGCATGCGATCTTGTGTCTAGAAGAGCTGTTAGTTTACGTAGCCAGTTTTTTTTCAACGGGATATCAACGAGCTTACAGTCGTGCGAACAATAATCTTGCTCTTGGGATTATACAGCCTGCCATACATGTAGCTGTGGAGCACACCTACGCAGATGTCAGTATGAATTAGGCTCTACTCAGGGGTACAAGCACACGGGGACCTTGATGATGATGCCGCAACGGGGGTGGAGGTCAGCTTACCCGAGTTGTACAACTCCTCACGGCCCTTGGGCACCAGAATCTCAGATCCAAGGTTGTACTCCCAATCCTTGAGAAAGCTCAGCGGCCCCTTGGGATAAAACTTGTCCGAGGCATTGGCAATGCGCTGCGCAAATTTGGTGACGCCGACGCCAGAGGTAGGATAGCGGGCACCATGGCGCGACAGCATCTGGACCTGGACGATTTCGGCCCCAGAGGGCAGCGGGTACTCGTCAACACCAAAGCCCGGCGAGGGAAAGTAAGGGGACAGGTAGCCCATCATCTTGAAGATGGTGTCGTTGCCGGGCTTCATGCCCTCGACGGGGATGGCCGTCTGCAGCGGCTCGTTGGGCACAAAGGTCGCGGTGGGATCAAAGGTCCTCGTCTGGGCCATGAAGGCGGCGCGGCCGGTGGCCGTCGGGCCGGCCCACAGCTCCGGCGATGTCTGGAAATACTGGGGCACCTTGCTGGGCGGCGGACACGAGCCGGGGCCGGGGCCGGAGCCGTAGATCAGGTACGGCAGCGACAGGTATAGGTTGGTCGCCAGCAGGATGACGAGCGCCACGACGAGGACGAGGATCGTGGTGCGGTACCGGCGATCGGCCCGCGACCGGCGCGGCGGCAGGTAGGCTGGGGACACGACTCCCTCCTCCTCGGTGCCATCTTGCGAGTCGTCCTGCCTGTCGTCTTGGTGAACCGGCCGGTAGTCTGAGGTGTCGCCGCGGGCAGGCTTGCTGATAGGCTGTGAGGCGGGCATGGCGATTGATACTACTACTAAGATGGATGTCGAGTCTCGGATAGGGCCAGTTCCGTGGCCGGTGTGCGTTCGACAGCTTCTGCCTGGCGAGCCAATCAATTAGCACGGAGGCCAAGACACCAGCAGGCTGGAAGAGGCAGAAGGAGAAGGAGACAAGATGAAAGGGATCACAAGACGCGCGTCTCAGCCCGTGACGCTGCGGCTGATGCCCGTCCATGATGGGGCCTGTGTACTTACTGGTAGTGGCAATTGGATGCTCTCGTATCGCGTCTCTATTCGTCCCTGCTACCCCAGCCCCTTGCCTCAAGCTACCTAGTCTGGCGGGAACGGTGAGATGCGATGCGATGCGATACGATGTGCTGTGATGCAAGATGCGCCTCGATTCGATGGCGATGGCGACGCGATGCGATCAATGATGCGACCCGCCTCCTTCTATCAGGCGCCCACCCCAAACGCAGCGTGTGGCCTCTGCCGGGTCCGATTCGCTGCCAGGGCAAAAGCGGCTGATGCCTGGATCCCCCGAGGCGATGAATGATATGCCCGTGATGTTGCTGATGAGAGATGAGGTTGGGAAGATGGCAGAAGGGTAGGGATGGAGCTGCGAGCTGAAGACAAGCTGCTGCCCATTAACTGAGACAAAAGGCCCCACGCATAAGCAAGGGGGGCGATGTATCTCGTCCCCTGGAGCTGTATGGAGATGGTACTTGTGCCCCTGGCAGGGAAGAAGGGACGTACAGTGGGTTCTTGGATATATGACACTGTATTTCTCGGGTCCTCGTCCTCCGGTTTCTCAGCGGAAGCACCCTGAAGAAAGGGAGTTCTTAGTGGACGCTGTAGCCCGCTAAGCAAGTCTGACGGGGAAGCAACCCGCCGTTTCGGGTCCACAGTAGCGACACTGTACCACTAACAAGGGGGGGTTTCAATCCCAGAATGGATTTCTCGGCATGCATGTAGGTACCTAAGTAGGTATGAACCTTGATGGACCGCAGCAGCTCGACGACGATGGCTTCCTTTTCTGGGCAACAAGCGAGGTGACCACATTTGGGTTGAGCCCCCCCCTGGACGTGAGACATGGACCCTTTTTAGACTCGCGATCGTGACGAGCATCGAATCGCTCGGGCATCGAGAAACTGCCCTTTGCATCGGAACTTGGCATCGGATTCTTTCTTTCCCGCCTGCGTGTGTGTGTGTGTGTGTGTCCAGGGGGGGGGAGGGTACACTTGCATGGCGCCTGTGTGAGGGTTGCCTTTTGATATCACGGATGCTTGGGTCACCCTATGTATGTATGTATGCCTCCGTCTCATGGCATTCTATCCAATGCATACTCGTGCTTTACAGTGCCTTGCTTTACACAACTTACATCTATAGGTGCCAGATACCAAACGGTTTCTCTCTTTCTCATCATATTCCCAGTCATTAGTCGGGTACTGCATGTCACCACTCTGCAAACCAACCTACCGTCTCCTCTGAAGCTACAACCTGCAGCCATGACGCACCCATCAACCCATCAACCCATGTCTCGCAGGATATGCCCTCCCTTAGTAATTACTACTTACACCAAAGAAGCGTCATCCGATCCCCCGTTCCCCCAGCCATTATCCGATCGCCATCCCTAGATCTCTCTCTCTCTCTATCTCTCTCTTCCCCTCCCCATCTGTCTGTTAGTACCTCGCTCAGTCTGGCTGTCTCATCACCTGGGCTGTCACCGGCAGCAAGGTCCGGGACATGCATCAAGTAATCTGCCACAAAGCATCTACTAGTGAGCACATCATTGAGTCCTGCTGCTACTACTACTAGTAGTATTATGTACCAGCACTGCCGCTCCCGATGCTGGCGACTTGTCATAAAAAACAAAAGCTACCTCATGTGCCTCCTGCTAGTAGTACTAGTAGAGCCGAGCACACGGGACGGTTTGCCAGCCTCAACACAACACTGATCGCCTACTGCAAGGGAGGGGGGAAAGAAAGAGAGACACCGAGTCAGACACCCAGCAGGAAAAAAAAATTGAATAGAAAAAGAAAATCTGAGACAGAAACACAGAGAAAGAGACGCCCGTGTAACATCACCTAAACGCCGCCGCCGCGCTGTCACACGTAGCACAAGGTATTCTGCATCCAATCCCAATTTCTTTTTTTTTTTTTTTTTTTTTTTTTTTCATTCCCTCGTTACCGCGCATCGCCTACCAGAACCATCCACAGCCCCCTCCATCCAGCCTCCCAATACAACTACACCCTTCCTTTTCTCTCATCTTCTCCCTTTTATTCTTTCTTTTTATTACTATCTTTTTTTTTTTTTTTTTTCCTTTTTCTTTTCTTTTTCTTACTTTACCCCCCTTTACTTTCGCCTCATGAGTCCTACTACTAGTGTTCAGCCCTCTATACGAAGCGTGATATGTCCTACTGCTAGCAACCCGCTTACACGTAAATACATCAATACATTACCCAGTCAAGTAGTACCAAGAGAAAACAACAACAAGCCACCGCATCCCGACCCAAGACATTTGTTACAATCACATGCAACTCGTTTCCTTTTCTTTCAGTAGTATTTTTCTTGTCTTTTCTTCGTCCTCGCCCTGCATCTGTGCTCCCCATCATCTAGACCAAGAAAGACGCCTGCCGCGTCTAAGCTAACGCCTGTGTAACCCGGCCCACCCCACTGGCCTGGTCCATCAGATATAGGTAGCCAAGCAGCCAAGGCCCCGCATAGCCCATATTGATCTGAATCAAGTGCAGAAGTCGGCATGAGACATCATGACCGCCATAGTACTCGTAGTATCATCACTCACACACTCAATCACTTATACATACATACCTACATACATGTATACGTCTATACCTACATACCTATACTTAGGTATATGCCTACCTGGTATATACAATACGCTATCACTACATGCATTACCTCTTCTGGCAACGTCAAACACGCAAAAAGCCAGGGTATCGTCAACCCAACCAACACGCAACAACACCCCTGCAAAAGCGGCTGAATCAATACCCTTACCACTACATAGTAGTAGTACCATCCATCCCAGTCTCGTGACCCAATCACCAAAAGAGTTGACTGCAAATGTGTCTCGGCATCCCAATGGCTTGGTTCAGACTATACCTGGTAAGAAAAAAGCAAAAAAGGTGATGTGCTCCACTCTCAACCTCCCATCAAATGACACGCTCACTCCCGTCGCTAATCGAAGGGGGGGGGGGGGGGGGGGGAAAGCCCATGGAGGCCGCAAATTGCTGCTGAGCATGATGCTGGTCAGGCTGGGGAGGATCATCTTCTTCATCATCTACCGTGCAGGGAGTTGCATCTGGAATCGTGCATGGTGAAGCAATAGATCGCCCTGATCGGTTCGTCATGGGCCTGTTTGCTGTTTGCCTCGATAATATCACCCCCCTTGTCCGCAACCAATCTCCAGCCCACGACTCTAGTCACCAAATGTTCTCACGGAAAAGGAAACAAAAGAAACAGAAAAGAAAAAGACCAATCGAATACTAAGTATAAACACACTGTCATTTTGGACCAATCTAACTAGTTCTAATCTATGCCGTTCTACCTTTCGTGCCGGCGTGAGCGCATTCTTGGTGGAGACTGATCCCCATCCGTCTATCTATATAATTTTGATCAAAGTGAAGCAAGGAAAACAAACCCCGGTCTATAGTTTTTTTTTTTTGTTGCTTTTTCTTTTTTCTTTTCGCTCGCCAAAGAACGCCGGCCTTTATGCAGTTGCGTCCGGCGGACTGAAAAAAGAATGTATACGTCAAAGGGGGAGGAAGCCTTTCCCCGTCCATTAGTGGCTCTCGCCTCAAACCCCCGGTTCTCACCACTCCGTGTATCTCGTGAAATCCCTGGTTTGGGGAACAACGCCAATGCCCTTTGACCAGTCAGTTGATGGCTTTCCACTCTAGTTGGGCTGGGACCGCAGAGGAAAGTAGCCAGAAGGCATGGGCTCCAGGTGCCACACACGGGTTCCGGCGTTGCCAAAGGCCTTGTTCCACTCGTCCTCCAGGTCAAGAGGGATGCTCCATCCCATCTCGTCATCGCGGAGTCGCATGCGAACAAGGTGCCTGCGCTGACTGGCCTCCGAGCCGTTGACAAAGCCCTCGCGTCGGTGGAGGATTGCCAGGTTGTTGATGAAATGGATGTCGCCCGGCTGGGTGGTGAACTCAAACTTGGTCGCTTCGGCAATGTCCTGGATGGCGTCCAAGGCCTCCACCTGAGCGGCAGTGAGCGTTGGCAGGTGGGCGGGCCGGGCATGGCTGGCACTCCCCATGAGAGCGGCTCTGCCGAAGTTGGTAATCAGATTCCCATCATGGTGGAAGAAGATGGGGCGGCATTGGAACTTGGGACTAGAGTGAGACATCGTTTGGTTAGCTCTTGTCTTGGCCAGTGGCATCATTCGAGTCTCGAGTCAACTCACAGAGCGAAAGGCCAGTCAGAACGAGCCAGCGTGCGGATCAGGTCCGGACGGGTGGCAGCCAGCACATTGTAGACGGTGTAAGTCGACGCGATGATGCATTTGCCTCCAGTCTTGGCCGCGTTTCTCGTCAGCCAGCTGATGATGTCGCCAGCCTCCTCGTTGTGGAAAGTCTAGTCATTTACACTTGCGTCAGTCATCTGCGGAGACCGGGGTACATGTTGCGAGTGACTTACAATCGGCGAGGTCGAATGACGGTGGTGCTCAGCCCTTTGCTTGGAAGAGTCGTCGGCAATGATGTGAACTAAAGAAGGTTGTTAGTCCACCCGTGTGATTTGGACTCGAGCCGCTCTCTTTCTTACCCAGCATGTTGCCCTTCTTGTCCTGGCGGCCGAAACGATTGGCAATGTGTGCTTGGACTCCGAGATAAATTGTCGTCATGTCTTCAACAGAGTATTTGCTGGAGTCGAGCCCTCGCAGCACAGCGAATCCCTTGCCTTGGTAGATGTCGTTGCGCATGCGGCTCAGTACATTCTGGCCAACAGTGGGAAGCGGGAAATTGTCAGGGGTGGCCAGATCTCCATCCAGCTCCAGGGCTGTCACTCGGTCAGTATGCAAGGTCTGGAACAGTGGTAGCGAACCAATAGTGTCAGTGGCAGTCGGCTCTCACCCTTGAAGTACTTGAGAGCGGCATCAATCTCGCGAATCTCGTCTGCATCCAGGTGGTGGATATAGTCCGACTGGCGAGCAAATTGCTGCCCCGTCCAAGCCAAGGGCGAAGACAAGACAGCAGGGAAGCCGTTGGGCAGACTCGGCATCTCCGCCGGAGCATAAGGCTGCTTGAGCTCATGGTGAGGAGCAACAAGCGTCGAGTTGACGACAGGACCGGCTGCGGGAGAAGCCATTGCGAACGAACGAAGACGGGTGAGTTGCTGGCTGTTGGTGGTGGAGTTGGAGATGTGTATGGGGGCAAAGAATGGCAAGACTCAAACGGTCAGAAGAGAGCGTGGAAGATATGGAGGAGAGGACAAGTCTGTGAGAAGAGCTGGAAGACGAAGAGTTTTTTCGAGGGTAGAGTATATATATGGCTAGAGAATTCTGTGGAAAGCCAGTCGGTGAGAAACAGCTGCTGATGAGGAAAGAGTGGAAAGAGAGGCAAGAGCGATAGGCACTTGGTACTTATAAGTTGGAGACACAAAGGGCATGATGATGATCTAGACGTACGACAGTACTGCCGCCTTGTCTTGATTCCTACCGTAAATACCGTAGCCATGTTTCATCTCGCGGGTGCCCGAGCAGTCAATCACGTAGCTGAGGCTACTGAAACCGACTACCAGGACTGACCATGATGCAAGCTGCCTTGGAGGAAAAAGCAACGACAATCGTATCCGAGATGCCTACACAATCGTCTACCAGGTACATGGCGCCTCGGGATTTCACTCCCGCTCCCGGGCCGTTTCCGGGGTCATACAGACGCTGCTGTCCGATTCCCACATCCCTTCCTTGTCCAGCGCCGTGGCCGGCAGCTGTCCAGCCACCATCACCTTTATTTAGTGCCTCTGGCAATCGTTTGTCCTTGCATTTGGTCCCTTCGCGCCTTGGCTGGAGCAGTGATCAAGCCGAATTTGCTTTGAGACAGGTGGTAGGGGGGAGGAGCCCGCGAGACAACCGGCCAGTATAGCGTGCTCCAGAGGTCCGAGTACGAGATGGCCTGTCATCTGCCTCTTCCGCTTCGTCGCCTCTATTGCTTATTTTCTTTTTCTTTCTTCCTGATTCCTCTTTCTATTTGCTTTTCCTTTGACTTTTCTTTTCATGGCAAGGGAGCTCTCATCTTCTCTCCCCCCTCATTTTTGGCCCCGGCTTCTTTTTTTTGCTTTTTCCTTGCCAGGTTCCTCAGCTTGCTTGTAGGTCATCGTCAGTTGAGGAAAAGCGATCAGGAGTCCACACACAAGGCAAATCAAAGCAGCTCTTTCTCCCTTCTCCCGCTGCTTGCAACTAGCGGTCTAAAACTTGCTATGTGTCAATGACCCGAGCCGATGCTGCTATCCAGTCGATGGAGTTGCTTCCACCAGTCTGGACGGGAGTCTGCGTCTTGCGAGGTATGTCGCCGATATGGACCCATGAACTGTGCTTCTTTCTCAAAATCTTTGCTAGGAACGAGTCGCAATCGGCAAACAGAGGTGGCCGAATTATATAGGAATGCTCGCAGTGGCCTTCAATCATTGGATGAAGGCTGATGCAAACCCCAAACATCAACCTTGTAATTGCTTCGCATGGGCCATTTGCTCCACGTCACAACAGCCTCACCGATTCCGCAATAGTCCATCGGCGATAGCGGTGAGAGAAGAGACAAGATCCTCGATACATCCTAGTGTGTTTCTTGCCCGTCGTCGATGTGAGTACCATCTTCATCTGCATTCCACTCGACTTCGTACCTCTTACTGGACAGGGGTAGGAACACCCCATGACCGCCTCGGCCTGCGCAACAGCTGTGCAGTCCCCTCTAGCGTACGGGGTATCCCGACTAGCAAACAGGCAAGGTAAGGTGCCTTCGATCCCTGGCAGAGTGCCGGTAAGGTACGTATGCCCCTGGCCGGTAGAAGCCACTACTTGTACTATTGCGCATTGCCACCGTGGAACAAAGACCCGTAGACATCATGGTCGGCATGCTGCCAGAGCCAATCCCACCCAGCACTTGGGGTACCTGCAGCCTGCAGCCTGTCCTTCATCCAAACCAACTTTACAGCACTTCACACAGGCAGTGCCACAACCTCACCGCCTCGAAGGACGTTACGGCCGCCTTCATTTCTCTCTCTCACCCGGGGCGATCGAATGTAAAAAGAAAGAGCTTGCAACTTTCAAATGTAAAGTTTACTGCTAGACAGTAGTCCTAGGATGCCATTTCTCGTCAAACAGTTGACTCACGAAGAAGAAATCATTCTCAACTTCCCCTCTAGCGCGGATTTGCTCCCAATCTCGCTCTGGCAATCACAGTCATGCATGGATTAGCGCGAGTCCGGGAATCTGGTTCGCCGACAACAAGGTGGTAATATTCGGGAACTTACTGTGCCGTTGGACGTATGCCCTGGTCGCCCGAACAAACTGGATCTTATCCTCATCAAGATGCGCCAAGGTTCGCAGATCTTGATCGTCGCAGTCGTCCGAGAAGGGAGCCACGCCCTTGTTGCAGTAGTGGAAATGGGCCAGGATAATGTTCGCTCCTGTACCACCACGCCCGTCAGACAGGCACAATTTGTCAGTTTGTGCGTGCACGACGCCAAGCAGGGGGGCCGAGACTCACCCAGGTGATACTCTTGTACCTTGGCTTCTCGAGCAAACCGACGCTGCAGGGTAGATACAGTTAGCACGATATATCGGGAAAGGCAAACTGTTCGGAAAGACCGTCGACTCCGATATGGCTGGCTGTTGCCGGCATCTGTTCCCTTCAACTCCTCCAGTGGGACAAACTCACATTCATGCCGTGTTTGCGAGCATAGCTCGCATCGTGCTTCGTGATAAGAGCGACGTTGTGGAGGAGGATGAATGCTACCAGGTACGTCACCAGCCAGCTTGACGGCTTATTCTTGAGCATGACTTTCTGGAGGTTGTCTAAAAGCTCATGCCGAAGTTTGGTCTGAATGTGCTGGATCAGTATCATATCCATTTGCGCGCCCAAGACAGGGGGCAGCGGGATCTTCCCAGGATTGGGACTGGTCTCGTCCAGAATGTCGGTGGCCATGCCCAGCTTCTCCTTGCCGGCGATGAACGCCGACGTGGTTGACAAGCGGACTGCTATCCACAGCCGAAGCGTCCAGTTGAGAAGATCAAACGTTTCGGGAGGCGTTGCCGGGTCCTTCCACATGTGCCAAGCTTGGAGGTACGTCTTATACAAGAGGTTTTCGCTGTCACCAAGCATGTTCCGGAATATGTCGGTCATGGAGTCTCGGATGTACCGCGTGTATGCCGATTTACCCGCTTCCAGGTCAATCAATGCATATGGCGGAATGATGACTGACTTTTTGGCCCCCCGATAGTCCCATGTTCGCTCCAGCTTATCGCCGTCCCGTGGAACAAATCTGCGCACCTGCAGTGGCATATACCTGTTTGAGAAGCCTACAGATATGTAGATGACCTTGACCTCGCGCGAAGCCCAGAGCTGAATGGGGTCAGATGAGTTCTTGTTCCATCTTTGGGTCCATTCGTAACCTGGGACTTGGCCTGGCTTGTAGAGAGTCATGTCGGTGATCTTGTACCGAAGGCAGGGTAGTCGCGCGGCCTTTGTATTCTCTACCTTTTTACATGTCAAACAACTGCCACCCAAAATATCCGAGTTAAACTCGCACTGCAATGGTGTTTTCCCATCAGGTTAGCTTATCGTATCTCACACCGAGTATTGCTCTGCTACGCAGCAGTGGGGCAAAGTCCCCCGGGGCAGCGATTCATCACTTACACGTATGCGTTGCATTCTGCAGCGTATGCAGGAGCCCATCTTCCTTGTTTGGGCCGTTTGCTCTCGGAGACTTTGGTCTCGAAACGGGCCACGCTTGCCGTTCCGCTGAGCGGGCGGCTGATTGTCCTGAATCGGCTCTTGCCTCTGAGCCGCTGGATCTCCCCCATCTTCGTGTGGCACCTCTTGGACTGGATTCTGCACCACCGTAGCACCATTGTAGCAACTGTACGTCTCCGAGGGTGTGATGTCAATGGTCACCAAAGGAGGGTGGACCAGCGGCACGAGGGGGGTTGGATCATACTGCAGCGGCAGAATGGGGTCGGAATCTATCGGATTCTCACCAACAGATGGCATTGGCATTGCTGTTGTTGCCGTCGTGAATTCATACAGTTCCGAAGAAGGGAGTTGATCGGAATACTCATGGCCTATCTGGTCAAGCAGATAAGGGTCGTTGCCCGCATTCTCCATGGGCGGCGGCTCTTGCAGTGAAGATGGCTCTAGAGCTGGTTGCATCAGAGGCTGCAGCGACGGTTGGCTGAGGACAGGATAATCGTCAAGGGGCAAGGGATTCAAGCCGAGTTGATCATCCTGTAGCGGCGCAGCTTGGGGGAGTGCTTCAGCACTAGGCACAAGTTCTTGCATAGACTGCACTGTCTGAGCTAGTACGGGTTGTGCCACTTCCATCGTGAACGGCTGAGGCGGGTCATACACCACTGCCGTCGGACCGGGGAGAGGCTGGTATCCTGCAGTTTACGCCATTAGTCGTTCGTCTTCGGCACAAACAAGAAGTTACAAGTCAGCGGGCAGAGAAATTGTTGCATACCTGTATGATGCTGCCATCCGAAATTACAGCAAGCCGAAATGGACTCTGCCATACAAGTCAAGGAGGAGCCCAAAGGTGCAACTTCAGTCAAGGCAGGTGCCCATCGCGGGATAATTGACGTTGCATCAAGGACCTGTGAATCATCATGTTGACTCGCCACAGGCGGTTTCTCCCGATAGCCAGTGTCAGATGACGACGACTCGTCTGTAGGAGACATCTGGTAATAGCCTTCTAGCCGTCTGCGCTTTTGGGAGTACGGATGTGAGCCGGAAGGGCAAGCAGAAGGATAATAATCAAGTGGGCAACCCGGTGCGTTGCCTGGTGTGTATCCAGATGTATATGCAGGCCCGTATCCTGATGAATGGCCTGATGAATAGCCTGACGTGTATGTGGATGGATGTTGGGAGTAACCGAAAGAAAAGTCGGGGGCCGCCGTTGCTTGACCTACGAGGAGCTGTGAAGCATCAGGGCCGAAATGTGAAAACCCCGTATTCACGGCAGGAGCCAGAGGCAGCGGAGGCACCGATAGCACATCAAAGGTGCCCAGCGCCCTCACTCTCTTACGACGCGGGGCCTGTATAAAGGTTAGCTTGGTCGTGCCGTTGGAAGGTGTCGGAGGGAAGAGGGTGGTACGTCGGGTAAGCTGAGTCGATGTCGTACGGGGAAGGGATCTGGTGGAGGGGAGCAAGCAAGAGAAAAGAGAGCATGAAGATCAAAGGCAATCGTGACAGGAAACTCAGACATCAGACGGCGGGAAGGGGAGGCAGATATATCAATGCAGGCTACCGTTGAGCAGTGAGGAAGGCTGCTTACCATGATGCCAGGAGATGGAAAGGGGGTGTTGGACAGATGCGGCGTAGTAACAGAAATAGAGTCCAAGGTACTGGCACGTGGAGAGTCAAGTATCAACTAAGCTCCAGAGACAAGGCAGTATCAACAAGGTACACCAAAGCTGTGCACCAAAACACCGGGAGAGTTGAGCAACGCCAGGGGAGGGGGTGGAATTCCTCTGGTGCCACCAGAACAATCGATGGGGGCAGAGTTGGTTGGCTTTCGCAATGTCAAACGATAGGTGGAGCGAAATGCTGGGCCGCCGAGGAGGAGCGGGAACACGGGAGAACCGCAAATCTCCAAGGCGAGGGCTCGTCACCAGCGTGCGCTCGTATGGAGCAGGTCCTGACCGGAGAGCGAGAGAGGCAGAGACAGAGGTGGCATGTAAGTAGGGAGCCAGCTAGCGTTGGGCTGTCGGCGAAGCAGGCCCAGTCCCAGGTGCGGCGCCGACCTGCGAAGCCCACCCGCGGTGGCTACACTCGTCCACGAGGAGCGACGGTCTCGTGCTGCCGCCACGCTGGTGACCGGTGATGGACGTGCTCCGGGGACACTGGTGTTGCTGTTGCTGTTGCTGTGCTGTGCTGTGTTGTGCTGCCCGCCGCTGTTGGTGCCGGCTGTATCCTCGAGCCCCAGGGATCTCCTCCGTGGTAAAGCAGGGATGATGGGTAGCGCGGGCTAGAATCTGGGGGCGTGTTGCCGAGATGTGCATAGGCGCTGGCCTATGGCCTAAGTGGCTGGATCCCAAGGCTAAACGACGATAGCTGTGAATTCTTCCAAGGAGGAGGAGAAGCGAACTCGGTGAGAAAGCGAAAGTCATGGATCCCGGTGCTAAAGTGTATGTATTTAATGGCAACTGAGGGGTTGCGGGCACAACCAGGGGGGTCAGTTAGTCGGGATGCAAGCCCAATTAATTCCTCAACGTCTCATTGAAGCAAAGGTTGCCTGGGCTTCCCCGATCGGGCCGGCATACCATACAGCTGCTGCGAAAGAGCGGGCACGTCCTGTCGAGATAGAGATGGTCCTGATGTGTCATTGCGCAGCCAACTGCTCAGGCGATGTGTACAAAGAAGAGCTCCAGCATGATGCATAGCTCGGGAGCCATCAACGCCGACTGGGCCAACAAGATAAGAGAAATCCAGGTATGGCCGAGTTTGGCGTGGAGAGAAGACACGCAACCCAACAGTGGCATCGCCGCCAGGCTGGCAAGAGAGTGAGCCGTAGCGCGCCCAACGGAGCTGACTGTCAGTGTGCGCAGTACAGGCGAGTGTTGCGGCAGAACAAGATTGGTGTCCAACTGCGCGAGCAGACCAATGAGAATCGTCTCAATATCAAGGCCAGTACTATGGTACCACAGAGACCATTGTCGACTGCAGCTTATAATAGGCCGCGGGTCACATGCGCTGCGGCCTGCATATCGAAAAACCCGCAGCAGGGCAAGCTCAAGACACATGCCGTCTGTCTAGGGTGGCCACGTTGAGGTTGTTTTATTCCGCAGCCTTATTGGAAGAAAGGGCTTGGCTTGAATCGGGAGTCGAAGAACTCGCTGGGTCATAGCCCATTGGCGTCATTCGGTCCTTAAGTGAGTGCTTCCCGTCCAAGATACCATCCGGGACAGAGACGAGGTAAGACGAGACACATTGTCAAACGGTATGGCGGGTGCTTGACCATTGGCTTGACGCCAGGCTCGAGACGCACTCGAAGCTAACACCGTCAGTAACCAAAGAGCTACCTCTAGGTGTAACCACACCAGGAAGCTCGCCATGACAGAACTGCTTGGAAGTGGGGACCGGTGAGCGTAGCACGTCTTCGACTGCACCCACACGGCTTGGAAGATCCAGCCATGGCACAGATGGCCTGCTCGCAACCACAGGGGATCTGATCTGTCCGGGTTGTAGCCGCAGCTCGGCTACCAGGGGTGTGTAAAGGAGCTTGAAAAATCTCTCGAACAGCGCCGGCAAGCAGCAGCCGAGGCTGGGCCGTATCTGTGGTTGGTTGAGCAGCTCGGTCGAGGTCCAAGTCAATGACGAGCACCAGCGCGATTCTCGAAGCTCCGCACGTCGCATCGGATAAGAGGGTGAAGGCGAGGGGGGGCGGTTCTTTGTGTTTTCGCGTGGCTGTCTCGTCGCACGAGACATTGTTGCGTTTCCCCACGCTTCGCGGGCATTTGTGGCACCTTGGCTGCACATTTGCACCGCACAGCACGCGGTGAGTGGCTGAAGGATGGCGCGCGATGCAGGGTTCATGGTTCATGGTCCATGCCATGGCCCATCAAGGCTGTATTGATCCAGAGATACATACAGCGCCTCTCACGACTGGCCGGCCTGGGAAAAGAAGCATGCTGTGCCATGTGAAAGTCCACGAACCTGGTAAGATGATGGATGTTGAATTAAGTTGGCGGACTAGTACGAGGCGGTAGAGGTGCGGAATGGCGGTGGCTCCCTTCCCGCTCCTTCCCCAGGTGCTAGTCTGGCCATCGGGCTCTAGCACTGGAGCTGAAATCTCGTGCCTGGCTCCATATTTCTCCGCGCTTGGCTTGGGCTGAGGGGCCGGACTTTCCTGCTCTGTGCCTGTGCCTGCCCAACGCAATGAATGCACCTGCCTCTTGTCTGTCTGGAAGTATGAAAGAAAGGAAGCCACACACGAGTTGTCCCAGACCCTGCCTTTGTCAGATTGAAGCCTCACCGCCCTTGAGCCAATCACACATCTTCATGAACTCCATTTTTGATTAGATTGAGACACACTGGAAACCTTGAACAGCCGCTCGGCAGCTTCTGACGAGCAGGTGCTGCGGAAGTGCTCGCTCTTTCCACCGTTTTGCACAGTATCGCCTTCCCCCTCGCTGCTGCAACTGTTCGGGCAAGTGGAGGTGCTCAGGCCCAATGCGAGCAATGCAAGGCAACGTCATCCCGACTCGTTCATTACCTACTACCTACACCTACCCTACTTTTTGCCTCGTATCTCCCCATTCCTGGAGTCTCCATTGAGAACCGGCCATGCTGTGGCTTCTGACATGTCTCAGACAGCTGCGCATTACGAAAACGCAACTGTCAGGGCTACTCGTGAGGTATCACACACCTTGCCTGATGCTCGCCGGCTTCGCGTTATCCCCCGCGGCGTTCGGCCTAGTCGACTGCTTCTGGCATCGCATACGAAGACTGGCTCTGGCTCCATCGTCCAGCTACCGAGTGCTCGCAAGAGGCTATGTACATGGCATCAGCCACTATAGGAATTGCCTCGTGGTGCCAACAAGCGGTACAGGGCGATACGCGATGGGCTAAATTACCCCTTGGGTGCGTATGCGGACGTACTGGATATTCTCGTGGTCCATTCCAAGATTGGATGGAAGCTTGGATAACCCTCGCATGAAAGAGAGGGGGCCGTGAGTTTGCAGTGGCCGTGGTTATTATTGCACTGCACCCGAGGGACTGTTACAGCTCACATTTCTCTGACGGTCCAGGGCAAGGCAACAGGGTTGCATGATGCTATTCCGCGGTCCACCAAGCTACGTGTATGTGGTGCCGGCCGCATCAGACGGTCTCGTCGTGCAGCTACGCCATCCTCTTCTCAGAGCTGGTATGCCTTCCATTTGGAATGGCGGTTGGCAACCCACGCCGACCGGTGAACATTTAGTCTGGACGCCACAATGCGACTAGCATAATGCGAGCTTGCCCACACCCTGTCGGCGGCTAGGGAGATATCTAGCTCGACGCAGTGGTGCCGGCCTGCTGTTCGGGCTGCAGAGAGAGGGAGGCATGGATGTTGATGCCGTTCCCTTTGGCCGGGCTGCGAGGTACCACAGACTGATCTCAAGAGGTCACGGAGAGGAGTCCGGTACCTTCGATTCGACCTAAAGACTTGCCTCTGCCCTGACATCATTCTCAGACGCACGTTGGCAAGCAGGACTGTTCCCACCGCAACCTGTGGGATCACGGGTGTACGCGTGAGGGCGTCTTCGCTGACACCACCTCTCGTTGTGCTAATGAACTGCGTCCGTAGTTTATGACATTATGCGTCTGACAGACGCAATGGCATGACTGATGCTTTAGCCACTCACAAGTTGTTGATCGGTCCAGGAGTATGAGGCCGTCGGGCCTGCTGGCATTCAAGTCACGTTGCTTGCAGAAGACGTATAAGTAGGCAGGGGGCAAACCATATGCTAATATATGCTTTGTCGTACGTGAACCAAGTCGCATCAAGCTGCGCGAGAACATCCCAGCAGATAAGATTTGGAGCTTCATTGCCACTGACAGGTTACTTTTCGTACTACGTGGGAGACCCTTTTCATACGGCATGGTATGTTTTGAGCTTTACTACTGTGATGGAGTTCTACAAAGTTTCGTTGAACAGCTGGGCCTTGCCTTTGCTGCCCCAAGAGCATCGCGGGCCGCATACTCCCGTTCAAAAGATGAGAGTCCTAATCACGGCTACCGTCGCTTGCTGCGGCTGAAGATGGCCGCATATTCACCGCAAAGCCTTTCCGAGTCATGCTTAACGCCACGAATTCCCCCTGAACCGGCAGGCTGAAGCTCTCACCTCCCGCTCCAGTCCCATGGCCGACAAGTCCAGTGTTTGTAGCCGGTGATGTCTCTGTTTGCCAAGGTTGCGGGTTGAGAACTGAGCAAAATGAGAGACAAATGCAAGGCATTTGGGGGCCAAAGTCCTTTTGCTCCACCCAGTCGTACCTACCCTTGGACTCAGCTTAAGCAAACAGACGTGGTCAAACCCCGACATCGACTGTGATCTGCATAGGAAGCGCCAGTGGCGGCGGTTGTGTATGACACGAAAATCGACGTATGTAGGGCATCAACGAAGGAGAAAAGTTGGAAGAAGGGTGCAATGTCAGGAGAAGGGAGAGCCACAGGGACGGGATGACCAGCCACCGATTGATGGTCTTGTCGGGAGTCTTTGCTCTTTGGGCCAGGGCTCTCGGTCGTAGGCTTGATGGTTGCAGTGATAGAAGAAGCAACAGACGCATCAGCAGGAGACAGTTCAGCATATTGAGCCAGAGCCAGTCGCCCCCGTGATGTCCCATTTGTCTTGTCTTCTTAGGCTGAGTTGCACTGCCGCCCTAGCCTTTGGATATTCCGTATAAGTAGGCAGTATCTAGGTAGGTAGGGTCAGACTGACTGACATATCACCTTTCCACAGCATAGCAGCCGGAATCGTGGGCTAATCTCTCCATCAGCACAAGGTGGAAATTGGACTCAGACAGCCTCCAGCCTCACCGATATGCTGTGCTCCCGAGACGTCCATTGCCGACGCGCATGTCCCTGTCCGACGTAGCAATTGCAGGCCTGACAATACCTGCAAAGAGATCCACGGATGCCTCGACGAGGGCGAGGAAGCGGAGCTGTGGGCAGCAAACTCTCAGCCTTTAGCCCCAGCTGGCCAGGGATCCGTCGGCCTTTAGGACAAGTGCGGCTTCAGCACCGTCCTGAGCTGGCCTTTTCTGCCTCGTGCAAGCCCGGCGACTCCCCCGGCAAAGAGCGCGCAACGTCGTCCAACTCTGGTCGGATATCGAATGGACTGCATGTGCGTGTCAGGCTCTTCGTCTGAACTGCACAGCAGGCTCGCTGGATGGAGGTACGCGGGTACCGCAAGGCTGCATCATGTGATCAGGCAGATGGCCAAATCCAGCCAGATGCAGCAGCACCACGAAAACCCCCCCAGTTGATGCTTCATGCACGGCAGCTGCCCAGCCTGGAGCTTGCAAAGCCGCCGTGACACAGAATCGACAATCCTCGCTCCTTCGCGCACAATCGGAAGGCCGGCCAGTCTCTGCCAGCTGCGGAGGGGAGGCTTGAAGGAGCCGAAGCCCATTGCTAGTCTTTGCATCGAACGGGCCGAGTCTGACTGGGCAACAGGAGCAAACAAGCAGTGGCCTGAGGTGGCGAGGCCGGCAGGTTTTGGCGGACGAATGTCTCCAGCCAGAGTCTTGCACGGGAGCGCATTCAAACGAAACCGGGAGAGCAGCCAGTGGTAGGTAAGGTATCCCTCTCAGGTCCCAGCCACCCCCCGTAGCCTGGGCTCTTTCTCTCTGCTTCTCCCTTCCTCGTTCTGACCCTCAAGGCCAAGGCACCACGACCTGGATCGATTCGCTCAGGCCGTGCCCGTTGACTGATAAAGGCACTGCCATCTGCCTCCAAGTAGGAGTCCTGGAGCTGGCGTGCACCTACTTGTTTGAGCTGAGACGGACATCATTCACCACTTCGGCAACATGGAGCTCAGCCAACAGTCCATCCACGATGTCATCCACCCAACAGCAGCCTTTGCGGACGAGAGCGTCTGGGAGAAGTCGGCAGCCACTGCGGCCGCCCGGGCTGCCAGAGAGACGCCGTGGGAAGAGTCTCCACTGAATCCCAAGAACCGCATCGACAGTCTCGAGCCTCCAGCGCGGCCCCTGTGGCGGATTGACGGCTGTACTGCATTCGGGACTCAGTTCTATGCGGTGCCGCTCTTCATGGACTCGATCCCCCCCTTCCGTGTGGATGTCTTCATTCCCGAGCCCGCGACGCTCTCTCACGAGCTCCGCAGCGTCCTCGACATGGACGTTGCCTTTTACACACGAGACGCGTCCCGCATCTCACAGCTTGGCGTTACCCAGCATGTGCTCCGGCTGCTCCAGTACTGGACCTCGACGCTGGACGACCCGCACAAGATATACCAGAATATGCCCTTTGGCTCCAGGATCGTCTTCAACAACCTGCCCAAGGATGTCAGCCAGGTCCGGGTATCCATGGCTCCAACGTACTACCTCGAGCGCCAGATGCTGTCGGTTTCCTCCTTTCAGAGCTTCTGGGGGTCGCACGTGGACCTTCCACCGACTGTTGATATCCATGACGTCGTGTATTTGTCACAGTTGCACGACAGCGTCTGCCTCATTGAGTATGAGGGCAGGACGTGGATATTCAAGGCCCTGACCAGCTACACCAAGTATCTCTACCACGAGCTGCGCCAGCTCCTCTCCATCAAGGCTCACCCCAACATTGTGGCACGGCCGGCCCATCTCATCACCAAGAAGTGCACCTTTGGCAGCAAGACGGCCGTTATCGGTTTCACGCTCGAGTTGCACGTCCATGGCAGCTTGCGCGACCTGATCCCCTTTCTTCAGGTGCACAACCAAGTGTCGTTGGCCGACAAGGCCAAATGGTCTGTCCAACTCGCCTCCGCCTTGGTGCACCTACGCGAGACATGCCACATCTTCTATCCGGACCTCCGGCTCGACAACATTGTCCTGTCGGGGTCGGGGGATGTGGTCATGGTCGACTTTGAGCAGCGTGGCGTTTGGTGCGAGTTTGCGGCCCCCGAGGTCAACGCCATCGAGTACGTGCGACTGCTGGCCATTGACGACGAGATCCCTGCGCATGTTGTGGACAAGTACGCCGGCATCTTGACGAGCATGCTTCCGGGGTGGGAGGAAATGGGCCAGGGAGAGGACTACGTCTGGCCGTCCGAGGGGTACAACGTGCCATGGGCCTGCCTGACGCCCCGAGAGCAGGAGGCCTGCGAGGTGTACATGCTCGGCCGCGTGCTCTGGTGCATCTTCGAGTCCGAAAGCGCCCCCCAGCGAGCCGCCGTGTGGCTCTCGTACCGCTGGGAGCCCTTGGTCGAGTTCCCCGGATACACCCGCACGCCGCCGGCCATGCGCGACCTCATTGACCGGTGCACGCGCGGCCGCCAGGCTGGCCTTAGCAGGCTCATTGTGCGCCGCAGAGACAAGCTGGTGCTGCGAGAGTACGAGAACACGGGGGAGTCGACGGCGCAGGAGGTCCAGAACGTCGCCCGCGACTGGTGGGCAAAGGAGATTGCCGACTCGGAGGCGTGGCTCAAGGAGCGCGCCGAGGGCCTGAAGAGGGGAGACTGGAACGAAAACTACTACAACCGGCCCAGCCTGCGCGAGGTCCACGACGAGCTGGAGAAGTTTCGCAGGGAGAACAATCTGTGCTGAGACTGCGCGGGAGAAAGAAGGACCAAGGGAAAAAAAAAAACCGTGTGCGATTTTAAACCCCCCCTTCTCTGTTCTCTGTTCTCTCCCTCGAGGCGCTCAGCCCTAAGGGTGATCCGAGGGGTGGTCTAGGCTTTGCGCGGGAGTTGTTGACTCAAAAAATCGGCCTCGTCATGAGCATACGATGGCATGTAGCAGAATGGGCACTATATAAGCGAGTCCATGGTTTCTTTGGGAGTTTGTGATTTATATCAATGACATGTTGTTTGCTTTTTTCCCTTGGCACGTTGATTCTCATTGCGCTGTGAAGATTTGTCTAGATCATTGTAGGATGACTGTAGTAAATTACTGGTGCCTGCAGAAGTAAGAACTACCTATCTAGAATCTGCCTACTCCGGACACGCTTGTTGTTACATTGGTCCCGAACATGTCAGGGAGGGCAAGAATATGACAAAAGGAAATTGTACAAAAAAGAAGAAGAAGAAGAGGGGAGAGAGAAAGAAATGGTGGCAGGGTTGAATATCGCAACCAGTACAATGCATGTCGCTGTAGGGTGACATTTGAGAAAGATACAAGACAGAAGAAGAAGAAAATAAAGAGAAAGTGATAAGAAGGAAGGGAAGAAGAAAAGAAGAGCAAGGGAGAAGAGAATGATAGCAAGAAAAGAAAAAGAAAAAAAAAGCGCCCCCCCCCTACTTCATCCTCTTCGACTCCCTGAAAGCACCGCCATCGTCCTCGTCATCGCCTTGCCTCTTCAACCCACCGCTGCTCCTCCTCCTAGTCCCCCTCAACCTCCCCAGCAGCGCCTTGAACTTTTCAAAGTACCCCACTGGAGCACCGTGACTCCCGATATCCTCGAAGATGGCCTCCAGCGTGTGTAAGTGCTGGCTCGCCGCCTCGGGAATGAGACCTAGTTCCGCGAGAACAAAGTCTGCGTCCCTGTCTGCGTCTCCTATAAGGCGCAGATACAGGTTCCGCTCCGTGCGGCTCAATAACCGCCCCGCAGGATGAGAAGAAGGGGAAAGAGGGGATCCAGAAGTGGCCGGGAGGGACAAAACGTCGTGGTTGCGGGAGACAACGGCAGAAAGAATGTGCACCAGCGTGCGAGCGGCGGCATCCTCCTCGCTAGGCTGAAGAGGCCTGTTGCGGGTGAAGATGCAGTTTCTGATGAGCTTGATGCACCCGTTGATGTGCTTTGCCGCCCAGGAGACGTCGGGGAGCGTCTCTGCCGAGCGTCTCTCCGCGCAGGCGGCATCGGCGGCATACGCGTCGAATCTGCGCAGCACACGGTCGACCCTCTGTGAGAGCTTCCTGAGGGCGTCACTGACGGCATCTTGCGGCCGGGATACCGCCGACTGAAAGTATCTGAAGAAATGAGGGTTGTCGAGAAGCATGCGGAGCACGGTGCAGTCCAGATCGTTGCGCTTCACCACCTTCTTCTTCCCGAGCAGCCGTTGTTCACAGAGGTCCGGCCGGAAGTCGTCTGGACTCATCCCATAGACGGCAGCCAGGAGCTCGCGTGATTCTTGCACGCGGTGGGAAGCGAGGTCTCCTTCGTCCCCATAGATAGACTCTGGGTCAATGACCTGGCAGTGCAAGCCGGAGGACAGGACATCAAGGTGATGCTCCGCAATGGCCGTGAACGGATCACCCAGCTCTTCGGCAAAGCCAGCCGGCGTCATGGTCAGCGGTGTTCTGGCGTCATAGTCGTAGAGCATCTGCTTCGTGAGCCGATCCAGGAGCCAGAAAAGGTGCGAGCAGGGCTCTCCAGCGTCGCCCTCTCCCTCGTTGCGCCCACATGAGCAGGTCATACAGGATGACCCGTCGCCATTGGCACGAATGCGGACAGACTGAGTGACGAGCTCAGTCATCTGAAAGGCATATGTGTTGTCGATGAGCCGGCACTGCTGCAGCGCAATAGCCGGCGGCTCGCCAAAGACGTCGCGCACAGCATCCTGCTCCTTTTGAGGAAGACGGTGGATATCGTAGGCCAGTTTGGTAGGAGATTGTATAACCATGGAAAGCTCGTCTTCGTCTTCGGACTCATCTGAGCAGGAATCAAGGTCGGAGCTTGAATCTTGTAAGGTTGAGTCCAGACAGTCGTAGGACTGTAGGCCAGTATGAAAGGCCGATTGGCTCGTGGGAGACATCTCTTCGAGGGTCAGTTTGCTGAGGGACGTGACCGGCACTGACATTGGGGCTGACCGTGAAATGAGTGAGAGAGGTATATCTGCTTGTTTTCTTCAACATGTGAGTATGAGAACGATGGGACAATTGGGACAGAAACGTGGAACCTGAAACCATTTTATAGAGGAAGATGAGAGCCGCAAGCCAAGGGGGATTCTTACCTGTCTCAGCCAACAGCACAAAGGCCAACGGGTCAAAGGGGGATGACAGAGCCTCAGCTTCTCCTTTTGGATATGTGTAGGCGATATCAAGAGCTTGACAAGTACATGATATGATGCAGGAGATATCCGCGAGAGTCCAAGTACTTGTATCCTCCAGTATGTCATTGGCCGAAGTGATGGGGAGTTCGGAAGGCTGCTTGCGGCCGAGCCCATGTGCAGCCTCATCGAAAGCCACCAATTCGACATGCCGATGAACCACTGAAGAAGGCAAAAGACACCTTGCAAAGTGGCTGTGAAGACCATCGAGAGCATCGAAGCCTAATCCCAGCGTAAGGGAACGGCCTCTGACTGGTCCTCGCCCAAGTCCGAGAAACGTAACCGGGGGCCCTCCAGCCGGCGATGGTGGGTCCGGGCCGGAGGGACGGGGTCGTTGAGGTGGTGAGAGTCGGTGCTGATAGGACGAACGTGTTGCGGCATGCTTCAGCCTCGCATATTAAGCACTGGGATGAAGGAGGACAGGCTCTGCTTGTCATTGGATCGTTTATGCGATGCCATCTGTTGGAACAACAAGCCACTGTTGGGCCGGTTCATGTCATGCTTTCCATGCGTGATTTCCTCCATGTTCCTCACGGCAAGCGAGACAAAGGACCTACGAATGACATCGATCAGCATGGGTCGTAGTAGCCAGTGTCTGCCAGCATGATGCCATCCAACCGGCATTAGCTGGGCAAGGTCAGGCTGTTTGAACATACATGATACCAGAATATCCATGGTCAGCCTCGTCTCGACGCCGTTTGCAGATCAAGACACAGCATAGCGGGCCGTTCCTGGAGCCACGGCCAGGCCGCACGGCTGGATCTTGGCGCCTGCGAATCGAGAAGCCTTGCTGCAGCTGCTATTGCTGCTATATCGCGATACCGTGACCACAGGAGGAGGCCTGAAGGACGTTCCTGTAAGGCTGCTTCTCACGGGAAGAGTTTCCAGTCGTGTAGGTTGTCTCTGGCGCGAGTTCTGCAGCGGCCAGAAACAGGCTGATGTTGGTTCGAGGTTGGATTTGATCATCATGTTAACGGAGCAGAACGTCGATGCTTGGGGATAAGCGCGCTCCACTCCGGCCGACCGCAAAGGGCGACCGCCTGGAACCCGCTGCGCCACCAAAAGTGCTGTGAAGCTGGGCCCCAGCCCAGTCGAGCAGCCGGGTTTCAATTCCAGGGCCTCCGTTACAGCGCTCTCGAGCGCTAAACCGTCGCCTGCTTCAGAGGCCGTTGAGCCGCAACTGGGCACCTGGACAGTGGGCACTTCCGCTCCTTAGCGATCAATCCATGGACCAAACGCTCCATGTCCATCAATTGCACCGCCCGCCACATGCCCACCAGAGGCCGACCGTTTCTGCGGCCCGGTCTCCATCGTCCTCGCCCTCTGGGCCAAACTGCGTAGACACACTCATCCAGCTTGTGACGCCTTCCAGAAAACACCGCCCTCGACGGGGGAGACCTTCTCTGCGGCCAGCCTGCCAGGTGGTGCTGTAGGTCTGGCTAAAGAGAGGCTCTGTAGAGTCGAAAAATATCTCGCGGCGTGACGCTGCTCTGGTTGGCCAAGTCGCGAGGCGTATTTGGTCGCCTCGGGGAAGCTACACAGAGTACGGAGTATCGAGCAGCGGCAGCTCACTTACTGTGAGAATCAGCAATCGGTTAGACGCGAGACGGAGGCTCAATGTGCTGATGTCGTTGGCAGATGCCTTGTAGATTTGCGGTAGCGTCATTTAGGTAGTTGGTTGCTGGATCAGTCATCAAGTCGCAATGTTGTAATGATCAGTAATGTCATGATGCAGAGTCTCCATGGCTGCCTCCCGGATGATTGAGGAAGAAAGAAATATGTGACATGATGATCAGATGACTGCATGTTTGGCATACAGTTGCTTCAGCTCGAGACTGGCGGCCATTCCAGGCTGGAAACCCAGTTTGCCCGGGCACCCTTGGTCCTTTCGTAGAGATGAAGGTGTCGTCATGATCACAACCACCTAAGACGTTCCATGTCCTTACACGGGAACTTCGATAACCGGAATACCTTAAGTCTTCCATCGCCGAGATGAATCTACAAAGGCACCGACACTCAAATGGTAAAGACAAGGGTGAAATGAGTTGGCCAAAAAAAGGGGGAACGCGTTTGCGCTTTTCTTGCTAAGGCCACAGAGGGCACGAGAAGACTGCTAGTAAACATGACCACAAGGTAGGCCTCCGTCCAAATTCCGAATCAAGCACTTCGTTCGCGGCTTGCCATATCGTCACTTGCCGAAAAAAATACCCTTTGAGTTCCCAGCTCCCCAATCCGTGCCCATGGATTCCCTTTACATAGATGATAATTTCGCATTTCATGATTTGTTCTTTCCCAGGGAGCGATTGACTGATCCGTTGACGTGGTGCTGACATTAAGGTAACAAGAAATGGGCTGAAAGAGATGCCAGCCAAGGCGAGAAAATGAAGAAGAGTAGCAAGAGATAATAGTTGAGAATGATGATACACTCCGTGGGCACGACGTCGAATCCTCGGTCTTAGGCTGCCGACGATAGAGCTGCGCGTGGTCCTTCTGCAAATCGGACGGCTCGGGTGTGACTGTGCCCACTGCGCGGAGTGGCCTTGGCTGGCGACCTGTCCTTTCGTAGGATTGTCTTCATCTCGGACGAGGCGGACGAGGACGATGATGAAGAGGAAGACCGGCCCGCAGACGAAGAAGGCGTCTTCTTCTGCAGGGCGCCTACGGACCGGTCGGATTGTCAATCGATGCCGTGCTGCTTCTTGAGCTGCGCTAAAGATTCCCGGCGGGCGTCGAGGTCCTCTTTAGATTTTACCATCTTGTCGGGCTGGTGATATAGAACTGCAAGTGGGTCAGCTGAGCCCGATCCATCGACGAAAGGAGAAAGGAAAGATGGAACGTTTCCAACCGATAAACAGAAGCAGAACATAAAGACACAGGGACATGTAGTGACGCGCTGCTACGTACCAACAAGATAACGGTTCTGAAAGTTGAAACCGTTCAGTTTGTCACAGGCTTGCTTCGCATCCATGACATCTTCGTAGACGACGAAAGCGGTGCCTTTCGTGTTGTTGGCAATGCCCTGGCGGACCTGGCTGTTAGAGGGGTTAGCACGGTCGTCGTTGAGGAACATCCGCACGAGGACCTGGACGTACCGGATAGGTCCAAACTTTCCAAAGAGGTCGAAGAGTTCCTCAGGAGTAACGGTGTAGCTACGACAGGTCAGCGTCAACTGCGGCTTTTCGGTGGGAATCGGATGTTGCTATCGACGGAGGGCGTACCTCAGGTTCTTGACGAACAGAGCGCTATATGAACGGGTCAGCAAGGCGCTCTCGAGACTCTTTTTACCGGGCAACCCAGGCGAGACGTGCCGCCCATGCGGTCGGATAAAAGCCACCGCACGACGTCGCAGCCTCGCCCAGGCCCGCGCGGGCCCCGGAAAAGCAGCTGGAGACTCACCGATTGACTTCGGGGGCAAGTTTCCCGCCGCGACTACTCATCTCTTGGATGATTGAGGTTGTGGTGGTGATGCTTCGGACTCGAGGAGGGTCGGAATCGGAGGTGAATGCGAAAGATGGATTGGAAGCAGAAGTCCCGGGGTGGAGGCACAAGACGCAGAGAGAATGGGCGATTGCGGTGGGTCTGATAGGCCGGCACACGTGACCCGCGTTTTTCGCCTGCCTTCTGTCGATAAGCCGGGGCCAGAGCGACGTGCTCGAGGTACGTACCCAAGTGCCGGTGGCCGTGGTGCTTCTCCGCTTCAACTCGCGACGCAATTGGTGCGTTCGTCAAGACACGTTCCCTGTTGCGGTTGGGAGCTTTGCCTCGGTGAGGATAATCGGCGGTGCGAGGGTGTGTGCTAATGCACGAGCAGCGCATGCATTCGTGTGACAGCTGGGGTGGGATTTGAATACTTGGTGAGAGTCAGGATGGTGAAAGAGAAGAAGAAGAGGAAGAGGAAGAGGAGAGAGAAAAGCTTATGTTGAGCGGAAGAGAGTGAAGAAGCGAGCTCTGTATCGAGAAGCGAGAGCTCCTTCCCTCTTGAAGTTGCATTACGTAGGCCACACGGCTGCTCACGTGAGCTCAAGTACCTATCTACAGCACAGCACATCACAATCGAAGCCTCAGGAAGCAACACAACACGCAGGTGAATCCGTCAGAACTGAGCAACCGACACGGTCGATCTCGAGAACAAGCACGCGCAACCACGCAGAATTGCATCACGCGCCGTCCTGCTGCAGTGATTCACGGTGGGGGGGTCTTTTTGATGAGTCAGGCGACAGCCATTCAGGGGCCCGGTTTGGCCATGCACCCCACGAACGTCTCGGCTTTTCATCGCCGACCGACGGACCAAGTCGACGTAGCAGCTCACTAGTAGTACCTAGTAACGAGGCATCTGTTTACACGTATCCGGCTCTTATCTTGAGCTCGATCTGCTGCATTCTGCACTCGCTCGATCTGATACGCCGAGATTGTTCTGGTTGTGCGGAGCATCATCAGCTATCAATGTCGCTGTCCGGGAGGATGCCTTGTCGTCATGGCCTTGGGCCGTCAGGCTTGAGATTACGGGATACCTTCGGCGGGTTGAACTGAGCAGAATTCTTAACAAAGCAGTGAATTGACAAGACTGGACTGGATGCAACAAGATCACACTGAACGATACACTCGTCGACAGATCAAGCGAGTCAAGTTGGCCTCTTTCTGACCTTCAGTGTTGCTTTGGATCCATTGCGTGAATTCGTTAACAGCACAGGTTCAACGTTCTAAGCAACACACTAAACGGCCGTTTGCCCAATGGCCCGCATACCCTGCAGGAAATGATCCATGAACGCATCGTTTGTTTTTCTCTTCACACCTCAACCACTTCAACCAGCTCAACCTTAAGGTACATCACCATCATGACATAGTAGCAACAGAAACACGGTTTCATCACCGCTGAGCGTTCCGCTACACCTTGCATCATTAAAGACGTGCATTCTCGACGGCACCCGTGGACTTTACTACCATGCCAACCTCATTCGGCGAAAGTATCCTTTCCGTCTTCGATGTCTGGGATGATTCGTTGACGCTTCTCTCGGAGATTTTGGAATCTGGGAATGCGCCAACCGATGAACTGCGCTCCCTCTTGGACCAGAGCCTGGTTGGTGGCGCGGAAGACTGGCATTATCTGATCGAATGTGCACAGTCAATTCGATGCGCTCAAGGTCGGTATCCCGAAAGCCTCGACGGCGGCGATATACTCAGCTTCGTCTGGGAGATCTCCAAGGGAGGCGAGGTTGATGTTGAATCACCGATTCCTGGGCCCTGGGGAGAAACAGATCGATTAATCGCACTCGCCAAGGACTTGGAGAGAGACGTCGATATCTCTCCAGTTGCTCCACGACCAAGCCAAGAATCCTTACGACGACAACGTGTCAAGAAACAACGCCCGGGAGCAACGTCCCATTACTGGTCCGACGAACCTTTTGACCAGAATTGCGACAGAAGACACGAGCAGCACAGCGTTCTCAACTCCCGCATCGCCAGAACCCACCATTGTCGAGACAGTCAATTAGTGTTGCAACAACAAGCTGCCCACCCAGAACTCGGGGCTGCCTTAAGTGCTGCCACATCTGGTTCGGACACGCAATTCTCGAATAACATGTCCTCGCTTGATTGTTCCCACTTGAACCCAAGATCATGGGACCCCTTGTGCAAACCGGAGGCAGAAGACGAGAAGCCACATAGCAAACGCTCAGCAACGTCGCCGTACTTTATTCAGAACCCGTCACCGAAGAAGGAGTCTCCCAAGAAGAAGCGCCCACCGGCAGGGACAATATCCTGTATTCCATTTCCAAGTCTCGAGTCGTCATCATTTGGGATCATCCAAGAGGAGCTGGCTCACGATCCATTTTGGCTGCTCGTTGCGGTCACGTTCCTCATCAAGACGAATGGACAGTTGGCTCTGCCTGCGTTTTGTCGAGTGAGGGAGCGGTTTCCCACGCCGTCTCATCTCTTGGATCCGTCCGTCAGGGAGGAACTTCTGGGCATGATCCGGCATTTGGGACTATCCAATGTACGGCTTGCATATATACTGAGGTACGCGACAGCCTTTATGCAACAGCCGCCGACACCTGGTGTGTGCTACCGAGTGAAGAATTACGACAAGCGAGCCGTGAGCCCTCCGCCATACCGATACAGCAACGGCGATGACGCGCAGGAGGACATGGAGCCGCCGTGTTCACCCTCTGATGGCGGCGATGAAGACCTCGAGGCGTGGGAGATTGGCCATATGACTCAGGGCAAGTATGCTATTGACAGCTGGCGCATATTCTGTCGCGACGAGCTGCTAGGGCGGGCCGAGGATTGGAACGGGAAGGGCCGTGAGCCTGAATTTCAGCCCGAGTGGATGAGGGTGAGACCGGCGGACAAGGAGCTGCGAGCCTGCCTGCGCTGGATGTGGATGCGCGAAGGCTGGGAATGGGACCCAGCGACGGGCGAGCGTACGGTTTTGAGGGAGGAGATGCGAAGGGCCGTCAACGAAGGGAGGGTCGAGTATGACGATGTTGGGGCGCTGAGGATCGTGGCCGCGTGAGGGGAGCGTGAGGAATCCGCCATAATATGGCAGAGGCGATTGCACATTTCGGTGATGGATATGAATTGAGATGTTGATGGCTTGGATAGATGTGGGAGGTATGTATGTGTGTTACGCTGCCTGATCCTGACTATGCTTTTCGTTGGCAGAGATGTAGGTGAGATACAAGCTATTGGCCATTACATACAAACGATGTGAAGCTGTGCTATTCTGGACTTTGGATTAGGTAGGCAAGCTAACATTGGCAAGGAGTGTGACAAATGGTGTTGAGCATGAGCACGTCTTGGAATGCATCTAACATAGGTACTAGGTATGCTGAAACATGTGTTCAATACTCGATACTAGTGTACAGTCAACTCCAATAGTACTAGCAGTCAGTTGTACACCTGCTCTCTTCAGACCGCCGACAAAAAGTTCTATGATCTATGATGGCATCATACATGCAGGACAACGCAGCCACTTAAAGATCTCAGAAATAGTGGCCCGGACTGCGCCGGTGCAATCGGGGGCCGCCTACTGCAGCCTACAGGTACTATCGCTGTACGGGCGATTGTTTAGGCAGGTGAGCACTTGATTTGATCCTACATACATGTACGCCGGTGATGGCCACAAAGCCGAGGGAGAAACTGAACGTTGATGGAACAGCACAGGAGGGAAAAATGATCGGCTGATTGTTCGTGATTTCGTTGAGAGGAGGGCAAAGCGAGGGAAAGCCGGAGAAAAGGGACGTTTTGCCCAGGGCTGCGAAGTGAATACCTAGGACTGACTGCTCAATAGGTAGGTAGAACGAGATATCCAATTCACACGTGTGCAGATTTCAAGGTACCTTATGAAGCCAGCCAATGTTCTGGTACCTCCTCCCTCCGCTGACATCCGCCGTATTAGGCATGTAACTACCTACTAGTAGGTAATGCCTCATTGGACTGCATCTACTGAACCCGTATCTGCAGCATTCTAACGCGAATCGAACCGAAGCACACGGAGACAAAGGGAAAAGAGACCCTGGGAGGAACGGCTGCAAGCACTTCCCAACTGCCAAGAAAGGCTCTGCCGCCGCGATGGCCTTTAACCTTGAATTAGTCTATTTTTGGCGCTTTGTCTCCCCGCTTGCCGTGGGAGCTTCAAGCTGTCACCACCTCGATTTGTGTCCCTCGGTTTGCGTTCTCAAGAGAGCCTCTTCTTTGAGACGCTGTACCTCGCTCCGTGGGTAGTAGGTAGGTAGGTAGGTACTGTATCAGATGGATGAGATGCAAACACACGGACGAGACAGGAAGCTTCCAGGCTAAGGTATTGATTGGTATCTACCTTAGGTAGGTCTGAGCGTACCTAGGTATAGCAGGTACTCCATACCATCTGCCGGGCCGTGCGTGTACGTTGCAAGTACTTTATTTACGCCCATTGTCCCCAGTATTGGCCGGCGTCAGAGGGGCTGCAGGTGTCTGCCGCGGTGTCTCGCTACTTGCCTCCCTGGGCAAGGCTACCCGCCCCTTTGCGCGGCCACGCACCGCTCGACAAGGTCTCTGGAGGGGGAGCGGCAGGTACCGGAGCAGAGCTTCCCGGGTGTGTAAAAGTGGACACCTGGGAGGCTGCAGCATCACGGGATTTGGAAAGGACACAGTGGTATGTAAGGTATGTAAGATAATCCGAGCTTTTTGATCATCACTTCGTCCCTCTTGTCCCTCTCTCTCGCCCCTCCAGGCTTGTGATTCTCTCTCGTCGCCGCACAATTGCGCTGCTCATCTTCAGCTCACCTCTTCCCCCAAGACCCTGTGAGACTGGTTCTTTGTCGGGCCCTGTTTCGCTGTCCTTCCTTTCGAGTCTCTGCCTTGCCTTGCCCACCGTCGACGAGCAAGCTCTGAGTTCGCATCAGATCGCATCGCATCGCATCGCATTCGCACCAAATAGCTCTTTCAACAACTTCCGATCCGCCCGATCCGCGCAATAGGAGGCACACGAGAGGCTTCAAGGCTAGGAAAGCAAAGGAGAAGCAACGGGAACTCGAAAGACGCAGCTGCAGCACTTCCGGATACAATGTCGCATCGCGGTCCTTCTGGCTACGGCATTGGCGGCCCCAGCCCCTACGCTGGAGGCAGTGCCGGTGTTGGTGTTTCTGACGAGTCCAACGGCGGCAGCATCCTGGACCAGATCCGGCCGTACACCAGCAAGGTCGAGGACTTGCTCGACTCGTTCAGCGAGCCCGTCAAGCCGTAAGTGAAGCTCGCCGGAAATCGTGGTTGAGCGGAGGGGATGGCAACTAACCTTGCGGCGCATTGATCTAGCTATCTCCCAGCCATTGGCCGATTCCTGATCGTTGTCACGTTCCTTGAGGATGCGCTCCGTATCATCACCCAATGGAGCGACCAGCTGCTCTACCTCCACGATTACCGCCACAGTAAGAATCCATCCCGGCGCGATACCCATTGATGAACGTGTATCCTTGCTGGACGCCCGAGAACTGACAACTAGACCAGTTCCCACCGGTATCAACCACCTCTTCCTCCTCTTCAACGTCGTCGCCATGGTGTCCTGCTCGTTCCTCGTCATTGTCCGCAAGTACTCCGACTACGCTGTTGCCGGTCTCATGTCCGTCGTGGTCATCCAGGCTTTCGGCTATGGCTTGATCTTCGATCTCAACTTCTTCCTGCGAAACCTGTCCGTCATTGGTGGTCTGCTCATGGTCCTGTCCGACTCGTGGGTCCGCAAGACCAAGGCCTTTGCCGGTCTCCCCACGCTGGATGAAAAGGACAAGAAGATGTACTTTCAGCTTGCCGGACGTGTGCTTTTGATCTTCCTCTTCATTGGCTTCGTCTTCAGCGGCGAGTGGTCTTTCTGGCGCGTCATCGTCTGCTTCCTTGGTGCCGGCGCCTGCGTCATGGTGGTTGTGGGCTTCAAGGCCAAGTATAGCGCCACCCTGCTCGTCGTCATCCTGAGCGTCTTCAACCTCTTGGTGAACAACTTCTGGACTGTAGGTGCCTTCGTGTCCCTGTCTTTGCGTGTTTCAACAGCTAACCCGTTTTTTTTCTGGCGCAGCTTCATGAGCACCACCCGCACAAGGACTTTGCCAAGTACGACTTCTTCCAGATCCTGTCCATTGTCGGCGGTCTGCTGCTCCTGGTCAACAGCGGCCCCGGCCAGTTCAGCATCGACGAGAAGAAGAAGGTTTACTAAACCCCCGAAAAACGAATACAATTACGAACGCACTTCCATGTTTGGATTCGATGACATGTGGGCACCGTTGCCCCAAGATCTGAAGCTGCGCCACAAACTCTCATACGAGTTGTCCACCCCTTCATCTTTCTTCCTCAAGTCGTCATGGATGACTGGAAGTGAATAAGCTGAGAGGAGTCGACATGGCAAAGTATGGCCTCGCTAGGTGTTGCAATTCTGCAAATACTGCATAAAGAGGGAAAACAAAAACTTACTGAATCTATTTACTACGGGAGTCACGGAGGGATGAAAGGACTAGGGAATGAGGGGGGAATAAAATCAAAAGGTACCTCAATCAACCGCAAAACAAAGAATTTCACTGCACAAAATGTCTATCGGGTCTCGGAAGTGTGACAGGCTAACAAGAAGCGGCTTCATCATTCGTGCCTGACTCATCGCGTCTTGCTGATGGAAATGCTGAAAAGGCTGGCTTTCACGATCCCATGACTGACTTGGCTCGCCTATTGTCGTCTACGTCAGTGTCGCTTCTTTGTTCGGGGATGAAGGCTTCTTTTTTTTTTTTTTTTTTGTGTTGACTCTGATGATAGAACTACGAAAGAGAACATGCTGTCGCCGTATATTGATGCTTGTGAACAGCTACCTAATCGGTGCCTCACTATTTTCTCAATTTGTCAAGTATCTCGACGCCTTGGAGAGCCTCTCCACTGCTGCCCCCTTTCCAGGGATGATCCACCTCGACCCTCCGAATCATCTCAGCATGCTTTTCACTCCTCGGAACGATGCTGTAGGGAAACTCGACTGGATGATCTATCAAGCCCGGTGTATGCTTCCACTCAACATCAACCGGCTTCCCGTCACGCACCGCCTTGCCAATCGTAAACACCGCCAACGTCCGTGAGATGGTTACGAAGAGGCTGTCCTGCGCAAGAAACCTGCCGGGACACACACGTCGCCCGTAGCCAAAGGCATGGAACGAAGGGTCGGGCTCGTTTCGAGGCTCCATGTAGCGTTCGGGCGCGAACCGCAGAGGCTCTGGATATCGCTTCGGGTCGTGCAGGAGCCACCATGAGCCGGGGAGGATGTACGAGCCCTTTGGGATGCGGTAGCCCCGGACGATTATGTCTTCTGTGGCCTCGTGAGCTACTCCCATGGGCGCGATGGGGTGCCAGCGGAGCGCCTCTTCACTATGCCGTCGACGTAGGGGAGGTTTTCTCGGTCGCTGTGTGAGGGGAGACGGTCTGAGCCAATGACACGGTCTATTTCCTCCTGGGCTTTCTGTTGCACTTCTGGATGCAGAACCATGCCTAGGACGAACGACATGAGACTCGACACGGTCGTGTCCGCGCCACCGCCATACACGTTCGACGTGACCCACTTGATATACTCGAAGATCTGATCATCTGCCTCTTTGCCCTGATTTCGGTAGGCAGTAATCAGCTTGGAGGCAAACGATTCCTGGTTGGTGCCGTTGCTCATCTGGTTCACGACGAAATTGTATGGAACATCCGCAGAGGCGTCGTGCAAGGCTCTCTGCTCACGGGCGATCCGCTTGAAGCCCGTGCCGGGGAACCAGTCGGGCAGACGGGCCAGGCCAGGAATGAAGTCGACTGCCCATTGGAAGGGAACCGTGGCCTCTGAGAAGTTGGTCATGACGTGCTCGATGAGGGTCACCAGCGGATCAGGCTTGTCGAGCTCGATCTCGTAGCCGTATGTGATCTGTAGGATGATGGCGGCTGCCTCTCTGTTTTATGAATGTCGTCGTAAGTACATGTGACTGCCTTTGATGAGGTAAAAAAAGAAGGCGTATCTTACGTTTTGATGTGCTGGAACAAATTATCAGGGTCCTTTAGAACACGCCACAGGAAACGCTTCGACTCAACGTCCTGGATGTCCGCGAACTGAGCCACGAGGCTCTTCGTTCCAAAGTGCTGGTGGACGACTCTTCGATACAGACGAAACTGGTCGCCGTACTGCAGCAGGGCAAAGAACCTGTCGTAGCCACACATGGCCGCGAACGGAAACCGAGGTCGGCCGGCAGTCTTCATAGAGCCCTTTTCCAGGACCTCGGTGATGACGTCCTCATCATGAAGGAGAACTATGGTCTGGCCCAGCGTGGTGATTGAGCTGATGGGGCCGTATTTGTCTTTGAAGGTGAGCCAGTACTCGTATTCTGGCGCTCCGGGGGGCGGGGCATCTTTGATGTTGCCGAGAATGGGGAGGGGAGTTGGGCCTGGGGGTAGAGGGAGGGAAGATTTGGACTTTTTGCGGAAGAGGAGGGCGTAGACGAGGACGCCTATGAGGACGATGATGCCTTGGGCCAAGGCCAGGTTTGACATCTTGGAGGGTTGAGATTTTTCAACTGCGATATGGGGGACGCGGTTGATGCAAGAGAGGAACTGGATGGTTTACTTGAGGATTGAAGCTGGCTTTATAGTATAAACGCCCCTGGCTATGCCCTTGAGGATTCATCACGAAACAGTGGAAACCATCACCAGGGGGGGGGGGGGGGGGGGATGCTTCCAAGTGGCGACGATATCGACTCGACCCCGCATCGTTCTGATTCCGGGTTCAATGCCGCGCTTGGTGTTGTCTCGACGATCGAATATACCCTGTCATGCCGGCTTATCTCTATTGGGAGGCGAGGGTTTCATTATGGAGGTTCTAGCCCTATGCGTATGGGCCAAGGCGGCAAAATGGATTCCTTTTACACTCTGACAAGACTGGGTTATCAATGGGCGCCCTAAAACCTGCAACTTGGCCGCTCGAGATATCTTTCGACAGTGCATTTCCATTGCGTTCTGCGGGCGTTGTGCCGGTTGTGGGCAAGGGTTGTTGCTGTAGAGTTGCGTTGATGTAACCTCAGACTGGTAGGTTGCTTTAGTGCAGGTCGTAGTAAGATGGTGAACCGGAGCAAAGTCGCCTCTGTTGTGCATCGAGAAGGTTCTTCTTTTCCTCTTTACTCTGGTGGAAATCAAAACGTCAGTTGTTATGATGACATGTTGGTTGTTGTAAACGATTTTTGCGATGTATCATTTGTTATGGAGTTCAGCTTGCTCTGAGAGCTCGAATCGAAGGTGAGGGGTTGTCATCGGCACTGGGATGAAGTGGAGGCGCGGACTGAAGCTGAGGTTGTCGCTTGTAAAGCTGAGAACAGGGTTAATTGTGATATAAGACAGAAGATGCTTGGAGCTGAAGCGTGGATGATGTTGGCAATGTGACGTATATCACTCGCTGAAGCATCGAATACTACAGTTTGTGTAGAGTTGATCTCAAGAATGTACTCAGAAATTGAGTTAATTGTGAGGATAGTGAGTACCAATCAGAATGCCTTCAAGATGATTTGAGGGATGGCTATTGGTCGTTTCAACAAGGGTCTAGATCATCGATCTGCAGGTCCAAATTAGGATGGAGCTGGCTGCATAGCCGAGGCTCAAGATGAAAAAGATAGCTCTTTATTCTACGAGACAGTCGCAAGAAAAACAACTTTACTTGTCATGTCAGTTAAGCGCCCTGTGATCTCTATAACGAAGGTCTGTACAGTTTCGAATTGTCGGTTGCGAGTTTGAAGGTCATCTGTGCTTGAGACTTCATCATCATCTGCGTATATTGAGTCAGCCACTGTAATGGTTGCTACAGAGCAACTATCTGTTGCCGCTCTGTCATATTGTCTTTTGTGATGTTGCCAATGTCACACATAGAGAGCGTTATCAGGATGGCACGGGACTGAATCTGTAATCCAAGGTGGTTCAATCACAGGTTCTGATTTCGACAATCTGAAAAGCGCTCAAATCAAACCAATGTCAATTATTGCTATGAAACTTAATTTTTAACGACTTGTCTTTTCACACCTATCGGCTCAAAAGCTCTGTTATGCTCAAGTTTGAAAGTAAACATCCTAGCCCGCCCAACATAAAGTATAGCTAGTATTTATGTCTTGATTCCAACACAGACGTAGTAGTCGGGGAATAGGCCCGAACAATCAGTCTTGACTGCTGGATTCCATGAGTAGAAATCGTTCAGGGCGATGTTATTAGCTGCGGCAATGTCATAACAGCCGTCTCCGGAGACGACATAATAAAACTTGTTGCAGTTCTTTACCATGCCGGTCTGAGTTGGCGTAGGAGTCGCAATCCCGTTTCCAGATGAGGTTGTCGTTGTCTTCAACGTTGTAGTAGATGTCGGTTTTGTGCCAGTAACCCCAACACAAACGTAATAATCTGGGAATAGACCTGAGCAGTCGTTTTTCACAGCTGGGTTCCAAGTGTAAAAGTCGTTGAGGGCGATGCCGTTGGCGGCAGCGATATCGTAACAGCCGTCTCCTTCGATGACATAGTAGAACTTGTTGCAGTTGGAGACCATGCCTGTCTGTGTTGGGGTAGGCGTAGTGATGCCGTTGCCGGACGAGGTTGTGGTAGCACTGCGGGAAGTACTTGAGGTTGGGGGAAGAGTTGGATGTGATACTGATATCGTGACGAAATTGACCTCTACGCAGTAGTAGAGACCTGAGATGAGATTACAGCCGTCTCCTAGGAGATTCACGCTGGGGTTCTACTTAGAGTCGATCAGAAATTCCATACTATATTCATGCCGTTGCGGCGAAATGGAGAGCTGAGTCGTCGAGACCAACGGAGAAACAACCACTCACCCATGACTCAAATTGCTCCTCAGTCATGCCATAGTACTGCTCAATTATTTCGCAGGTCAAGCCATACGACTTTTGAATCCATCCGCTGCAACTTGATGTAGTTCCTGGAGCAGCGGCGCCAGGAGGGTTGACGAGGTAGGCATCTGCAACATTGAGAGCCAAAGCAGCGGAGAGATAGCTGAAGGCCTTCATTGTGAGGCTTGGGCTAAGCTTGGAAGGCAAGAGCAAAAATTAGAAGTGAAAAATGAAGTTGAGAAATTAGAAAATGGTGCTGCCACCCAGAGTCCTCGTTCAAGGGCAGATGAAGAGGATGACCCTAGACTTTGAGATTATAACCAGACAATCTGTCGTCTGCGGAGCAAAACCAGACTGAAAATTATCATGCTTCGTGGGTTGCCTGCGTCTTCATGTGTGGTGGATAGAACGTCATCAGTCGCGGGCTCAATATCGCCTTGAAATGCATATCATTTGTAATGAAATCAGACCACATGAATCACAAGAGCGTGAGTCTGAACGTAACGTTAAGCCGATTCCTTCGTTGCAGTTGCTGTTGAATCCTCAGCCTTGATATCACTTTACAGACAACTGCGCCTTACTACACTCCAGTTATTGCGACCCATCTTTCGATAGTGGTTCGTGTCTAGGCATGAGGGGTTGTAGGCTTACATGCATCTCCGGGATAAATCCCAGTGCTACCCCAGATACACCTGGATGGGTGGGTTTACCGGTTTACTTTCGGCCTCCTCGGCGGCGGACATACCGGGAAGTAGTAATTGAATGGAAAACGTGCATGCATGTAAGAATCTGTTTGGCACGGGACGGGCTGAAAGTCGATCCTTCAATCCTTTCTGTGGACTTACTCCCCATGAAACTCCTAATCAGGGAATGCTTGAGTAGTTACAACTAACATCAGACGGTAGCTCCTCAACTAGTCGTCCGTTCTTGTGATACTGTTCCATTATCTGGCAATTCCATTTTTGCCCCTGATCAGGAATGTGTTGCTCATACCTAGGTAGTTTAAAGGCATCATGAAGTGATCACAGCATTTCACGGAAGTTGAAATAGGAAAAAATTGCCGAGTTGAGATGGGCTTCTCAAAGTCATTCGACCTCCCGCGCGTATAATTCCCTTGGGAGGCGTCCCACGATAATTGTATGTACCTTATGTCGGCTGCCTGCATAAGGACATCCCGATGCCTAACTCGAGTAATCAATCAACGCCCGCATTTACACTAGCAGTATTAACCCTACCTTCAACTCTATCCACAACCTTTCGAGCCTATTCCCCCTCTTTCGGGCATGCCCGATTAGGAATGCATATGTAGTAAAGTATTGAGCCAGGCTCTTCTTTGTAGATGCCCGCCCGATATTGTCCTTCGGCGTAAGTCGTATTCTGACATAGTACTTGCATATGCCTTGCAATCCTCCAAATCCAACAATGAGCGACTTCCGATGCATGTCCAAGGTACTTTTAAGAATCATAGGGATATCGGGCTTTACAAGGGGAGAATGGCTATTGAAATTGTTTATGGAAGAGCTGACCTAGGAATTCGACCAATCATGGCTTTGCCCCCCCCCTTACTGCTTGTATCACCAAATCACTACAGTCTGCCCACCGCCATGCTATGTAATGACAGCCAGCCCGGTGGTCCACGAAGATGACGGATGGATTCCCACCGTTGATGGTATCCAAGAAAGGGGAAGCAAGGTCAGCTCCGCATCCATACTTATGCTCTGCTGCTCCCGATGAGCTACTTTTGATCTCTATCTATCAGGAAGAAACTACGGCCGCTTGTTATAGCTCTCAAGATGCGGTTCCTTTTGGCGGCTTTGCCGTCTGTCCTCTGGCTTCTTGCGGACATTTGTGAAGCCAAACCGCTGAAGGACTTCGAGTTTGGCACCAGAGATGCTCAAGATGCCGACATCGACACTCTGAACGAGACGCTCTGGCGACGCGTTCGCGTGCCAGGAGGCACTGGCAGCAATGCCCCTCCCCGGGTTGACCAGATCTTCTTGTTCGGGCCCAGTAACATGGCCGGAAGCTGCTCAGGCAGAAAAGACGGTCTTCAAGACTGGCTGGACGACACCAGGCGGGTTCACGACGCGGTTGAGCGACTCTACGCAATGGTTACAAAGCCGAGCGTGTCCAAGCTATGGGAGACATTCTTTGGCATCTTCATGCATATCAATCCTGTCACACATCAATTTGAAGTGCATCCGGACTCGAGAGACAGATGGAACATTATCGGAGGTGCGTTATTCTCTCACGTCCTTCAGTCATCTGGGCTTAACCAACTGAGCATTCTTCATAGACCACATTGCTCGCATAACCAAGTTTTTGGATGGAAACGGGCTGCAGGAGCCGGTAGTTGCAGGAGAGGTACCGCGTATCTTTTGTTCCCCAGACGCGGGCCAGCTCGTCGGATGGGATTCCATCCTCAAAGACGAGAATGGGAACGAGGTCGAAAGGGGAACCGATCCAGTAACTGGAGAGAAGCTATATGTGAGCCTCAGGCAAGCATATCCGGGTCGTGTTGGGCAGAACGCGTTTTGGATGAGCGCTTTCAACGGTTACTGGTTCACAGGCGGGACAGGCACCAGCCTGTGCCCAGAGAAAGGTCGCCAGGCTGCAACGGGGAGATTTGACGTGCCTCCGCTCCGTGGCCTCAATGTCAAGCTTGCGCAGATCAACAGGGGCATCATCATTTGTCCCAAGGCGTTTGAGGTACCTGTTGGGAAGCCTCATGGGCAGCCCTCTCTCACGGAGGCAGTTGGGGGAGACAGTTATCCCAAGGGCGACGGCAGCACTGAGGAAATGCTGGATTATCTGGTGCCGAGGAGCATGACGCTCTACCACGAAATCGTGCATGTCACCGACTACAAGAGGCAGCCATTAGACCCTGATGTTTGTACGTTTCCTTTTTCTTTCCCCCTTGCCATTCTCTTAATTGGAGAAGAAGTTGCTTGCTAACAATTCTTGCTCTGGGTGTATTGCCAGATCCTTTGGGCCATATTCTCAAGATGATCTTCAGCTCTGATAGCCGATACAAGAACGCCGTCCCTCATAACCCGGAGACATACGTGCACTTTGGATTAGCTGCTTACGTCTACTTAAATCCTCCCCAGGGAAAGGACACTATTTTGTATGTGGGCGGGAAGTCTGCTACGGAGACTGCTGTCTGGGATGAAATTTCGCGGAAGAGGCAACAGGGCCCTTGAGATGTGGTTTGACTGTAGACTCGTAATGTCCTGTAGCTTACAAGAACAATCAAGTTTGCAAGATTGCCAGTATGATTACTGTTTATTGTTTTAGTGTTACTATGGTCTTATTGAAATTGATGCCTGCTTTTGTCAATATGCGCATGCGCACTCAGTTCGTTCATCGTCACCAGCAGATTGCTGTGTAAGGCCATTTCAAACGTTCAAGCAAGTCAACATTCAAAATCAGCCAACGTTCGAACCAAATCAGCTTTGAGAACAATGTTATCAAAACCTGACATCATAATGTAAGCCCGTAACTCACTTGACTTTAGCCTGTGTGTTTGCATCAGCATCAGGCTCTCTTCAACCGGCGAGGCTGGCTTGAGTAACATCAAACCAAAGGATTCTCGGATGACTTCTCCTCTTCCCACGCAATGGGTCATGGAACTCCAGGAACAAGTACCTGATACATATCAGGACCCTTGGAAAAAATTCCCCGGATCTACTGCCGCTTTGGCTTGCGGGAATAAAAAGGCCGAGAGATAGGAACACACGGAGGGGGCGGCAACGTTACTCTCTTTGTGATAGCGTTGCAGGGGACTTAATGAGGCTCTCACACAAGGTCACACACACACCACCACTTACAAATTCATCAATATGTGGGATTGGGTTGTGATACCATCGAATCCTCCGGAGTAAGACTGGAGGAGGAGTGTTTGTGGTATGCATGTATGCTTAACCTGTAATTGGTGTTTCACAACTGCAGACTTTCCTCTCAGTCTCGTATCTCCGCTTATACTTGAAGAGCATGTTAAAATGGCTGGAAGGTTTGCTGAGTATATACGACTCAGTTCCGTCTCTCACGACCATTCTTGAGCCCCTACTATTCCAGCCTCTCCTAGATAGTCCAGAACTGGGAAGCAACGCAAATCATAATGAGGCTCACACTGGGAGTTGCTGCTGTGTGTCTAGCGGCTGGAGCTTTTTGGACTCCCCAGGGAGCTCTAGCAGCCAGCTCCAATGCAGCAGCAGACGCACTCATAGCCTCTCTTTCACAAGCCAATTCCATTAAAACCGCCTCCGGACCTGTCTCAAGTCGACCAACAGACCGTGCCAGCGCTCGAGCTGCCGTTCTGGCAGGAAACTTCACCTCTAAACTTCATCATGAGCGAAGAGACAGAAACAGAAACTCATGTCCTGCCGCGTGTAACAGCGCGGATACAGGGTCGTGGGATGTGTTTCATGACATCAACCGTCTCAAGGAGTGCAATCAAACGATGTTGTTGGACTTTGCCCTTTTCAATCACGTCGACGATTCCAAGCCGGTCGTCAAAATCTCGGCTTGTACGGCGGACCTAAAGGTGAATGAGAACAGACTGCACTCGTTGTCTAAGACAAACGACTGTGCGGTCGAGGGTGTGGAACTGTCTTCAAAGACGACACAGATCCAACTGGGCTCGTCAGGGGCTTCGTCAAAAACTCATGTCGCCGATGTCAGTGCTGCTCTCGACCAGCTGCTGGCTTTGTCGAGCATTTCTTCTGCAAACTGTCAAGAGACAATCAAATACGCCACCTCTGGAGACGTCATTATTGGTGTCTATGCAGGATCCGGCATCGCCAGTCAAGGAGTGCTGGCATCTGTCATCGACAAGCTCAGCAGTGAAATCCAAAGCAACGGCCAAGTTACAGAGAACTTGGTGGCCCAAGTTTGCGGCAGCAAGACACCGGCAAGATACACGCTGGGCATATTTGCCACAACCAAGGGGCATCTCGGTGCTGTCCAGCGCAGTGTGCAATCCTGGAAGAACGGCACTTGCGTTGCCACAAGTTCCACAGGCGATGTCAAGATCAAATCGAGCTCGAATAGTGTTACGTATCTTGCCCCGTCTGCCTCCCACAACAACTCAACCTCCAAAAGCTCCTCCGGCAACTCCAAGAAGCCATTGTCAGCTCGTGCCGACTGCCGCACCATTCAAGTTGAGGCGGGAGATTCATGTGCCTCTCTGGCCACCGAGTGCGGCATCACGCCAGCCCAATTCACACAATACAACCCCAGCTCAACTCTCTGCGGCGCTCTCACCCCCGGACAGCACGTCTGCTGCAGCTCAGGCACACTGCCCGACTTCACTCCCAAGCCCGATGACAAGGGCTACTGCTACTCCTACCTTGTGAAGGATGGCGACTCCTGTGCCTCGATCGGTGCAGCTTATGACCTGACCAATGCCCAAATTGAGAGCTTCAACAAGAAGACCTGGGGCTGGAACGGCTGTGCGAAGCTCTTCGCCAGCTACAAAATTTGTCTGAGCACCGGCTACCCTCCCATGCCAGCCCCTGTGGCCAACGCCGTGTGCGGGCCGCAGGTAAACGGCACCACGCCGGCTCCCCCTGGCGTCGACATCAGCACTTTGAACGAATGCCCGCTCAATGCCTGCTGCAACATCTGGGGCCAGTGCGGCACGACGGGCGACTTCTGTACCCCCTCAAACTCAAGCACCGGTGCCCCTGGAACCGCGGCCCCGAACGAGAACGGCTGCATCTCCAACTGCGGCGACGAGATCCTCACGTCGGATCCCCCTGCGGAGACTATGAACATTGCCTACTTTGAGGCGTTTGACCAGAAGCGTACATGCCTCAAGATGCCTGTCACTGCGGTCGACACGTCTGCTTACACGCATATCCACTTCTCCTTTATCACGCTCAACGAGGACTACTCCGTCAATATCGATGGCGTGGAGAGCCAGCTACGTCTGCTTTCTGGCATGGCTGGCGTCAAGCGCATCGTGTCTGTGGGCGGCTGGGACTTTTCAACCAGTCCGAGCACGTACCAGATCTTTCGCAAGGCTGTCTCGTCCGAAGAGAACCGCCAGACGCTCGTAAACAACATTGTTGACTTCCTTGCCGAGTACGACCTCGACGGCGTCGACTGGGACTGGGAGTATCCCGACGAGCCGGATATCCCAGGCATTCCGGAGGGGACTGAAGATGAGACAACGGGGTATTTCCTCCTGCTGGATGAGCTGAAGCTCAAGCTGCCGTCGAACAGGACCGTGTCAATCACTGCGCCAGCATCATTCTGGTATCTTCAGTATTTCCCTATTCTCGCACTCAGCTTTGTCGTCGACTATATTGTGTACATGACGTACGATCTTCACGGCCAGTGGGATTACATCAACAAATATGCAAGTCCGGGCTGCCCTTCGTACGATCAGGGCCTGGGCAACTGCCTACGGTCGCACGTCAATCTCACCGAGACGCTTAATGCCCTTTCCATGATCACCAAGGCCGGCGTTCCGTCTAACATGATCACCGTCGGTGTCAGCAGCTACGGCCGGTCGTTCCAGATGAGTTCGGCTGGATGCTGGACTGAGCAGTGCACTTACACGGGGCCTGATTCGGGGGCTCTTCCGGGGCCCTGCACCAATACTTCCGGCTACATCTCCAACTACGAGATTAACAGAATTGTCGCCGGAAATCCTTCTGCAGAGGTACACTGGGATCAGGACTCGTACTCCAACATTGTCGTTTACAACGGCACTCAGTGGGTTGCCTTTATGAATGATTCCAACAAGGCCACCCGAACTGCTTTGTATCCGTCCATTAACTTTCTGGGCATTGCCGACTGGGCTGTCGATTTACTGTCTGAAGATGGTGATTCACCAGATTCATCATCTTCTTCTGAACAGACAATATACATTGACCCGGGCATCTGGTCGTCCGCAACACCGTCGGTCGTGGCACCGCCTGGCGCGTCACTCATCTGGCCTCCAAAGCCTCTGGGAAGTACTACAACGATCACTTTTCCTCTTTGGACGACAACAGTTTCTTACAGCAGTTTGACGACGGAAACAAGTACTTTGACAGATGGGTCGACGACCACGTATCACGCGTATGTGTGGGTGTCGTGGCTGACGACCCTTACAATTCCTGCAGGTGAGAACGATGGCCCTTGTTCAATGACAAGTGAGGTATGCCTGGAGGTATGGAAGGCTAACCAGTTCTTTTCTGCACCTCTCTATAGTCACGACCACGGAAATAGGCATATGGGGTGTTTCTCTTAACAAAAGCTCCTCCACGGGCACGATTTACCTGACGAGTTCCGTCCAGCCACCACCCTTCAAGGTGACCATTACTCCGTAAGATGCAAATTCCTCACCTATATCCAGTATTCCGTGACAACTGGACGTCGATACTGACTGGCGTGTAGAGTAGTGAGCGGCACAACGTCCATCATTGGCCCCACGAAGACGTCCACCATCAAGGGCACCGTCATCACCTATGGCTCCGAGACCTGGACGGAGCAAGACGAGACCCAGACGCAAGGCAGAAGCACCAGCATCAAGGGCGGCACAACCCTCCCGCCCACCATCATCACCGTCACGCCCAATCCTCATCCCACCACTGTGGCAACCAAACCAGACCCAGAGGTCAATCCCAAGCCGCCATCGTGGAAGTCTGGGTCTGATCCTAAGCCGACTGCCAAGCCGGGATGCTCTGGATGCGGCAAGCCTTGTAAGCACAACCCCCCCTTGACTGTCTTACTATGTATCACGTCAAATATGAGCTAACACCCATGCTCATTCAGGCATCCTCTTCTGTGATTCTGGCTGTCCGTTCTGCCCTCCTGGCATCTTCCACCCTGGTGGCGGTGGTGGAGGAGATCCCAACGACCCAGATGACGACGACGACGACGATGACGATGACGACCCAAGTCAGTACACAATCTATGCTGAATCTGTCCTTGACGACCAGTTCCCAGACAGCCCCGAGGACGCAGGCTCTCTGAACGATCTCTGGAACACAGAGATATCTCGCTTCGCTTCCGAGATGGGCTGGCTCACGACGAGTTCAACCACCACCAAGCCATCCAGCACAGCCCCTCCCCCTCCGCCACCCAAGCCCACACCAGAAGCAACGTGTGAGTACTTTTACGGAGGAGTCCTGTACGAGTTCTTCATCTACTACATCTCCGGCTGGGACACCGACGACCTCGAGGGCCATCTGCACGACGAGGAGAATGGGTGCGGTGCGCTGACGGGCTGGGACTGGGATTATGCGCATGCAAAGGATCCCTCGGTGGCATTCAACTTGCCTCTATTCATCAAAGACGGGTGCGTTGAACGTGCAATTGTTTCTGCTGGAGGGCCCAAGATTTCGTGTTCAATGTATGGCGGGTGGGGGACTCCTGGACCGGACGATGATGATATGGATGCCGCGTTTGCAAAGGCTCATCAAGCGAATGCTACGCAAGAGCATGGGCCGTATAGGCCGATGAGTTGGGCTACTTTGCTTGCGAGGGCAACGGGGCGAAGGCAGAAGTAGCATTCTTGGTAATCTGCAGCGCTGTGTCAATGAACAAATCGCTTGCCCTTGATCATGATAATGTCTGACGGTGATGTCTACTATGAATGACTCGATCTTAGCTATCTACTCATAACTCGGTTTCTTGAGCAGTTCTTCCGCTGTCCTCAATCTAGCCGTGATACTCTGGTGAAATGCCCTCGACACCTCTGAGCACGTATGTCCCGGAACTCGCCACACAGGCCTCTCAACGCGAAGATCTGCTCCAGCAGCGAGCAACAACTTGACCGTCTCCTGTCTTTTCAACTCCATCGCCAACTCAATCACTCTCCCGCACCTGAACTTGATATCCTTTTTCCCTTCCTCAGCCGTCAGGTCGTGATATCCGACGTTTGGATCCGCTCCTCCACGCTCAAGCAGCAGCCGCACCATTCCAACATTGCCCATTTTCACGGCCCGAGCAAGCGGAGGAATAAACTCCGTCGGCTCCGATATATCGTAGAAGTTGCAGCCGTCTTCGAGGCCGTTCTCTGGCAATGGCCGATCGCCGTCTTCAAAGTCGCATCGCGCGCCGTTGGCCAGGAGGATCCGTGCCATGGCTGCGTCTCGCTGATCAACCGCCAGCCCAAGCGCTCTCGTCAAGTCCACTCGATCCGGCGTCTTGTTCATCGTCTTGGAAAGAGTCAAGAGAAGCTCGACGAGTTTACGGTTTTTGGTTGCCACAGCCCTGACCATGAGTGGTCCCCCTTGACCCCATACCCGGGCCTCGTAGCCTGGAAAGTCGACGTCGGCGCCGTTGTTGATCAGAAGGCGCACCAGACGCAGATTCTCATGGTCCACGGCCCATTCAAGGGGGCTTATCCGCTGATATCCAAAGAGGCGTATGTTCAGGTCTATGCCATGCTCCAGCACAATCTGGGAGACGATGTGGTCGTGTCCTGCCTGTAAAGCCGCCTCCAGCGCGTCTAGTTTCTGGGTTGTGCTGGGAACGGTTGACCCGAGAAAAGTGTTGGCATCATTTACTTCATGGGACGGACCATCGGCTCGAGTGGGAATGGGTTTCTTCTCCCCTGTCGGCTGGTGACGAAAGAAGAGCTGTCCAGGACCAGCAGTGTCTGCTTCCCACACGAGCTCCCAGCCGTCATCCTGATGATCATCGGCCTCTGCATTGGACGCTTCATGGCTGGGGTCTAGCACTATAGCAGCGTCATCGAGTTCCATGTCAAAATTGCTTTCGGGTTCTGGGTTATCCAGGGACATTTGCTGCATGTCGTACCGTTCTTTGTATATGTCTTGACGAACCGGCCTGAGGGATCCCTCTACTCCATGCTGTTTGAAGTCGCCGATACTAAAACCTGGCTTAAAGGAGGGCGTATATTCCCGTTGCTTGAGTTTACCACAATCGATGTCAGCAAAAAAGGGGTGCTCTTTGACTTCCGATGCCCCCCCTCTAGCTCCAAGACGAAAATCAGGCTTGCGGTCGAGGAGCTTCGCGATGACATCTCTAGCATCAGGTGGAAGGTCATCTGGAAATTGAATTGAATCGGAGCTGAGTATTTGTCGGCGTATCTCGTCGGCGTTCTCGTGAAAGAATGGCGGTAGCCCTGTCAGCATCTCGTAGATGAAGATACCCAGCGTCCACCAGTCGGCCGCTCCAGATCGGTTTTGATCGCGGAGTATTTCGGGGGCTGGATATTCAGGCAATCCGTAGCCACCACGGCCATCATCCTCTACACCTGGATCGTAGAGGCCGGAGCCACAGAGTACGACATGTCCCAGAGAGTCTAGAAGGACGTTTCGAGGCTTCAGCCACGAGTAGATGCCGCGACTCTCGTGCAGATACTCCAGTGCGCAAAGAATCTCGGCGGCATAGATCCGGGCTCTCTTGAGACTGAAGACTCGCTGATTCTGCAGGTGTTGGAAGAGGTATCCGCCGCACATGGTCGGAGACAAGAGGTGCAAGCCTTCTTGTGACTGGAAGACAAGCGTGAGCGGCGCGATGAATGGATGGTCGGCATTCTGGGGCCGTCGAACAGCTGGAATCGTCCTTGTGGTGTATCTTTGACGCGTGTCTTTCTTGATGACCCGAGCAGTGTATCCTGAGTTGCCCTTCTGGATCTTGGATTGTTCGATGAAATCGGCCGCCTCCAACGTTTTGTCCTTCGTGTCGTCGTATTTAATGCTGACGCGTAGCCGGCCCGTGCCACCCTCCACATCAACCCATTGTGATGGTGTCTCTTCTGACGCCGATGCCTGAGCGACATCTATCGGAATCCGCGCCACGCCGATACAGGCGTCTTGGCTTCTCACACAAGGAGACGCATGCGGATCCCGGAGATAGAGATGGATGGCCAGCTCAGCAGGACGACATACGTCGAATTTCCAGTTCGCGTCGCGGTACTCTCCGGTGACTTCATCAAGCCGCCATGGCACAATGTCTGACACCCAGACCGGATCTTCTGCCGTCCCTTCGTCTGAATCCGCCTGTTGCTGAGACCTGTCGTAGTCGAGAACTGCGTACGGCGTGTTGCGCTTGCTCAGCCCTTGTTGATCAGGCCTCTGGTCTTCCTTGTAGCTGCCTGGTATTGAGAGGCCGGTTCCTTCGTGAAGTACGACTGTCAGAATGCCCGGCCTGCTTGGTGATGGAATTGCTTCTTCCGGCTGCGGGCCGTAGCCAGTCGGGCTGCGCTCCCTCTTGGCCATTGCTGAGAGATTGCTTTGGTGTCATGATCAAATTTGAAAGGTGTGAGAGAGTCCATATTATATATAGGTATGCGTTGCTGTTATATGCGGGGTCGGGGAAACTGCCTAAATAGTGAGGGCCAAGTTGAAGGTGTTGCGCCAGGCTGAACCGCCGCCGTGGAAGGATCTGAGAATGCTTGTCTGTAAATGAAAATGCAACGCTCACAGGGCTCACAGATTAATAGACTACGATGGATGCAGTAAGTGATATTGCTTGGCCTGGTTAGGCCTGAACGATTGTTATTCCGATACTTCGCATATGATAGCTGGACGACTCCTCCACTTACATTCCAAGCGAGAAGCGACTCTTGCGCCTTGCTTCCGTGTTCCAACTTGATACCGTCCCATTGTAAGCAAGCTTTTGAGAATGCCCATGAGAGTGAGCACACGAATGATACCCATAGACTTCAACTTCACTTACTGAAACTGAGAAGCACTCGGGAGGCCTCCTCTCCATATAACACGGGAAAGCAAAAGTATAGGTTGATGCGAGACTAAGCGTTCACATAATTGCAAGATACCAATTGCAACATGGCTCATTGAATGTTGAGCACATGATGAGCGACATGTGGCATAGACGCAAACTGCAATCATAGTAGGTCAGAGTCGCTCGGGATCAAACATCTTCTCAGACCAATACTTGATGACACTGTACCTGATTAAGGCATAATATTCTCGTTACCATGCCTCCTCCTCACCGCATCCTCCTGTCAAGCATAAGAGCCAAGAGCCGGATCAGTAGCAGCAACGTCTTGAACCGACTCTTTCCAGAGCTTGCTAATAAAGTCTTCTCCTTCCGCAGTGTTGAGAAACTCGGCACCCCTGTCAAACTCAGTTGAGCTGTACTATCCGTAGAACCTCAACAATAAGCATCACATGAACTTACGGGTCAACCTGATTATGCTGCAAAAACTTGCCGTTCGTCTCAGTCCCCGCAACGACCGCTACATAGATCAGCGTGCGAGCGCCCTCTTCGACTGTGCGGCCCGTAGACTTGCGGAGAAGCCCCATGGGCAGCTTGAGATAGAAGGGCAGGTTCTTGTCTATGCCAGTTTGTACAAGCCCAGGACAAGCGTTATTAACTATAACTTCGGATGGCGCCAAAGCAGCCAGGCGGCGGACGTAGGCGTTGACGACCGTCTTGGAATCTGCGTAACGATAGAGCTTGTTGAAGTTGGCTTCGTCATCGAAATGCCCGAGTACTGTGCTTTCCGAAGATATAGGCTGTTTGCTCAGGGTGTTCTGCATGATTTGGGTGGCGGATCCTGTGAATGTGATGCGGGATGGCACTCCTCTGGCTGCAGAGGTCGACCGCAGGAGAGGAAATAGCTCGAGGGAGATGAGAAGGTGAGTGTAGCAATTGACTTGAATTATGAGAAGTAATCAGTAAGAGTGAATTTCAATGCTGTGTGCACCTTGAGTTGCTTACCTTGCATGCTCCTCTCATGACCACTTTTGCTTTTCTCATAACCCATCACCACCTGTCCGCCATTGTTCAGGAGTATATCGAGCTCTTTGACTTCAGCATTGACCCTATTCGAAAAGCAAAGTCCAGAATAATAATCGTCGAGATCGAGCTCAAAGGCATCGATAACGGCATTGGGATTGGTCTCTTTGACGGTAGGATGAGCACGGAGAGCCGAGGCAGCCTCTTGCCCTCTCGCAATGGAGCGGCATGCCAATATCATGCGAGAAGCGCCTAAAGTGAGGAATTGTCTTGCAGCTTCATAGCCTAAGCCAGAGTTACCACCGGTGACGATGACGGTTTTGCCGCTGATGTTGGCATCAGTAGGGGTGGGAGGGATAGGAGGCTGGCCTATGGCTGGAGAGGACATGGCTGAAGATGTGAGTGTGTGATTGAGTGTCGATGAATACTGACGGACGAGGCTTCTAAACGTCATTTACACATATATATCTAATGACAATTGTTGTGATTGACTGTATCTGCTTGTTCACATGGAGGAGTGACGCATACGGTGCGAACAGTGATATCCGACCACGCCCTACGCATCTTAGACTCTATGCTGCTTGAACTCATCTTAACGATGAAGATGACTAAAATAGCCTCTTGATCGAGCTCATAATTCCACTGGTCACTTTCTCAGGCTGGCTAAACTGTTGACAGTGGTAGCTTCAAAATCACCATGTGGCCCGTTGACTGGGCAATAAATGGTCTGTCTGCTGTGAAGTTATTTCACACACCTTAAGCAAAGCTAACGTGACAATTTATTTCTCATTCTAATACATACATCCTCTTCCGTATTCTGAAAATCCTATAAGTTGACTCTAGCCTCTGTCATATGACGCTGGTCTATCTGCAAGCTGTATAGCAGGTCATGAAGACTTTGCAAATTTGGCAAACGTGCTGCGGTCAACCACATTAGCCACCAGCTGCGCCAGGCTCGGGCTCTGCATGATGTTGAAAATGGACAACTCTGCTCCCGCCTGACTGAAGAGCATGTTGCGCACCTCGACTGCCACAAGAGAATCAATACCCTGCTGCGACGGCGAGTCGTTGAGGTCCACCTCTTCAACGGAAACGAGGAACATGTCGGCCAACATGGCCGCCACGGCAGACCCGACGACAGAAATCGCCTCATCTCGCGACGAGGCAGACGCAATTTTCGCAGAAAGAGAGTCTCCTCCGTTGGCCGCCTTGCTATCCTCGTCATCATGCCCGTCAGCAGCAGCAGGCTGGCGATACTTGAGCGCCAGCAGGCGCATGTCTCGTCCCAGGTCGCCGTCAACATCCCAGTGTGGCCCAGGACCTGAGTTGATGCCGCCGAGGATGAATTGCGGATCGTATGGCGACACAATAGCCAGCTCGAGGGAGGCGAGGACCTGCTCCTCGTTGATGACCCTGCGTCCCGCCTTGATGAGGGACTTGCGCATCGCCTCAGCTGCACTCGCCTCGGCAACGTAGCCGACGCCGTCGACGAGCGAGAGGTCGATGGAAACGGCGGGCAGGCCTTTGTGCTTGACGCGCCAGTGAGCCAAGGCATCTTCGTAGGCACCGGCGGCGGAGTAGGCGGCTTGGCTGGCGTAGCCCAGAATGCCGTTGATGGAGGAGAACAGGACGAAGAAGTCGAGGTCGCCTGGCAAGTTGAACTGGTTATGAAGGTTCCAAGCGCCCGAGACCTTGCTTTGGATTGTGTATTTGTAGTCATCAAGAGTCATGTTTTCCACAAAGGAGTCCTATCAAGTGAGCATGACTGTTAGAAAACCCTCGAAACAGTGCAATGGTGATAAGGGGTAAACTGAGGTACTCACATGAAGAACAAAGGCCGCATGAACCACGCCCCTAATCGGTGGGAGTCCCTCGCGTGCACAGGTGTCCATGGCCCGTGCCAGATCGTCCTCCTTGGCAACGTCACAACTGACCGGCAAGACACGATGGCATCCTGCGTCGCGAAGCTCCTCTGCAAGCACCGCCATCTTGGGGCTCTGGCCTGCACTCCTTGACAGCAAAACAAGGTTCTTGGCGCCGCGGGATACCATCCAATGAGCCACAGCCTGTCCCAAGCCGCCATTGCCACCTACGATCAAGTAGGATGCATCTGGAGAGAGCGTGGCGGCTGGTGCGGTATGGGGCAGAACAGATACCATCTCGTCCTGCGCAACTGACAAGACTCTCTTTCCCGTCTCTTCTTCCGTCTGAATAAGGCGGGAAACTTGTGCAATATCTCCAATGTTGTGTTCAATGACAGGAGAAACGGGTGCAAGAGCTTCAAGCTCGAAAAGGCGCATCACTTCTTCTAGACAACGATGCACATCGCTGCCACGGTGTTGCAACAAGCTTGGCACGTCAACTGCCGAGAATGACACGCCCCGAGTAAATGGAAGCATCTCGAGGTTGCTATTTGCCAGCGAGTCATACTTGCCAACTTCGATGAAGTGGCCGAGGGGCGCGACGAGATTGAAGCTCGTTTGGAGAAGAGGGCCTGTCAGCGAGTTGAGCACGACATCAACACCTCGCCCGTTGGTGGCAGCAGTGACGGCAGTTCCGAATGAAGCGTTGTTGCTATCAAAGATCTGATGAGAAGGTATGCCGTGTTCCCTGGTGAGGAGATCTCGCTGTTTGGGGCTGGCGACTGTCGTAAAGACCGTGGCGCCGATGTGCTTCGCAACCATGATGGCTGCCTGTCCTATGCTTCCGGCAGCATTGTGGATAAGAACGCTTTGAGAAGTCTTAAGTCTTGCTGTCTCGACAAGAGAAAAGTAGGCAACGAGGAATGCTGCGGGAAGGGATGCTGCCTGCTGGAAGCTCAAGCGACTCGGCATCTGAACGACCGAGGTCCAGTCAACGACGGCCCGACTCGTGAATGATGACTGCTGCAACAAACAGACGACACGGTCGCCAACAGAGTATCCGTGCTTGGACGCTTCAATTCCGACTCTCGTAATGATACCGGAACACTCTTGCCCTGTGATGGTTCTATCTGCGGGATTCAGCCCGGCGCCGTATGCCCTAGGCATGATCTCTACCAGCCGCGGTGGGAGCGTGTCCCTGTAGACAGCCGCGCTCGCATCGTCACCAAAAACAAGAAGCTCTGGTAGGAAACACAGTGGGCGATGTTGCTGATAGAAAGGCTCGACGGTGGTGATTCCCTGGGTGTCCTCCTCAGATTCCAGCGTCTTCGGAGTAATCGCATTGTCCTTGGCCACATCATGATAGACTCTAGGAATGAGAATCACGCCATCTCTCTCAGCATACTCGAGTTCAACGGGCCCTTTGTCGGGTCCTGAGCTGTGTCCGGGCAGCGACTGGCCGAAGGCGTTCTGCAGCACCTGTGCGATAGCTTCATGACCAGACTCCTGCCACAGCGACCCCTTCGGGCTCAGGTCCAGAGTGATGAACTTTCGGCCGACGTATTCGTTGCGCAGTGTTCGTACGAATCCAGTCGCAAGACTGACTTCAGGGCGTTCGCAATCGACAGCACCACCGCGAGTAACCCAGAGAAGACCCTTACATCCTGTACTCATGGCCTTAATGCCCTCCAAGGACGCCGCATCGAGATTATACAGGATAGGCTCGTTTATTTCCCCGATAAAGATGCAGATCTTATCGGCATACCAGGCTGCTGTAGCTGCGGCTGACTCAATGCTTTGTACGCTTGGCAGCACCTTGCCTTCTGCACCATTCACCGCCTTGGAATACGAGGCAATTGAGTGCTGCAGAGCCTTGAGCCACTCGGAAGGAGGGATGCCAGCTTGTTCACTTGTGACAATCACGACTTTGCCAGCATCTATGTCGCTTTGGCCTGCTGGGTGCGGTGGCAGTGTCGACATGATGGTGGCCGAGACAGAAGCATCAACGTCGTCGCTGTCTCGTAGCTCAATATCAATGCCGGTAAACCCAGCGTGCCGCAGAGATCGGTCCCAGAGAGGGACGCTGAGCAATGGACTTGGCTCGACATGTTGTTCGGAGAATCTTTCACTGGACCACCAGCTGGGAAAAAGCCCCTTGACAAACTGCACGTCGATACTAGGCTTGAAATCCTCCGTGAACAACAGAGTGCCTCCAGGTTTGAGGAGACTCCTGACGTTTTCCAGCACACCAGCAATAGCTGAGCTCGTCGATGAAAAGGCGTGAGAAGCAATCACAACATCATAAGATCCGACAGTGAAACCCTGGTCAGCAGGATCACGCTCGATATCGAGCACGTCAAATGCCAAGATGTCGGACCAGGCGGCAAATCCCTCGCGTGCTGCATCGAAATTGCGATCTGACAAGTCTGTGTAATGGTACAAAGAGGCGTGAGGGCCGCCCGACGTAGCAGTGTCCAGGACACCCAGAGCAGAGCCGGTGATACCGCCGGTGCTTGCACCAATTTCCAGGATGCGCGCCCGAGGATTCTTGTGTACCAGATGGCGAAGAAGGCCTGAAAGCTGCGAACTTGTGCGCTTTGCCCTGGGCGTCTCGCTGTAGAACCTCGAGAGCAGATTCTTGTCTTGTTCCATGATCTCGGTTGGTGTCGACTGCCCCCGGAGGATAGATACGAGTTGTTTACCCAAAAGACGTATCATCTCGCCATCCGCCTGTGCCTTGGCTATCTGATCAATGTGCTCCTCATCGATGTCAGTGATGGCGGCCTGTTGGGCAGCAGACTTCATCCACGCATAATACTTGGAGTAATGCGACCCGTTGGTGAAGTCACTGTCGGACAGGCTGGCGAGTGCCTTTTGAATGAAATAAAGGCACAAACTCGAGATTTCCACTCCCCCAGCCTCTGCAGAGTTGGAATTGGAGGAGAGCTCCTGCTTGACCAGAGAGACTGTCGCTGGAAGTTTGATGGAGATGTCTGGGCGCCAATGAATGCTGCTGCACAGCTGGCTCTCCCAGGGCTCTGTATGTTGGAGTGATACGCTGCGTCCCAGAGATTGGTACGAAAAGCCCTTCATCTCTAGCAGTACATTGTTGTCATCAACCCCGTCATTTGCGACTATCACATCAGCCTCCATCCCGTGTTTATCATCGCGGATGATGTGGGAGTGCGCCTTGAACACATGTTCAGGGCTGTGGCTAATATTGCTCGACACCCAGAAGCTCTTGACCGACCTGGGCACCTTGGCAGCAGTCTCGCGGCCAGCAGCTCCAGGGACAGCTGAGTACGGCGAGGTGATGAACGAGTCGAGAGTGACGGGATGCAGGACATGTTCGCGGGGAAGATCGTTGGGCACTGACGTATCAGGCACAGTCGTGAGAACCACGCTGCGCCTGTCGAAGCCGGATTGCACAATGTGACTCATGTTTTGGAACACCGGACCGTGCCCAATACCAAGGGCTTTGAGATTGGCGAATAGTTGAGCGGGAGGAATCTGTCTCTTGTAACCTTTGATAGTGAACTCGCCAAGTTTCGGCTCGTAGACTTGAGCAGATGCTTCAAACTCGATCGAGATGAGACCCTTGGCGTGCTGAGTCCATCGGTTGTCTCCTGTAACAGTCCAGACCTCAAAGTGCTTCCAACCCTGGATTGCAACGTCTTTATCATTCACAGGGCGTAGACTTGTCTGAATCTCGATGCCGTCTGAGGTATCTGGTATCATCAAGGCCTGCAGAAAGTCGACATCGCGAAGTCGGTAACCTGATACCTCCTTAGCCCCTGCCTTGGTATGGTTCAACGCATGAAGCTGCTTGGTCGCCTCAATGGCCAAGCAGATGTAACCCGCAGCAGGATACACGACATTTGACTGAATAGCGTGATCTCGCGTCCATGGCGACTCTGATATCCGGAGCGTGTGTCGCCATGTTGGTTCTTCCAGATTCGTCCCCTCAACGAGCGAGCCCAGGAGGTGATGAGGCGGCACAGAGCGTTCCCGAAGCGCCCTGTTGAATCTTGGCTCAACCCAGTGCTTGACTTGATGGTTCCAGGGGTATGAGGGCAGTCCAGTTAGCACTCTGACCCGGGAGCCTCTTCCATGGGGAAAGTTGACAGCGTCCATATCAAGAGGATACCCTTGCTGTAGTAGATTAGCCGCAAGAGCTTGCATTGTGTCCTTTGCGTCTGCTTTGCGGACGAGGCAGCCGTAATATGGGATCTGCAGCCCCTTAAACGCAGGCAATGCGAGAATTTGCTGAATGGGCCCGCCCAGTGCTGTGTGAGGGCCAACCTCGACGACGACATCGACGTTGGCAGAACCATTCGGATTGCCGAGTACCATGTCGGTAAAGGCGTCCACAAACTGGACGGGCTGTACCAAGCTCTTTACCCAGTGTTCAGGACGTGCCACTTCCTCAATGTTAGCCACCCTGCCACCAGTAACGGGCGATGAATACGCAATCGAAGACTCATTGCGGCTGTTCTTCCTCTTGATGTTATCGAGGGCCTCGACGTAGACATTTGCAATCGCCGTCATGTGGTGCGAGTGCCAGGCTGTCTCTACCTTGAGCAGACGAGCAAAGACGCCATCGGCATTGGCCAGCTCCTCCAGTTCTTGCACGGCACTCAAGTCTCCGGAAACTGTCGTGCTGGAGGGACTGTTGACGCAGGCGACCATGGCTTTACCACCAGTCGTCAGTCTCTTCAGATATGCCTCTGTGTCTTCTCGGCCGAGTCCAATGGCGAGCATGCCGCCCTTGACGGGGCCTCGTAGGCTCGTGTCTGCAGCCAGCACGGCGCGGTGGTATGCATACGCCATGGCGTCTTTGTAGCTGAGTGCTCCCACCGTGTAGGCCGCAGCAATCTCGCCGCTAGAGTGGCTGGTGACAGCCGCAGGGACAACACCCCAAGACTCCAGCAGGCGAACGAGTGAGATCTGCACAGCAACACAGATCGGAGTGCTGAGGCCTGACTCATTGATCCGGGAGGAAGCGGCATCACGCGAGAGCTCTTCCACGAGGGACCAATCCGCCCCGAACTGCCTTATGTATGCGTCGGCCTCGTCGAGGGAGGCTTTGTACACAGGGTAGGCATCGCGAAGCTCCCTCCCCATTGCCCACCACTGAGCTCCCTGTCCAGTAAACACCATACCGATTCTTGGTCGACGCGAGCTGCGGTAGGGCTTGAATTTGGGTGATTGGAGAGTATTTACAACAGCCCCAATGCCCTCCGTGACCGGAACAGGGTGTGCAGCTACCCACGGGAAGCGGGTGCGGCGCTGCCCAAGGGTATACGCAAGGCTGTCGAGCAGTCTCGACGGTTCATCCTCGGCGGATGCGACCCGTTGGAGGTATTCGGCGAGGTTGGAAATCATGGTCCTGCATGCCTGCTCATCTTTGCCGCTCAGGACGAGAACTCTGGAGCCAGTGTCAATGGGCTCCTTGGAAGATGTACCCTCTACCGGAGACGGAGTCCATGATGCCCCATCTTCAAGGATGATGTGTGCGTTAGCACCACCGTAACCAAAGTTGTTGATGGAGGCACGGCGAGTGCTAGCAGCTGGCCATTCTTGCAATTGTCTCACAAGTTTGAGATGCCAGTCTTCCAAAGACAGCTTCGGGTTGGGCTTTTCGAAATTGATCGAGGCTGGAATCACCCCCTTTTCCAGGGCCAGAGCCGTCTTGATGATGCTGGCCAACCCACTTGCGGCTTCAGTATGTCCAATGTTTGTCTTGATAGAGCCAATGAGGAGGGGATCCTGGTTGTGGGAGAAGACTGTTGCAATGGCGCGTGCCTCGACGGTGTCTCCAGCCTGCGTGCCAGTGCCATGCGCCTCAAAGTACTGAGTGTCCCGAGGATCGAGTCCAGCTCTTGCGTAGCACTGGCGGATCAGGTCAATTTGGGCTTCCAGGCTGGGTGTTGTAATCGTCTCTGTCTTGCCGTCTTGATTGAGGAGAGAGGACCTGATGACAGCACGGATCGGGTCGCCAGCAGCGAGTGCGTCTGATAAACGCTTCATCACAATCGTTGCCACGCCCTCGCCACGACCGTAACCGCTGGCGCGTGAGTCAAATGCATAAGACTTGCCATCGGCAGAAAGAAAACTGTCGTTGGTTCCCGTCAGTCTCAAGCCACAGGATAGGGGTTTATAAATATAGATAAATAAGTCTCGCACTCACCCAGCAGACCCCAGAGCCTTGAACATGTCCGGGTTCAGAGTCAGATTGGCACCCCCGACAATGGACATGTCAGCTTCGCCTGTCCTCAGACTCTGTATTCCTTGATGTGTGGCCACCATCCCAGAGGAACAGGCTGTTTCTATTGTCATACTTGCGCCGCGGAGGTCGAAGAAGTGAGAGATGCGGTTGCTCATCATGGGCACACCGGTACCTGTGGCCATAAGCCTTGGCAGGTTATCGGCGTCGCGTAACAGTGCATCTCTGTAGTCATGTACAAAGACGCCGGTGAAAACGGAGGTGTTGGAGCCGGCGATTTGTGTCAGGGGGATGCCGGCTATGAGGGTGCGGGAGATCCAGTTAGTCCAAGCACTTGTGAAGTGATATATGTGTCCTGGTCATACCGTTTTCCAACGCTTCGTAGGCGGATTCAAGCTGCAATCGATATTGAGGATCTAAGGACTAGGTAGTGAAGGGTGTCAGATATTGCCAGTGGAGATATATAGGATGGGTAGATCTGTATCGCTCACCGAGGCTGTCTCGCTAGAGTAGCTAAAGAATGCCGCATCGAACAATCCAACGTCTTCTTGCAGAAAGTGCGCGCCCTTGACGTGTGTCTATACCATGGTCAATAACAGGTATCATATGATTTCCAGCAGGCTCTACCTACAGTATTCAGCCGCTCGTTGTTCGGATGGTAGACTCCTTCCGATCTGAATCTAGAGGCTGGGAACTCTGTCCACCCGCTTCTCCCCTCAGCCAGCATCTGCCAGAGCTTGTCCGTGTTGGTTGCATCTCCAGCAAACTTGGAGCTCATGCCAATGATGGCAATAGGCTCACTCGCCCAGCGAGACTGGCTATCGGGGCCGAGACTTCCCATCTTCCGTCGTTGAGGGTGGTCGATAAAGAAGGTTGAAGGGGGCTGAGTGTTTGCGTCTGGAAATACTTGTTCGGGGACGGAGACAAGTTTAGGCCTGGGAAAACGAAGCCGGTCAAGGTATTTTACATATGCGACTGCTTCGAAGCCCAGCTTGAGGGCCGTCAGCTTCATAGACGCGTCTTGCCATGACGAACCTTCTCTATAACTCGATCAGCAGATCCTGTAAGCGGCTTGCGAGTGATACGGACATACTATCGTCAGGATTCGTTTGAAGAAACAAAATTCCTGACGGACGCGGTCGGAGAGCGGCGAAATTCGGCAGTAAGCAATTAAAAGAGAGAGAAAAAGAAGCAGAAAAAGTCCGCCTTGGCAGAGTCCGAAGGAGTCGTCAAGTGCGATCCGCATCGGAGTATCTCAACTCCGGAGTTCAATGTTGGCGATCGTCACTGAGGGCAGAAACTCGAAACTCCATGTCAGCAGTATCAGGCAAACGTTTGAATGACGGCGGCGGGCAATCTGTCTGTCAGCATCGTCAGCTTCTGGCGGGACGAAGGATGAGAGGCGAATCTCGCAAAGATGCTAAAAGCATGCGTGCAGTCCACGACATTCTGTGTCTTGGTGACTGCATGCATCTACCATCTTGAAGGCATCACGTTTCGTTCACCTTGAAGGCTTGTGGTACTCAACATTACCACACAAGGGGGATTCCAGGGCAACTTCAACAGCAGAAGCGCATCAACCTCGTTCGCCAGCTTGCGCAGACAGTCATGGCGGCCTCAAGTACACGCACTCTGCTCATGTTCGGGCCTGGGGCCATGTCCCTGAACGAGACCTACTTCGCCAGCATCTTGTCCTTTATCAGCACGGACTCCGCGAGCCAATGGGCGCTGAGCGCCGTCAGAGACATCGAGAGTCATTGGCCATCCCTGTGTGAAGCAATTCCCAAGTTGCAGCACACTTCAGGCGTCAGCAACGCGCAGAAGCTTGCAGAGTGGCTGCGGACAGGCACTCTCGCTCCTGGATCGACCATTGCCAGTCTCCCGAATGCGATTCTCGGCCCCCTAGTCGTCATCGCACAACTTGTCGAGTATCTCCGGCACGTCGACTCTCTATCGGAATCTGGACTCCGGGGCGGCGAGGGCTTTCAGGTGCCCTCTGCTCCCGATGCAGAAACCGTCGGATGCTGTCTCGGAACATTCAGCGCCCTGGTGGTGTCGTCCAGCTCTTCCTGGGCTCAGTTTTGCCACAATGCCTCGGCGGTAGTTCGCATTGTGTTTGTACTGGGTGCCTTGTCTGACGCACAGGATGCAACTGATGCCTCGGGGCCTTCAGTTTCACTGATAGCCTTTTGGAGAGGTGGTCAGTCGCTGTCGGATCTGAAGAAGGCCTTGGAAAAGTTCCCCGAGGTGAGTATCCAAGCCAGATCCTGTTTCATACAATTTCTCTTACTGACAGGCTGTAACGCAAAAGGCATACATTTCCGTCTTGTATGACGAGAATAGGGTCACTGTAACGACATCGACTCGCACCGTGGCTGCTCTGAAAAATCACCTCCAGACGGTTGGCATCACAACCAACGAAACCGAGTTCCATGGACGATTTCACGCCGCTCAGCTCTACCAAACCGAGCTGGAAGCCTTTCTTGCTTACTGCAGACGATTTCCTACCTTTCAACTTCCGGACTCATCCTGCATTGTCGTACCCACGAGAGTCAACTCGGAAAATGTTGTCACCAGCCAAGAGTCCCTCCTTGAGATCTCCTGCCGCGCATTCCTCGTATCGCAATTTGACTGGATCAAGACCTTTCGTGCCGCTGTTTCGAGCACCTTGCAAAACAGGGCATCTCGCATCATCGAGTTCGGGCCGGAGCGATGTGTCCCGCCGACGCTTCTTCGACGACTCAACAGCCAGGTCACCCATTTCGACTTCGAGGAGAGCATCAAACGCGCCAAGGCAAGTCTGAGCCATGATCAAGAGCTTCCGGCAGGAGTAGCCGAGAACGACATTGCTGTCATTGGTATGGCGTGCAAGGTAGCTGGAGCAGACGATGTAAACGAATACTGGGAGCTTCTATTGCAGGGCAAGTCACAGCATAGGGAGCTGATTCCCAACGATCGCTTCGTCATGGAGACGCCTTTCAGGCCTTTCGAGGCTGGCGATGACAAGAAGAAATGGTTTGGAAACTTCATCGGCGACCACGATGCCTTTGATTACAAGTTCTTCAAGAAGTCTCCCCGCGAGGCTCTTCACATGGACCCCCAGCAGCGGCTCATGCTGCAGGCAGCGTATCAGGCCGTGGCACAGTCTGGATACTACAATGCCAACCTGAACGTCCATGGCCCTACCAAAGTTGGCTGCTATATCGGTGTGGTCGCAAACGATTACGAGAACAACATCTCTCACACCACGCCCATTGCATTTTCGGCCACCGGCGCTCTGCGAAGCTACATTGCCGGAAAGGTCAGCCACTTCTTTGGCTGGACAGGCCCTGCGATGACGGTCGACACAGCCTGCTCGGCATCTACCGTCGCCCTTGATCTGGCTTGCAAGGCCATCCTGAGCGGCGAGTGCTCGGCAGCTCTTGTCGGCGGCACCAACTTCTTCAGCACGCCCATGTTCTTCCAGAATCTCGCTGCTGGTTCGTTCCTCAGCACAACCGGGCAGTGCAAGCCATTTGATGCAAAGGCTGATGGCTACTGCCGAGGTGAGGCTGTTGGTACCGTCTTCCTCAAGAAGTTGAGTCAAGCCATCGCCGACGGCGACCAGGTCCTCGGTGTTATCTCGGCCACTGCAATCAACCAGAACCGAAACGAGACACCCATCTTCGTGCCCAACTCACCATCGCTCACGAATGTGTTCCGGACTGCCATCGAGAAGTCTGGCTTAGACGCAAAGGACATTTCCGTCGTTGAAGCCCACGGAACGGGAACCCCTGTGGGAGATCCGGTCGAGTATGACAGCATCCGTCAAGTGTTTGGAGGCGCCGTGCGAGCTGGACAGGATGCTTTGCAAGTCGGATCGGTCAAGGGGCTGGTTGGCCATACCGAGGGTGCCTCTGGGGTCGTCGCTCTGGTCAAGATTCTTCTGATGCTTCAGCGAGGCCAAATCCCGCCGCAAGCCAGCTTCGAGACCATCAACCCTTCCATCAAATATTCACCGTCGGACAACCTGGAGATCACAAAGACGCCGCTTCCATGGAACCAGGAGTTCAAGGCAGCTCTTATCAACAACTATGGGGCGGCCGGATCAAATGCGTCTGTTATCATCAAGCAAGGGCCAGCACAGTTACTTCGACGTCTGCCGCCTGTGGTCGATAGTGAAACTGAGGCGTTGCTCTCCAAGGTCGGTGCTGATGACGCTCAAAAAGCCCCGTTCTTCATCTCGGGGCTTGACGAGAAAGCCATCCTTGCTTATGCGCAGAAACTCCGTCAATTTATTTACTCTCACAGCAATCTCGATATCCAAGACCTGGCGTTTAGTGTTAATCGGCAGTCCAACTGGTCTCTAGGCCGAGGTGCTGTTTTCAGCGCTGGTTCTATTGCTGAGCTTGACGAGAAGCTGGCTTCCATCGAGACTTTCCCAGTACCGTCGTCGCAGCCCCCCGTGATCCTATGCTTCGGTGGCCAAGTCTCGACTTTTGTTGGACTCGACTATCAGCTCTTCGCGAAGTCGGCTATTTTGCGTCGCCATCTTGATCAATGCGATGCGGCCTGCAAGTCAATCGGCGCAGGGAGCATCTACCCTCGCATATTCCAAAGCGATCCCATCGATGATCCCTCGGTTCTTCAGCCGCTTCTTTTCTCCCTGCAGTACTCGTGTGCTATGAGCTGGATTGACTGCGGCATCGTGCCAGCAAAACTAGTTGGCCATTCTTTTGGAGAACTCACAGCGCTCTGTATCTCGGGCGTGGTGAGCCTACAGGACGGCCTGAAGCTGGTTTACGGCAGATCCAAGATCATCAAGGAATCGTGGGGCGCCGAAAGGGGGGCAATGCTCGCCGTTGAAGCAGACTTGGAGGAGCTCGAGAGCCTCCTGACTACTGTCAACTCGTCTCTGCAAGAAGGCAGGGCGACCATCGCTTGCTTCAACGGCCCGAGAAGCTTCACAGTCGCTGGTTCTTCAGCGGCAATCGACGCAGTGCAACAGGCCATCTCCAACACCCAGCCCGTCCTGAAGCACAAGCGACTTAATGTGACCAACGCCTTTCACTCGGTGCTTGTTGAGCGACTCAAGCCGGATCTGGAAGCCCTTGGTCGTCAACTCACGTTTGCGCTGCCTCAGATTCCCCTTGAGCGGGCAACTCGATCACGCGAAGACCATGGACTGTCACCTTCTTACGTCGCAAACCATATGAGGGAGCCGGTCTACTTCCATCATGCTGTTGAAAGAATTGCCAAAGAATACCCGGAGGCGATCTGGTTGGAAGCTGGCTCCAACTCTACGATCACGACCATGGCAAGCAAAGCACTTGGTCTTCCAAAAGCATCAACCTTCCAGCCTGTCAATGTGACGAACAACAGCAAGGCCTCGTCACAGCTCTCTGACGTGACGATGAATCTGTGGAAAGCCGGCCTGCGCATCACTTTCTGGCCACACTCACGAGCACAAACCTATGAGTACAAGCATATCATTCTTCCCCCTTACCAGTTCGAGAAGCATCGACAGTGGCTAGAGTTCAAGCCCCCTCAGGCACTACAGGTCGTGGTTCAGACTGATTCATCCACTGACGCACGTAATGGGACTACTGAACCACAGCCGGTCGGCCTTTACACACTCCTGGACAGGGGCCAAGACAAGTACCGCTTCCGCGTCAATACGGCAGCAGGCCAGTTTGTTGATGCCATGTCTGATCATGCCATTGGAAAGGCGCAGACTTTGCCTGCCATGTTTGGCGTGGACTTGGCAATTGAAGCCCTTCTCAGCATTCATCCTGAACTGGGCGACACCAGCAGGTTTGACCCCCAGATTTACAATGTTGTCAACCAAGAGTATATACACGACAGCTCTAGGGCGCTTTTTGTGCTTTTCGAGCGCCTTGGTCAAGACGAAAACAGCTGGGCCTTTGAATTAACCAGCAAGGGCAAAGACGGTGCAGAGTCCCTGCACATGAGCGGACAACTACATTTCCAGGCCTCCGACGATGCTCGCTCCCGCCTCGAGTTTAGCAGGCTTGATCGCTTCATCACGCACGACCGGTGCTTGCAGGTTCTGGAAAGCAGTGGCCGCTCCGACGAAGTAATCCAGGGGCAGACTATCTACAGCGTGTTGTCCTCCAGCGACGTCAACTACGGTCAAAGGCTTCGCGGCCTGCAGAGACTTGTTGGACGGTCAAACGAGTCTGCGGGTAGACTGGTACGAAGACGGTCAGGCAAGTTATTTGTCGACTTTGCCCTTGGAGAGGTTTTCACCCAGGTTGGAAGCATCTGGGCGAACTGCATGGCTCAACATCAACGCAACACAAGGAACAAGGGCATCTACATGGCTACTGGACTTGAGCAGTGGTCCAAGTCACCAAAGGTGTTGCAAAAGTTCAACCAAGGCCTTTACGATAACGACCCCGAGATCGAGTGGCATGTTCTTGCTCAGCATAAGCGGAATACATCCGATGACTCCTTCACAACGGATATCTTTGTCTTTGACGCGGCATCTGGTGACTTGGAAGAGGTCATCCTCGGTATCAAATATGCTCCGGTGTCACTGTAAGTATACGTCTCCTCAAGATGGTATTCGCATGCGTCTTTTTAGTACCTGTTTACTGACAGTTTGATGTAGCGATCAACTCTTCTCAGGCTCTGCAATCGCGACAGCAACTACACCAGTAGCAAATGGATATGTCCCCTTGACCACACCATTCGTGCCGGTGCCGACAACGACAAAACAGGCGGCGGTTCCACAGCCCCAGCATGTAGCCAAGAAAGCAGCTCCAAGGGCAGCCCCAAAGAGGGACATTAAGGAGGAGCTCTGGCTCAGGCTGCGACCGGTTCTGGCAGACATCTCTGGACTAGAGCCGGAGGAAATCCAGCCGACAGACGCACTGGCCGACATTGGGATTGACTCCCTCATGGGGATGGAAATGGCTCGCGAAGTCGAGACGACATTCAACTGCACCGTGGAACAGTCCGAGCTGCTAAGTATCGTGGATGTGCCAGGTATCCTTAAGTTCCTACAGTCTACGCTTGGTGACGAGGACGTTCACGACTCTTCTGAGACTATGAGCACGGTCTCCTCGGATGGAAATGTTCACTCGCCACCCACCTCAGGCTCCGAAATGGCATCACCGAACCTGAAGGTGTCTTACGGCTCAGCATATGGCTCTTCCGACTTGCCTATATCCGCTGTTCTTGAAGCCTTCGGCGAGTCTAGCGCAAAGACGGATCAATTCCTCAAGACTTACGGCTGCGCTGGCTATCTTGACGGCGTTTCCCAAAAGCAAACCAGACTGTGTCTGGTGCTGACAAGTGCGGCCTTCAAGCAGCTTGGGTGTGATCTTGAGGCTGCCAAGCCCGGAGAAGTCCTGCAGCCTGTTCCTTTTGTTGAGCGCCATCGCCGCTTCCACCAGTACCTGTACAGTATGCTCGAGGAGACGCGGATCATCAACATTGACGGCGATGTCATCACGCGAACTGCTATTCCCCTGCCTTCTCAATCCGCCGATGCAATTTTGCAGGATCTCATGAGGCGTCATGCTGACAATGGGTCTTCCCATCAGCTCGCCTACAATGTTGGCTCCAGAATGGCCGACGTGCTGTCAGGCAAGGCAGATGGCCCGCAGCTCATCTTTGGCGATGCAAAGAACCGCGAGCTGGTGGCAAACTTCTATGGTGAACTGCCTTTCAATAAGCTGTACTTTGAGCTCATGGCGGATTTCCTCACACGGCTGGCAAACAAGTTGAAGCTGTCCTCCTCGCGCAGTGGCACACCTACTCTCAAGATCCTCGAAATGGGAGCTGGAACCGGTGGCACGACGAAGGTGCTTTTGCCCATTCTTGCAAAGCTGGGCATCCCCCTGGAATACACCTTTACTGATCTCTCGCCTTCCCTGGTGGCGCAGGCCAAGAGACGGTTCAAGGAGTACCCCTTTATGAAGTTTGCTGTCCATGATATCGAACAGCCCCCCTCTGACCCCGAGCTTGTCGGCTCGCAGCACGTTGTCATTGCAAGCAACGCAGTGCATGCGACTCACTCGCTGAGGGACTCGGCCCGAAACATTCACAAGTTCCTGCGACCAGATGGCTTCCTCATGCTCCTTGAGATGATGAGGACACTCCACTGGGTCGATGTGGTCTGGGGCACGCTTGAGGGCTGGTGGCTGTTTGACGATGGCCGAACACATGCCATTGTCAACGAGCAGCGATGGGAGAAGGAGTTGCTTGCATCAGGCTTCAAGCATGTGCGCTGGACTGACGGCAAACTGCCCGAAGTACACGTGCAAAGGGTCATCATTGCTCTGGCCGGTGACGGTGACGGGGACGTGAGCGACATCCCGGCTCTGACAAGCCCCGCGCTGAAGGATGAAGAAGACCATGGCTCCAAGCTTGACGGAGAAGAGCGAAAGCGGGTAGCCAACGCCTATGTCGAGAGCACCATTCGAGACTTTGCCATCCCCAGCTACACGGGGCCTATCTTGAGCACGGCACCAGGTGCAGGCGCATGCGTGCTTGTCACGGGTGCGACAGGGAGTCTCGGAAGCCATCTTGTAGCACACATTGCTGGCTTGCCCTCGGTTGATACTATCTACTGCCTGAATCGGCCCAGGCCGGGCAAGAAGGGCCAGGAAGATCAGTCTCGCGACCCTTTGAGTCGGCTCACAGAAGTACTGGCATCCAAAAGCATTCAACTGAGCGAAGCGGAGATCAGCAAGCTGAGAGTTATCGAAACGGATCTGCCACTGCCTCAATTTGGTCTAGACGAGATCCAGTACGAGCAGCTACTCAACAACGTGACGCATATTGTTCACAGTGCCTTTCCGGTGAACGGTCTGCGCTCGCTGAAGCAGAATGAACCGCAATTTACACTTATGCGCAACCTCGTCGATTTGGCTGCCGGCGTTTCGGCTCGCCGCCCGACTGAGTTCAAGTTTACCTTTCAGTTCATCTCTTCTCTATCAGCAGTGGGCATGTATCCAAAGGTCCATGGAGAGAAGAGGGTACCTGAGCAGCAGTGGGATGTCGACAGTGCTCTTCCCAACGGATACGGTGAGGCAAAGGTCATCTGCGAGCGCGTCCTTCTCGAGACACTTGGCCAGCATCCCGATCGCTTCCGTGCCATGACGGTGCGACTGGGACAACTCTCGGGCTCAATGAAAACTGGCTACTGGAACCACATGGAGATGCTGAGCTTCCTGTTCAAGTCTGCTCAGACGCTGCGTGCTCTCCCGGATGTAGATGGCGATGTGTCTTGGCTGCATCTGGAGGACGCCTCGGCTTCGTTGGCTGATTTGCTCTTGCGCGACGCGCCGACATGCCATGCTGTCTATCATTTGGACAATCCTCGACCCAGGGACTGGAAAGATGTAATTCCCGTGCTCGCTGATGCGCTGGATATCCCGAGCAGCCACATTGTGCCGTTTGAGGAGTGGCTACGACGGGTGCGAGCCTACCCTGGGGAGGACCCGTGGGATAACCCCTCGGCCAAGGCAATGGACTTTTTCGAACACAAGTTCAAGCACATGTCTTGCGGCGGAGTGACAATGGCGACGGATCATGCGCTGGAGCATTCGGAGACTTTGAGGGCTGTACAGCCTGTGAGTGATGAGCTGGTGCGCAAGTATATCCAGGCGTGGAAGGATAGCGGCTTTTTGCGATGAGTCTGTATTGAAGGGTTATGTCTACTATATTGTTCAAATTGAATATCTTATCTTCTATACTCTACTTCTTCAGGTGAAATTGACAACTATTCAATCATGAATATGAGTTACCAAGTGCTTTGTACATACGACATGAGCTATCAGGAAAGCGTCAAGTACCTAGGTATGCTTCAAACTTGTATACCTACCTAGGTAATATGAGCTTGCAATAATTCAAAAGTTTCTTTTTTAATTGCATTTGGAAGGTAGATTTACGCAAGTCTTGTTATTCCAAGAACTTTAGGGTAGTCATTTGCTGGTGTGGTATTCTTTATCGAGCTCTTTCTTTTACGTCTTCCCTCATGAATTTAGGATTAACCGAAGAGTCTCATGCTTGTTGCGCTTACAATGATAATAGTCTGAGCAAATCGTTGCATTACAACCCTTACTGTGAAATCTCTGAGGAGCCATGGCGTTTGTTTCATAGTTGAAGTCAGCAGTCGTACGACAACGTATGACAAGTTCGTGAAGGCAAATCATTTAGTTGTCAAGTCCTCGAGAAACTCCGTACTCCGGCTTACAGCGTAATGGCCACCGATAATTACTCCGACAAACAGGATGACACACAGCATACAGAATCCTACAGTTGCCAAACTCATGGCAGGCAACAACAAACACGAAAGTCTCAAAGCGTATTATGCCTCATTTATAAGCTGTAAATGCATGTATGTATACTAGACGTAGCACAAGCCTGATGCCAGATCCTTTCTCTCACCTTTGTCAGATCAACCTGCACGTTTCTCACCCACTCTCTCGGGCAATAGTCCTACAGCCAGTAACAAGATGGAGCCGAACAATCATCACGATGGCCTCAATGGGCAAAAGGCCGACAACCCGCTGGAAGTAGCCATCGTCGGCGGCGGTCTGACAGGCTTGGCTCTCGCCCTTGGCCTGCTCCGACGCAACGTCAACTTCACCATCTACGAGCGAGCCGCAAGCTTCGGGGAGCTCGGCGTCGGCATACACTTTACTCCCAACGCGGAACGGGCCATGAAGGCTCTGGATCCTCGGATCCTTCAGAGCTACGTGGACGTGGCGACTCATGCCGAGGGAGGATTCTTGAGCTTTGTCGATGGGCTGCATGTGCGAAAGGGGGACGATGCCGAGGCGTCGGAGGACGATGACTTGCTGTTCCAGCTCCGTATGGGAGAGGGCTATAAAGCGGCTCGTAGATGCGACATTGTTAGCCAATTGGTTAAGCATATCCCTCAGGAGCGTGTTCAGCTCTTGAAGTGGCTACAGTCTGTGGAGGAAGACGCTGAGGGCAGGGCAGTCCTCACGTTCCGCGATGGGTCAACTGCGAAGGCGGATGTTGGTGAGTGAAGACCCCATAACTTGCATGGTCATTCAAGCGGATAAAGAAGGCCTTGGATATGGATCAACTAATAATTTTTCACTTGTCTTAGTTGTCGGCTGCGATGGCATTCGATCGCAAGTGCGCTCCGCCATGTTCGGATCCGGGCCATCTGCCCCAAGAGCGCAATACGCCCACCAACTCGCCTTTCGAGGCCTGGTCCCCATGGCCAAGGTAGCGGCAACACTTGGGCCAGAGAAAACCTCAAGGGCAATTGGCTATCTCGGCCCAGGTGGCTTCGTCTTGAGTGTTCCTCTGGCTGGGATCAACATGATGCACCTCGAAGTGTTTGTCATGGACCCCCTGCCCTGGTCTGATGATACTACCGGGAGCAAGCCGGACAAGGACAAGGACGAGGATGACGTGAAGCGCTACGTCTTGCCTTCAACCAGGGCGGAAGCTGAGAAAGCCTTTACTGAGTTCAACCCTACCGTTCGCTCGCTTATATCGTTGCTGCCAGAGGAGCTGGGCAAGTGGGCCATATTCGACATGCTCGACTCGCCCGCCCCCTCGTATGCGCTTGGACGCATGTGTCTGGCCGGAGATGCAGCGCATGCGTCTACGCCCAACCAGGGCGGAGGCGCAGGTGCTGGAATGGAAGACTCGCTGGTCTTGGCTGAGATCCTGGCCGCACTGGCGGACCGCGCAAAGTCAGGGGCTCGAGTTGGTTCATGGGAAATCTCTGAGGGGCTCAAGATTTACAGTGACGCGCGCTACGAGCGGGCACAGTGGCTTGTTCAAAGTAGCAGACGCGTTGCTCAGCTGTTTACGAGGAAGAAGGGCGCCGGACAGGGCGGAGAGGAGGAGGAACCAATAAGTCGCGAGATCCTAGAACGAAGCCATCAGCTCTGGGATTATGATGTAGATGCAGCGGTGGAAGAGGCTCTAGGAAAGCTGAGGGCAAAGGTGTTAGAGAAGCATTAGAGTGCGGGACGGAGTGTATAGTAATCTTGTATTCTCGTAACGCGACAATGGGCTGATGTATGAGAGAGGGCCACCGCCTTGTGTGACATTATTTGTTCATGCGTAGCATTACTCCATAGCAAGTGAATGAAGATTCAAAGGTTACAGCAATTGGGGGGAACTATAGGGGGAGCAGGAGGCGAACCACATGGCGCAACAATGTCGATAATAGAACATGACACATATATGTATGTACCTATGTGAGATACTGTACTATACACAGGCTGCATGAACCATGCTATGAAAGTAATAAGTAATGACAGCTTCAAAAGCTGACAGATGGTCAATTGTTCTAACTTGGTATAGAAGAGGGTTTCTCCTCTCAGTTCTATCAGACATAGCAATCTAAGGTAAGTCGTCCACCCCTTCGAATATTCAATCTATCGTCCCTGCATCTTCTTCATGATCTGGGCAGCCTCGGCAGCATACTTGCACTTTTCCCTGACAACTGCGCCATAGCGGTACATGAAGAATGGAAACGGCATGCAGACCAGCGTCAGAAACGCCGGAATGGAGGTCGCCCAGTGAATGCCGAGGTTGTGGTACATCTGGGACGTGAACAACGGGAACACAGCGCCCATGATGGAGCGGAAGACTGCCGCTGCTGCCAGGACAGAGGCGGCATACACCGTGTATGAATCGATCAGGTAGTTGACGATGGGCAAGATGACGAGGACGACGCCGAAGCCAAATGGTGCTGACAGGACAATGCTAACAGCCCAGTGGATGCTGGGATAGTTTGTCCATGCAAAGGCAAACATGCCAATGGGGAGGGCAACGGCACCGGCAATAGCTGGCGGCAGGCGGGATTCAGCCGTCCTCTTGGAGGGATCCAGCTTCATGTAGCGCCCATTGTTGTCCCAGATGGCGTATCCCAGCCCGATAATGATGCCTACCATCATGCCCAGGAAAGCGAGTCCACCGAATCCGGGGCTCCATCCGCGAAGCTCGTTGTAGACAATGGGCATGGCTCCCAGGAACATGTAGACGGTGCCGTAGATGATGGCCATGTAGAGCGAGGCAATGAGAACGATGGGCTCGCGGAAGAGCAGGACCCAAGGTCGAATCAGAGCTCGCCCAAAGACCTCTGACGGCTGCTTCTTGCCCTGGTTCTTCTGCAGGACGCTGATGTAGACCTTTCCGTCCGCTTTAGACAGAGCATTCGCCTTTCTCTGTAGCAGCACAGGACCATATGTCTCGGGGACGAAGATGACGCCAATGATGCCTAATAGTGAGCGACCGTATCAGCAACGTATTCTGCAAATCATCCAACAGGTTTTGAGCTCGTCAATACATACCAATTACACCGATAAAGATGGTGCACATGCCCTGCACCCATCTCCAACCGATATACTCAGTCGCAAACCCGCCGACAATTGGCCCTAGAATGGGGCCGAGGAAGGGAGCGACGCAGTAGATTGTCATGGCCAGACCTCTCTGGGCAGGAGGAAAGAGATCTGCGATTGCACCGCCAGAGTTGACGAGAGGTGACCCTCCAAATGTGCCGGCAAGGAATCGCAGGACGATGAGCGTAGCAATGTTCGGACTGCCAGCAGAGCCTGCCATGAAGGCGACCATGGCGGTGTGAGAGGCAATCCAGGGCATCTGTCTGCCGTAAAGTTCGGACCTTGTAGATTGTAACGAGGCGCGGTTAGCATTCGAGCGTTCGTCGTGGGGAGCTATATATCAATTGAACTTGAAATATCGGAACTTACTATATGGGAAAGATTCATTAGCTTTGTGCATCCTTGGAGACATTGGAGTACTATAGACAACTTACCAGAGGACCCCAAACAGCAGGGCCAATTGCAAAGCCCAACACAAAGACAGAGACACCGGTGATGAAGAGAGTGCTGCTGATGTCAAACTCGGTCATGATCTCTTCAGCCGACACGGAATACGCCGAAGACGTAAACGTGACAGCAAACACGGAAAAGGTGACGATGGATGTGAGGAACCATTTCCTGAACTGGCCCCAGTTCATGGGGTTGCTCTTGTCGTCCTGCTGGAACTCGACGATAAAGGGATCTTCCACCGTGCCGGAGCCATTGTATGGGGAGGTCGTAACATTCTTCTCGGCGTCGACAACCTCGAGGGGCTCGACAGCCTCGACCGGCGTTATCGATCGGGAGTCTTGGGAGGCTTCTTTCGACATTGTAGGAGAATTCACGCTGGACAACGAAGCAAAGATGCGGCTCAATAGCTCTTCGTCCATGAAGGGTGACAGAGAAAACTCCGAAGCGGAATCGAGTTCTTTTACTTATATACAGCGACCACATCAACCGGTACCTGCCGCCAAGCTTGAGCTTGGACTTATACGATATGCTTGCCTCTCCCTCGTCCCCAGGATCGGACCAGCTTCTCATTGGCTGCAGGGGCCGACACAACCAACGTCGCATTCAGCCATGATTGGACCAAAAGAACGCCATCACGGTCGATGCAGGTTTGTCAGCCGTGTGGTTATACTCCGAAGTCCGCTCTGACCAATGAGTAGCTGTGCCGAGGCGGGAGTTGCTTTCCCTTCTTCCCTCGCCTCCCAGATAGACGAGGCATCGCCTTCTCTTCCCCGACATCATCGGACATTCTTGCATTCCGCCTTCGGATCTGGTGAACGAGCCGCTTCTTATCTTTCGTCTGTGCCTGCCGGCTGCCGAATCACTTGCCGACGACAGCCCTGGACTCAGCTCACGTAAAGCGTCATGTCCGCCCGTCAAGACGAGGATCAACGGCTTCAGGCTCAGACTCAGGCCCAGGCTCAGGTGCAGGCTCAGGCGCCCTTGTCGCTGTACAGGGAGCGACTCAAGATTGCCAACGCCTGCCAGTCCTGCCGGGCGAGCAAGGTGAAGTGCGATGGTGGTCGCCCAGGTAATGGAACTGTCTATAATCCTTGTTGTCGCTCTTGTTGTCTATAGCCATCTCCCATCCATCCAAGTCCTACAATAGAAAGTCACTTACACATGTTCTGCGTACAGTCTGTGCGAGATGCCAGAAAAGAGGCCGGGCGTGCAGCTACAGCCAACACGATGCAGCGTCACCAAGAGGTCGCGGCAGACAAAGGGCAAAAGCACCAACCCGCCAGCCTAGACCTATCCGCAGTCGTGCCTCTGTCGAACTCCCAGTCACCGCTCCAACCCCCGTCACGGCCCAGGCTTCGCCCCTGATCGCGCAAGACTACTCATTGCAAACCCCCTCTGCAACGCAAACGCCGTCGACCACGGGCTTCTCAGGCAGTTCTGACTTGGAGCATGTTCACGAGGATCGAGATGAAAGCCGAGCATTTTACGCTGCGCATGGCCGATTTGCCGGAGAGGTCTCCTCGACCATCGACAAGATGGCAGGGCTGAGCCCAGACACCACCTGTAGCCTCGTCCCGTTTGTGGACGCGCCGCTCTTTGGGGACGTAGGAGAGCCGCCCCGGAATGTTGTGCTCGACTTTGCGTCTGATCTGCCTCGGGCTTATGCCGACAGGTTACTTGCCATATACTGGCATCACGTTCATCCCGTGGAGCCTGTGCTTGACCAGCAGCAATTCTGCCGGACCTACGATGCCTTCTACAGCGGATCTGGCACACCACTACACGTGGATCGTGACATTTGGCTCAGCACACTGAACATTGTCTTTGCACTGGCAGTGCAGATACAAGAATCCATCCCTATGCAGAAGCGAGATGACGAGGCCAACCGTTACTTTCAACGCGCGTGGGCACTCCTGCGACCGGAGGCAATCCTCTGGAAGCCCGGCTCGCTCGAGCTGGTCCAGTGCCTGTTGCTGATGAACCGTTATCTTCATTGTACAAATAACCAGCAAAAGACGTCGATGGCGGCGACCCTGGCAATCCGAATCGCGCAGAATATGGTTTGCCATACGTCCGAAGAGTCACCATCTAGTGATGCAGATAAAGATTTACGACACAAAGTCTGGGCCAGCTGCGTCGCCTTGGAGCGGTAGGTCTCAATTACAGAACGTTAATGGGCAGGGAAAGGTTCTGACGCTTGGCAGATGCACCTCTTGGGCACTCGGAAAGTCAACAGCCCTGGCAGCAATCCCTTTGCCCAACAGACCAGCACTGCTGACCGGTCATGGATCGGATTTCCATGCTTGGGAGCTTGAACTGCATGAGATTGGCACTCACATCCAGCTGGCGCAGGTACAGAGTAAGAACAGCATGGCGACTAAGCTGGGACTCCCTCGACTGTACCAGCAAGATGAGTATCACGCCATCGCGGTGCAGCTGGACGGCTGCTTGAACAAATGGGAGAAGAGCCTTCCTGATGACTGGAGGCTGCAAAATATGCACATGATCCACGACAGGAGGGCACGAGCTGAGAGATATCTGCTTCACTTTCGGTAAGTTGCTATGTTCTCGTATTACCATGGTATATATGTAGTCATTGAGCCATACGCTCGTGTCTTTACATATACCATCTTCACTTGCCTCCCTTTACTGATGTTTATCAGGCTCCTTCATTCTCGGATCTATCTCCACCGGCCCATGCTTGCACGGCTGTATGCTATCAAAAGCCATGCACCGACAGCTGCAGCAGCATCCGATCCTTCAACCATCAGCGACCGACTCCTCCAAGAATGTGCCAGAATGTGCCTCGAGGCAGCACAGAAACTCACATCTCTCATCGCCGAGATCCATGACCCCAACGAGCCAATAGGTATCCTGCCTTGGTGGTACCGGGTCTATTATCTGCACATTGCGGGCATCCACTTTCTGGCAGCCATGTTTGCCTCCGATCTCTTCACCCCGTCTGTCGAACGAGCTTGGTATCAAGTTCTGGCAGCTCTGAGGGCGCATGAACACTTGAGTCTTTACGTTCAGCAATGCGCTCGGACTTTCGAGACGCTGGCGGCGAGAATACTGAACGCTCGCTGTCTCAGTGTAAACGGAAACGGCATCATGGCTTTGGACGATGGAGCTCCTGGGCTGTTCCTGGATGACATGTTCCAGGATGTCAACTTTGACCTTGATGAATTCCTCTTTAGTGTAGATGACACTGGAAGGAGAACGAACTACTAGGAATCAATGAACGTTGTAGGCTTCATATGATGCCCAAAGCGGCACGTTCCGTCCAGTCCGTGCATGCTTGTTCCCTCCGGTGTCTGCGGTTTACATTTCACTCAGAATCAAGAGATGCTGCGTCTACTCAAAAGTAGCTCATTTTTATCGATACGGTTCTTATTTACAATTCAATTCCATGAACCCTTACGAGACTCGGCAAAGGCGCTTATCTTCCGTCTCAGCCCACCGTTCGCTCCCAACCGTAGTCCTTCCCCAGAAGACCCCATTAGGGTCATACACATCCTTCAACTCAAGCAGTTTCTCATAGTTTTCTCCGTAAAATACCTGCTGCCATCCTGGTTCCCGGAAGTCCGCCTGGTTAAGGTAAGCAGAGCCCCCACTGGGAAGAAGGGCAGCCAGCGCGGGTACGAATGAGTTGGTGATGAGATCCTGGTTGTGAAGATCTGTAGCCCAGTCTGTGTTGATCCAGGGTCTGACAAGGTCTTGTTAGCAATTCGCCACGAAAAAACAACTCTGCACAAGTCTGATGAGACATGGCGAGAAGAGAAACTTACACTCCGATCTGAAACGAAATCAAGCTCTTCCTCAGCTCTGGGTTCACCGAGTTGGGCGGGTGTTGGAGGCTGCTCGATAGCTGGTATGAGGCCCCGGTGACCAGTCCACCTTGATCGGCGATACCACGAATGGCCTGGATGAAGCCGTCTGGGTTCCCGGTAAAGTCAGACCGCTTTACGAGTCTGCCGCCAATTTGGAGACCATTTGACACCACCGGTGGGTCATAAGCGGCGTTGCTCTCATAAAAGCTTGAAAACTCCCCAGAGGAGTAGGCTATATTGGTCAGTACCCTTCATTCATGTCATGTCCTCGTCGTGATTCGGAGGATGATGCACAAGAGGGCGACTTACAGTATGTAATATTGAGAGCATCCAGTTTCTGGAGCACGGGCTGAAAGATGCTATCCATGGTCGCCTTGGTCATGTTCGGCCCGGTAACTGGCCCAACGGACAAGGCCTTGGAAAGCACGGTCCAGACCGCCGTGCCCCCGGCATCAGATATCGCAGGTATAATATCGTGAAATGCTTGAACTCCCTGAAAGAAGACATCTTCTGACCCGGCATTCGGAAACGTGAGATTCGCCCCTGTGGTCTTCTCGTTTGCATGTGCTTTGACGGTCATGGAGTACACGACGGCGTATGTGCCACCACCGCCACCAGTCAAGGCCCAGTACAGATCGCTGTTCTTGGTTGGAGTCGCAGTGATTTCGGAGCCGTTTGCAAGCACCGCATGCCACTCCAGTACCTGGTCAGCTCCGAGACCGTATCTGGTCGTCAAGGGCCCTAAGCCGCCGCCCTGGGTGTATCCTCCGGCCAGGCCAACAGTCGGACATATCCCAGACACAATGGTAAGGCCTTGCTTGAAAGCAGTAGCAGCAGACTCTCCCGCCTGGATGCCCGCGCCCATGGTGACCGCTTTTCCAGTGTAAGCAGCCGACTTGTAGTCGTGGATATCGTAAGTCTTGAGATTATGCATCCATAGTCCCAGACCACCGGCTCCAGTGGACTTTCCAAAGTAATCATGGCCCGTGTTTCTCACTACCAGGCGAAGATTCTTCTTCTGAGAAAACGCAAGAGTCTTTTGGATGTCTGCAACGCTGGAGACGTTGACGGCGTACTGGACATATGTGCCGATAACGCAGGGAGTCTCTCTAGGGAGAAACGGATCGCAGCTCTGGTTCGCAAAGAAAGGCGCAAGGACGGAACTAGACGAGTCGGTGTGTGTGTCCGCATACGGCCATGCGGCTTTGACGTCTGCGCAGCGTGCGGCATCATACGTGGTGCCATGGCAGACGGATCCAAGCGGGACCGTGGCAATGAGACGTCCGCCGACGGACTGGTTGAAGGCCTTCCAGTCGGCCGGGGATGGCCAGCAGGCGTCTCCCGGGAAGCATCTGCACGATGACGAAGATCCGGACGATTTCAGAGAAGCGGCAGTTGCGGGCGAAGAGAAAGATGGGAGGACGGCAAGGACTGCGATTCCGAAGGCGCGGACAAAAGGGGGGGCGTACATGGCGTCTAGAACGTCAAATGGCCCGTCGTTTCAAGGTTATCGCTGGTCTTTGCATTATCGCTACGCAAGTGTGTTTTTTCCACATTTTTATATAAACTATCATACATCGATAAGAAAAAAGAAAAGCTGCTATTGAACCAGAGGTCGAATGAGGCGTGGGGTGATGAGGTTCTGTCGGAGTACGGAGTTTTTTGCTGTGTAGATTCTGGTATGTGGTGTCAGCTTCGGGAAAAGTTCCGTCGGCGTAATGACGAGCCATCTTACGGCTGTCAATAAAGAGCGACTAGCGAACAATGAGGCCATCTTGATTGAAGGAGTCTCGGCTGTCGGATTGCCCAATAGGGGAACCGGATGTCTTCAGCTATGGGCAGATTTCTAGTCGAAGGATCGAAGGATTGCTCAGCTCCAGGGTTGACCCTTTGCCAACCGAAGCCTACCCAGGTATTGTCAATGCTACTGTACCCCCAACAGCGGCGTGATATCGAGTCTCAAGTGCTGCCTGGTTCAATATTGATTCGGGCAGCACGCAGCTTTATAAAGGTCTAAATAGAGTTGCATAAACCACGTGGAACTGCGAGTCAAGAGTATCACATGAGCTCTGTCCCGGGCTTTATCTTATTAGACTATGTTCCACTGTGAGATAGGTAGGGAAGGGATACGGAGGATAAAGCGGGAAGGGATCTGCTACAAGCATCGGACCGAGCCGACCAGGGTGCCCGAGGCATGTTTAGTCCGACAACCCCCGATCTCACCGTTTGACGCCATGGCCATTGTTATGCATTCCTTCGTCTACTAAGGGAGCCAAAACGATTTGACCCCTCCGATAGGTCGTTCTCTGCCATTGGAAGTTTCAGCCACTGGTCCGATCTTACGAGGCGCGGCAAGAGATTCCTGCAGCCGGTCCCTTTTGATAGTCCAAGTACATGGGGGTTAGTTCTCCCAGCGGGAGCCGAAAGGGTTGCACCAAGCATTTGCTTGCCAAGTCGACTAACTGATTGAGCTTGTATCTCAGGATTTTGAGAAGTTTAACACACGCAATGGGGATTTTAGGTAGTTTTTGAGAGTATCCTATCGTTCTTCTCTCATGGCTGGAACCTTTTGCTTCCTACCTTGCCGGACGCCCTGAAAAGCTGCCTTACCTGACCTCCTGATGACAATAAGTGCAAGCAGAGTTGCCGAGTTCCATATTGTATTGCTTCTTCTCTGCTTCTTCTCTGCTTATCTCCGTCGTCACCTTACCTTTCAGGTGCGGCTGACTTGAAGTTCCGTCCGGACTTATTACAATAACCCCAAGAGGCAATTTGCCTTACTAGGCAAGTAACCTTTGTGAGGCAAACAGGACGCCGGAGTTTCTCGGAAAGCATTGCCCCGTATCTCTCTCAGCATTCTACATCATATTGCGTCAAAACAAGATTTGATGATCATGTCTTCTTGTAGAACAAGGTGCAGTAGGGCTGTGTGCGAGCATGTTGCATCCTTCAGCCGCAGCAAGTGCTACGACGGTGAGATTCTGGACGCCTCTGACACGCGCTGGTGAGGTTACTCTGCATTTTGACTCGTCTTTCCAAAGGCTTCCAAATGTTACATCTGCGGCATCATGATGATCAATCCCTTATCCTTGGGGTAGCATGCAACGTGCTGGAGGGCACAGCGACCTGGACGCTGGGAACCATGTTGGATGGTTACAGGAGACGGCTGAAGGTTGTGTCACGCCCAGTGCACGAAGTAGGCGACATTTTCCACATGCGAGGTGCAAGTATACCCGAGTGTAGTGTGAATATTCAGATGACTGCTTGGAAGTCTCTTTCAAAGAGAGGAAGAGCAAGATTCTGGTTGTGTGTTATTGAGTGTCTTTTCCCCCCCTTATACCCTATATCTAGCCGTAAATCTATGTAGTTGACATGTAATGAAGGGCCGTCAAACTGTAGATGGGAGATTTGCTCTGATTCTGCTGTTCATGACCAGGAGCCATCGCCCTGATCGAATTGACTCACGCTCCCATCGCTCGCCGCCTGTCCAATGTCCAGTTCCAGCTTGCACAATAGCTCTGCAGCCAAGTTGTTCACCTGACTTGATCTTCGCAGCGCCGCAAGCAATTCATTCACAGCATCCTGTCTCTCCTGAATGGCGTCCATGGCATTGCCACCTCGTGTCGAAGGCAGATAAGGCACGTCGGCGTTGAGGAAACTGGTAACGAGTGCGATGGCATTAGGGAAGAAGGGGTGCATCTATGCACGTACATACTTATCAGTATCAACAGATGATAAGTCAGGCGAAAACTGATAGGTAGCCTACATACCTTGAAGAAGGCAATTCGCGGGGCCGTCTTGATGATGCGCACCACCTCGGAAGCGGCCTGATGCGCAGCCGGCTTACAAGCCATCGCCATCAAGTGGTGGTCCAGCGTCTGCCACGACGTAGCATTTGCCGTACTGCACAGTGACAAGCTCGCGCTGTAAGCCAATATGCGCGTGAAGACCAGCATGGGGTCACATCGCGTCTCCGTAGACTCGCAGGCGTTTGCAGCCGCGGATGCCAGCCACTGATGTCGTATCCAAAAGTCGTGGGCCTCAGGTGCAGACATGGGCGGTGATTGCATGGCCATCTTGCAGTGTGTCATGCAGCGTGCAAAGAGGTTGGCCACGACGACGCAATGGGCGAATGGGGGCAATGGTTGGATGCTGTTGGAGGCTTTGATCCCGTCTGTTGCCTCGATCAGGAAGCCCATCTGCGAGACGGGCTCTTGGGTACCGCTCTGGAACTCGGCCTCTGACATGGGAAGTCGTGTGTAGAACTGGTTAGAGATGGGTAAGTCAGCTGAGAAATACCAAGAGAATGTACATGCGTGAGGTTTGGTTACCGCTTCTTCCATCAGCATCGTGGGCTGGTCGTTGACCATTGTCGAGAGGCGGTCGAGGAGAAAGGCGCTCCAGACAGTCCGCCTCCTCTCCTCCACGGAGATCCAATCCTGCTGCAAAACAGCCTCATCTGCACCATTCTCTGACGAACACATCTGCATATTCCACGTTGTCTCAGCAGGCGGAGTGCATGTCGCGACATCGCCCTGTCTGCCGCTGTAGGCGTCTATGTCCATCTCGCACAGGCCAGAGAGGCGGAGAAGGCGAAATGCTCGGCGGGCGGTGATAAAGGCCTGATGCTCTGATTTACGCAAGACATCATAGTACGCCAGCAAGAGCCAAGCCTGTATGCGCTCGTGGTGCATCTTCCGCTGCTCATGAGGTGGCTTGAGCCTCGTCATCCAGGGGAGGCCGGTTTCCGGGCATGCGTCCTGTGTCTCGAGCATGCGTCGCGTGGAAGCATACATGACGTGTCCTATATCGCAGAATTGAGGCGACATGGCCGACGCAATGGTCCTCATGGCGGAGCGCAGAGCGGTACGGGCCGGCGAGGCGTTTGGGTCGCTGGCCCAGGCATAGTACCGCCTCTTGTGGACCATGGGCGCAAAGGGATGGACTCTCTCAAAGTATAGTAGATCGCTGCAACCACTCGACATGTTAGCCCATCTCTTGACAGGTCGCTTGTGTTCCTCAAGGGGGAGGGGGGCTTGATTACAGTTCCATCAATACCACGTCGGGCATGATTGGGTCCGCAGCAGCAAGTGATATGGACGGCATGCGGCTCGGGGCCGTTGTCGACTGTGGAGTAAGGGGGATTTGCGGAAAAGGGCTTGTTGAGAACATCGCAGGCTCCGTCTGCCAGCCTTTGCAGATGCACGCCGCCATCGAGTTCGCCGTTGACGCCGTCGAGAGGTCCGGTGTAAGTGGCGGCATCTTGTCCGAGCCAGAAGTCGATCCAAAGAGTGCAAATGCCCCAGCAGTAGAGCCCATGCATGTGTCCAGCCCAATGTCGGTGCTTGCCCTCGAGGAGACGAGGTCGCCTTCCGGGCTGACTTTCTCGGAGGGCGTCGGGCAACCAAGACTGTCACGCTCTTGGGGTAGACTCGGGGCATCATTTTGGCCAACCAGCCGCTGTTCCAGCAGCACTGCAAGAGTTGTTTGTAGTTAGCAAGCTTCATCCTCCATGTCATCATCTTGATCCCAGATAGATGACTTACTCAGTCTTGAACGCAGGTCTTTCAGCTGGCCCTTCTTGGGGCCTCGCTGCGATCTCTTGTCCAAGACAACGCAGTTCCTCCCAGAGTCAGCACAAATCCCACACTTTGGCCTGACACGGTCACAGCGTGCCTTGCGTCTGCGGCATTCTTCACAAGCCAGCCCGGGCTGTTGCCGGGTGCTCTCGCCAGTCGTGGTGGCCGTGGCGCTGCTCCCCATGATGACAGGCTACCTTACGATACCACACCTAGCCTGTTGAAACGGTAGGATAATGAGGCAAGATGTATGGCGATGTCTATCAGGATCAGATGGAAGTCTCGCCAACACAGATGGCTTGATGGTTTGGTAGCGGAAGACCTGTTATATGATAACATCCGAATTGCCTCCCCCCTTGTAGCCTAGCAAGCAGTCTCATCCTACTTCCAGGCTTTTCTGCTAGCGGGACCACTCAAGCCATGCATAGACAAGGTCCAGATGTGAGAATCCTTATGTTGTGGGGAGTATACTCGTAACATACGAGGCTCCAAACCCGCACAGATACCTGCTATTCCTATACAGCGTACCTGGGCAACAGACTTCGGAGGGCTCTGGCTTGCATAATCACATGCGGCCATGGAGCCTTCAGACCCTTGGACCAGTTGCAGGCGTCTTTCAACCATCTTAACGCCGTTGAGCCTTTATGAGCCTCGCGTGCCGATCCTGCAGGTGTGTGTGCCGAGCAATAAGCCCGGCTGAATAGGACGACTCTTGCATATTGCTTGCGTGAGTACATGGGTGGGTGGCCCTTATCGAGTCCACGATCCTGCATATCACTACTGTCCAATCGACGCTCTGGTCCTTCTCTTTCGCCTTGTATCAAACTTGTTGCAAACTGAGCTATCCGTCATTAGCCCCCCCCCCCCCTGGAGATGCTCTTTATGAGGCGCGAGTTCACTCTCGCTACCTTACACATCGGCCGGCTACCTAAGCAGCCTAGAGCTGTGCCACCATCCAACATGTCTGTAGTCAACTTGGTATGCACTCTACATGCACTGTGGATGCACCTTCACTCCTGTTCTTGGACACTATTGATGTACGTATGTCGTCAGGGCGGATCAGCGGCGTCGTGAAACAAAACTACACCACAGCCGCTCTGTCGGACGTACGCCGACCGTTTGCTGCTTCTGTGAGCCTGGCCCTTGCCGTCGCTCGTCCTTCATTCGCTTGGGGTAAGCCGTACATCTGAAGGATTCAATGAGTCTTCAAGTACATGGATAATCTGACAGACCCCGCTGTCTCATCTCCAGGATCTTTGTCTTGGCTCGGATTTTCACCTTCCTGCATCATCTACGCTGGCGGCGTTTTTGTCATCTGGATATCGGGCGATTCCTGCGGCATCGACTTCGCTTCGGCTTCCTTTTCGTCACCCAATTATTTTCCGCCCCTTGGCGCTGTCGACCGGCAGTCAGTATCAGGTCTATGTTTCCCCCCCTGTCACCATCGACGAGCAACGAGAGTACCAAGTACATTGTACATTGTTACGTGTTGTATTACCCTCCCAAACCTCCCTGTAACGATCTTCTGTATCCCCAGATCGATATGGGAGATCCACGATCTGCTGTTCTAGACAAGAAAGCTTAAACTACTATAACTGCGGTAGAACACTCAGCTGACTGGTGACCATTGTTCCATTTTTTCTTCTCACTCCTTGCAGCCGCGTGGATAGTGCAGAATCTGTCTGCAAGGGTTGCCAAGGAGCTTTCCGAATCCGATGGCGCCGGAGATTCTCACTTGCAGTCTGGGATCCAGGGCCGATTGCGTTATCAGCATGGAGGCCTGACTCCCGAGTTGACAGCTCGTATGACACGGGTCACTGATGGGCCAAGGATGCGAGGGAATTGTAGAGACCCCGTTGCTCCTCCTAGTAGCCGCCATGCTGACAGAGCCGCGGATATACCCTCCTGACACCCCTGTGAAGCGTTATATCCACCAGATCTCGCCACAAGCGCGACCGAATGGACGCGAGATACGACGTACTTTATCAAGAAATACTACAAGTACTGCTGCATTGTGTAGAATTGATACCGGGACTACTTTCAGCATGGATTGCGATGAATACCACGTCGATACGAGGTAAGCATCGCAAAGGTTAGCAACCGCAGTTCAACGTCCTCAGTGTATCATCATTCCTCCCCCCACTCTTTCAGGTGAGTCCAGTACTCTCAGTTGAATTCCTCCCACATGGTTCATCTTCTTGCCAACCAACATCTACTGTAATGTCCATGTAATGAACCAACTAATACTAGCTAGACGGCGTTAATGCATCTCGACGGGCCGAGGCCACGCGGCGCTAAAGGCTGTAAGACATATGAAGTGATCGCCGGGGCAAGCGGCTTGACTTGTCTCATTCAAGCTAATATCCTTGCACAAGTTGGAAGTTCGCGTAAACAAGAGGACACATGTCCATCGTCCACGGCTGGAGCTGAAGCAGCTGGAATCCCTTATCGGAGTCCGACTTTGAGCTGGCATCGACGAGATGGCGCCATGACTGGGAATTATGTTCACTGCCTCTTGAACGAGAACGAGAACGATGCAGGCCTTTTGCCATATCGTGCAAGGCAAGCTCCACGCCTGATATCTACAAACAGTAGGCTGAATAATAATAATAAGGTACTGCCCAGCACTTCAAATGAATTCTCTGTGTCATTGTTATGGATCATCATTCCAAGCAAGCTATCTATGGCACTGCATGAAGATGGGGCACATGTGAAAAGCCACGATCCCAAGTACATTGACACTCAATCATTACACCATCATATGTAGAAAGTGGCTTGCCTTCCCTGTGCTGTTCCTGATCACATCTTGGCAAGGGTCCAACTCGTAACAAAATGTTGAATATGGGCAAGTCTGCAACTGAGGCCATGCATTATGTATCTGGTCACTTCGTCCTTTCCCGTCTCATACCCTCCGAGTGCACTTCTCTTGTTTGTCTTCACTTGTGTAGGCCCAAGTATTGATCGCTGACGGTTCGTCCGCATCCACCAGAGTAAAATACTTGTCGCGCAGTGTAGAGAATCCTTCTCACCAAACGCACGCACGCTTGTAGCCATATTCGTCGAGAGCGTTGTCCTCAGCCCGGCCGATGACGCGAGAGAGGATGTCGACACTAGCGACACTGTCGATGAATCAATACCATATTACGCATCTTGCGTTGGCCGAACAGGTTTGGGGGACATGCCGCGCTCCAGCTAGCCACTGCCTAGTCGGAAGTGCGGCAGTGCTGTGTCGAATTGGAGTGTTGGGTAGATGGATGATGAAGAGAAATCCTTCGACGCAACGGATGTACGGATCAAGGTCGGCTTGTACGAAGGATACCCTTCCGATATGGTGTGAAGTAACCTATCTGTTGGCTGCCTGGAAAGGGCAGAAGCGAGCCATATTTTGATTGCAAAGCCCTAGAGAGCGTTGAGGTTTCAGTAAGCCAACGGATCAAGTCAACTATGCCCGTTGATATCGTAGAGCCTCATTCTAGCGTGACGAGATATATCGCTCTATCGTCTTTGACAGCTCCGTGGAATGACATCTGCGAGCATGAACACGGTCGTTGGGCTGCTCGTGCCCTCCACATACCATGTCTGTAGGATTACTTGTTTCAACCTTCGGATCCCTTTGCTTTCTTGACTAGAACCCAAGCCCCCCGTGGGACAAATTGACTAGAAGAGTTGGCTGTCCAACCACGGATAGCTCTGGCCGCCTGCTGGTTACTCCTAACGGTAAAGGGAGCCTCTCATCCAGTCAGAACAGCGTCTGAAACATGAGAAAGGGCGACCCTCAGTAGAGCTGGAGACCATAAAGATGGCGGAAGGGTCTTTAGAAGCTTTGAGATCCAATGTTGATGCAGAGCTTCCTCAACGCACTTCTTCTACCGCGATAACAGCAGAGTGAATGTGTTCATCTTAAAGGGCAAAGGACGAATGTAAGAAAGGGTGGGAGAAGGGTTACACGGATGCAGTGTGTTTGATCAAGTCTTGAGAAGCTGAAGCCGCAAGCTGAGTGATTGAGGTTGCGCAAGCGCCAGCCTCATAAAGAGTGCGAAAGTCTATCTTTCTTTCGGATCGCATCTGACACACGACGAACATCTCTCTCTAGGAAAGTTGTCATCGATCCAAAGCCTTATAAAGTTGAAGATTTTGAGCCAACTACAGCCTTTAGCCACGCTGTTGTGATGTGAAGCGTGTGAACATTCGGAAACAGTGAATAACAAGACTTGATAGAAATGAATGTGACTCATAGTTGGGGTTAGTGACAATTTATATCGAATTCCGGAATCGAAACAACTCGATCACGATGAAAGAACCCTTCCAACGTGCCAGCGAGCGTGACCAGAGTGCGGGTTCGAACAGTCAAAAAGGCAATCCCTTTTTATTAACCGCTTTGAACTCCGTCCAGGAGAGAGGCAATGTGCACTCGTGGGTTAGAGCCCGAGTCTGCATGATATTTAAGTCCAATAGCATCTGTGAAGACCTTGGTAAAACTAGAACCTGTTGTGATCTGAGCAGTTATTGGCATCCAGTTTTCATATCCATCAAATGGAATTCAGCGATGAGGATTGCTACTAGAACAATCAGGGGAATAACAGGATCATCAAATCATAAGGAGGAACACCTGGCCATATAGAATGTATTCATGGAGTTCAGCGTTGTAATGGATCACCTGACTGAGCTATCGAATCGGAAGTATCTCAAGCATGGGTTGACGCCCCCCGAAAAGCTCCAACCCTTGAGTCTCAGACAGCACGTGGAATAGTTAGAGGACTATACAGATCTCTATGTGCATCATAAGGAGGCACTTAAACTCTTTTAGCGAGAGGCTGTGAACATGGACTAGCCTTAAGTGAGATGTGATAAAAAACAGAATAGGTAGGCTGTAACATCTGTTACCTGATACATTCACATATAGGCTTCCCACAAGGGACAGCAGATAGTAATAGAATTATGCTCTACGACAAGACACACGCTATATAGGCAGTTAATGAGATTTACATGGCAGATTAAACAGATAGTGAGTAAGCTCAGGATTCAACTTAAGGTTGAAACTGTAGACCAGATTGGGGTAGCACTGTAGACCTGCTTGAGATATCTAGGTAAGGTAATGGAGCTTTAGGCAGACTCTTGTATACTGGTCTTCTGAAGCGGTAATAGATGCACCTATGATTTAACCGTACAAAAGTCCTCCTAGTCAATGTCTGGCCAGATCGTGAATTAGTATGTCCTCATTCAGGACGGTCCGTAGCAGTTGCAGAGTCTGACTGCTTCCAGGTCTTTGTTAACCAATGGCGTCTGAGGAAGATTCGGAGGCTGTCTCTGCGTCACGAGTCCCTGCCAGCCTCCTGACAAATGACCAGATAACTAGTCTTTGATCGAACGCAGTGAGCACTCCAACATGGAATGACCAAGGGTTAGAAGTGAGGAGAAAGTGCGCGGCCATAACTCATTGTACATTTAATTATCATTATTACTTATCAGCTAGGGAGTATCTCGCAGGCACACATCCTCTTACGCCCAAGCCCCCAAACACACTTAGAAGTTGGCACCACCACACTGGATACTCCTCGCGTTATTAAACCAGTAAGCCGGGAAGTCGGCCTTTCTCGGCTCGTACCACTGGCGGATGTCGGCAAGGCCCGAGGGGAAGATGGTCTGGGAACGGAAGTTGCCAACATCATCCTGGCAGTCGCCGGGCTTGACAGTGAATGTGCAGACGACGTCTTTGATACAATTATGAGCGATGACCATGACAGTGGCGGCTTCTTGACGGGAGACTTACTGTCTGGCAGCCAGATTGATCCGATCGTCTCCCAGTTGATGGCGTGGCACTCGTTGACGGTGTTGTACGTGAGACTCTGGCTTGGGCCGGTGTAGTTACTATCGAGAGTCAGTAAGTCTTTATGAATTTTCCCACAAAAGTAAACCTACGGGCCAGCCCAGATCCAGATAGTGTTGGGTGCACGGCGAGCGATCTGTTTGATAAAGTCAGTAGATGACCTGGTGTGAATGCTGTATTGCGCTACGGACCTCTGGGATGGGAGGCTCAGACTGGCCTGTGGGCGAGCCGCTGCCAATCTGAGCAAGGGCAGCAATAGAGAGCAGGACGGCGTTCTTGAGACCGAACATGGTGGTGGAGTTGACAGTTGCTGAGATGTGAGTACAAAGGGCAGGTTTGGAGCGACAAGCGATTGGCTTGAGAGAAGGAGCTGAGAGCAACTTTATATATATGGCTTAACGACCAAGGAAGTCTTCGATTGCGAAGTTATCCGGCTCAGTGAGCGTCTTACATTGCCAAGGTATGACTAGCACGCGAGAGGAAGTATCAAGCCTCTATTGGGTCGATACCTTGTCCATCGCCGGGGATAATGATGCCAAATGCGGCGCCCTCTGCACTGCCTAGAGGCGGTGAAATTGGTCGGCAAATATTCAACACAGCATGGCACTTGAAGCGTTCAGTTCAGGGGTAGGTGGCCAGCAGTGATGGAAACTCGCCTACTAGTTTAGGTCTTACGTCAGAAGCCAATGCGAAAAATAGAACAATGATGGGGAATTGAGCGCTGTAGCTGGGCGAGCAGGATCCAGTTGAAGGTGCCATACAGGGGGGGTTCAATGCTGCCAAAGGATCGATTCGGTAGGGCTGCTCCACCTTCAGCCCATAAGCTCGCTACTTGTACTCTCCGAAAACTCCGCTGAAGACAGGGGAGCAAAGAAGTAGGCTTGGACTGTATGTCATGTAGTCCAATACTAGTTGCTTTCTGTCTTCAGAAGTGGTTGAACTGATAGACAGACTTCCCTTGAGTGCTACACAAATGGCGAGTTCCCCAGTGGTTGACTTACGAATATCAGGACAACCCACACATCGTCTCTGAAGACCTCTCGGGCGCTAATGGTACCCAAAAGCACAACTAGTCGTTGTCCAGTTAGGCTCAGGGCAAAGAAGCCTAGATGCGTTGCCAAAGTGTGGGATGATCAGGCATGATTCGCTGACCGAAGAGAGGCTAAACAAGAGCCCGAGATCATCAGGTACCTACATCATCCTGGAGTAATCGTACCCTGATTGCCTAGGTACGCAGTACAACCTTGGGTTACGGCAAATAACCTCCCTTCCTCGGGATGTGGGACAAAGCCTCCGAAAAATACCACCACTCACAAGCTAGTTTTCCCCCCTGAGGCTGGCATACAGCACCTAAACTCTGCACGGAAGAAGCCCAGTGGTGTTGTTTGCAATCTCACAAGCAGTCATCACACCATGGTAAGCTGATTATGAAGCCTGTGCAGGACACACGAATTGAAAACGTCACACTACCATAATCAATGAGTTGGGGCAACTCGGGGCAAGTCAACGCCAGCCAACTTCAGTCAACACAATCGGATGCCTAAAGCATAGGACAACTCACAACGTAATGATGAGGCAGGTCTATGAGTTGCAGAAGGAGCTGACAAAACGAGAAGAGGTACACAAGAGTCCACTGGACTTCCCCAACCTACGATCTCGATTTCTCATCACAAAGTAAACCAAGTGTGCAATTTCATCATAAGTAGATTTCTCCAAGCTAGTCCTAACTGCAGCTGGCTACGAAACGCCTCATAATCTCAGCCTTCATGCTCTTTACAAGCACTGAGAGTACCATTGGCTGATAACCTGGCAAGTCGTGCCGCTCTCACATTGCGTAGGACCGGTCCAGCCCTGGCCTCCGCACTGACCCCAATGAGTCTGAGTTGGGCCAGGAGAGCTTCCAGTTCTTGTGCTGGTTGGCCTGGAGGTGCTGGTCGGGCCGCCGCCCGGGGGTTGAGAACCGCCTGAGGAGAGCTGGCTGTTGATGAAAGCGAGAGCCTGCTGGCCGTACTCCTGGCCGTAACCTTGGTGAACGTTGGGGTCATTTCCGGTGCAGCAGTACGGGTCTGCGGCATCGCAGTAAGACTTGATCTTGGACGCGCTGGGACAGACGAAGCCAGCCGGACGGGCGTCGAACTTTGTGAATTTGTCAGTGTCAGCCGGCCCTCATACGTAAAAGCTGCGCAATGTTGGAACACGGCAAAAAACTTACACCCTGGGTAGTACAGGTTCCGACGTTATAGGGCAGGCCATGAATGTTTCGAGGGTCTCCCATGAAGATTGCTGCTTTAACAGCGGAAACTGCTCCCGCAGTTAGGGGGACAGCAGTGTTGGTAATTCCTTCACCAGGATCGCCTCCTCCGCAGAGGGCATTATCGAAGATTTGAGCACCCTTGAAAATAATATCGTCAGATCTTTCAGCGCTGTGAATACAGAGAAAGAGGGATCTTAGGGGGCACAAACCTGCGAGTATCCGACCAACACCAGCTGAGTGTCCGGGCAAGAGTTGTGAAAGTTGTTGATTGCCGCCGCCGCGGCGTTGGTTCCGTTCACAACTGAGTTAGCATAGCTGATGCCGCCACATGAAGCCTGACCACCGCACGCCGGGTAGACAATTGCCTCGGATGTGGTTCCGGGATGGGCTTGGATGACCAAGTTTACAACGGTAGCGGACGAGCCATATCCCTGACTCACTGTCGTTTCACGGGCGCCGAAGACGTGAATCGCCGGGCATTGTCGCTTCACAACGGTCTCTCCATCTACTGGGCTGCCAGTGGCAAGGAAAGCTTGGCTCAGCAAAAGAGTAAGTGTTTCTTTGACTGAAGGCATTTTGGCTCTTGTAACAGGAGGAATTATTTATGTGGAAAGCAACTGTTAAGAGATGCTGTTCATCTCAGTATCGTTGGGACTTGGAGATCATAGCATTTTATATCAATATGAAGTATATCCGGTGAACACATAAGTGATTACCCCCAGCTGTCATTTACTGGTCTACTCACATGACTCAGATATTTGCCTCCTCATAGTCAACTCATTCTTTGGCAGGACCCCGATGCATTCTAGTCACAGTCATATTCCCTTCCCCCGAACATAAAGCATCTCTTTGAGTTGTGAGAAGTCGAAATAGGCTAAATCAGCTTTCATGGCAGCATTGTCTCCCGATTGGATGTTTGGTCTCAGACTGTTTTTCATATGCAATGGTCCTGATTCTGTATCAGGATGACCCGCCAGTCAATGCGTCACGAGTTAAAACGACAAAAGTAGAATTCAAAGCTTCTCAGCGGAGGCACTGCCTAAAATGTAGCTCAGTAGGTATGTAGGTATGTTATAAGTTCTTGGATTGAGGTACTGTAGCGTACACTCTACATTCACATTACAGTATAATGCCAAGAGTAACTCTACACATATCAAATATCTTGAGAAGTTTTGCACATATCAGCAAGCTGTCTCGAATATTCTAGCCTTTTCTTCTGACACGTTCACCCAATATCATCTACCATGCCATGCTGCCGGCCATGTTATGCACGTCTCACTCAATTAACCGAGGACAGGGTGGCTGAAAGGCAATTTTAACCGCACATTGGTAGCGGATGCTCCTATGGATAAAGTAATAGTTCAGAGGCACTTGCATCCATAGGTATCAATTCTCAGCATGGGTACTCACACGTAGGCTAATTGACACCTCGTCGGTCAGACGCACCCCAGATCTGCAGAGTCCGTCCGACCACCCGATGGTTCCTCGTCAAGATGATGTGGATGATCCGGCACCGAAGCGTGGAAGTTGACCTGTTTTGGTAATGCCCTTGAACCGACCTGCGCTCAGGAATTTTAGGCAATATTCTTGCCGTGTCATTGACAGCAGTTGAGAGAGGGCTGCACCCCACAACAAGCCTTTCACATGCAACATCATGCCGTGTGAGACGTACGCACGCTCGGCGGCTTTTCTTTGGTCTAAGAAGGGTTGAAGTTGAGGCCCAGAAACGTGGTCGTTTGTTGCCCGTTGCGTCCGAAATCTGGGATCGATTCTCATGTGGCGGGAGTGGACTGTAGACCTCCGGCATTTGTCTTTTTGTTCGCTTGGAAGTAGAGGGCTATTCAACGTGATAACCCTTCACGCATAGCGTCTGCTTACTCTCACTGAAGTTGCCATTATCGAGACACTTTCAAGTTCTTGATCACTCAAGCATACCATGGCAATGCTAATCCAGGCATGGCGGTGGATTAATAAGCTCGCAATCATACGTCAATGACTAAAAGATTCTGTGATTGACATGAGTGGGAAAAGTGACAATGAGATGTAGTAGATGTGCCTCTACAACAGAGTCTGGGACACGGGAAATACTACAGCTTACACAGCACCACCGTGATTTTTATCGGAGATTTATCGCAAGAAGACCCGATACATTCCTTATACGACCTCATGATGTAATCTTATTTCAGTCTGAAGCTGAGTAAGTACACAAGACCTTCACGTCCGCAAAACAAAACGGCGGACACGACATTAAACCTATCGACAACAGTCAAAACACGACAAGTCATCTCAGACGATGTTTCTCATGGGTTGTAAAGCGTACACGCCAATGAGCATCACATAGAGTATTCATAGCTGCTGACTTTTATCTACCCAGCCCAGCGCAATGCCACTTCAACTCTCTCCACTTCACTTCACTTCACTCCATGCTCATCCCCTTATAAGCACTGGGAGTAGTATGGGTTCAGGACCTGGCAGGTCGTGCCGCTCGCGCAGACCGTAGGCCCGCTGTAACCAATCCCTCCGCACTGGCCATAGTGTGTCTGAGTCGGACCCGTGGCGGTCGTTGTCCTGGAAGTCGGTGGCGGAATGGTGGTGCTTGGCCTCGAAGTGCTCGTCGGGCCCGAGGTGCTGCTACGCCCAGTCGTCGAGCTTCCAGGACCGCCGGGGCTGCCGGGGCCGCATCCCACGCGGGTCGACGCAATCGAGATGTCGTCGAACCAGACGGTGTTGACGTCTCCGCTGTAGGCCTCCCAGCCAAAGTTGACACCGGTGATCTCCGGAATATAGCTGGCCCTCGTCCAGCCAGCGTCGTTTGGATTGTCGACGCCAGGGCCCACGGTCATGCCCGGGATGAGGCTGCCGTTGAGCCACGTCTCGATGGTTCCGTCAGTGCCCAGGTGGTACTCGAAGCACTGGAACGCGCCGGTAGGCAGAGTGACGGTGGAGGCAATGCCGTTGGGAGACAGGTCCGGAAGAGTGGCATCGTCGGACTCGCGGTTGTAGTCGAGAACTTGGCTTTGGCCACCAATTCGGAGGTGCTTCCCTCCCTGAGCGGTGTCTGGCATGATGATGAATGTGACGTGGTTGCTGCCGAGAGCAGTCTGAAGCCGACTACAGATGCCAAGTCAGTACATGTACGGATAACTTCAAGTCCTTGACGAGGATACTGACATCCAAGCTCTGACATATACATCCCCAGTTGGCACCTGGGTAGTGCCGAAGAAGATGTGTCCACAGTAGCCATTGGGGCCACCAACGACCTTCATGGAGTTGCTGCCGCTGTGGGCTACTGTGGTGTCGAGGCTGACGGTGCCGCCCTGGTTACAGTCTGGTGCCGAAATGGGCCATTTAGTCTGATCCCAGCCCGACTCGAAGTCGTCTGAGATTTGGGCCATAGAGAGCGTTGAGAGAGCCCCAAGGGCCAGCAGAGCAGTCCGGCGAACCATGTTTGCGCAGATAATTTGTTCAGCTAGAGAGTGAAGTTGCTATGAACTCAACTACTGTATTATGAACTAGGCTCGGATCTCTTAGCTAGAATGTCTACAATAGACTCATACGGTCAGGTCTATATATACTGCCAGGTCATTTTGCAGTGCCTGTTGCTCCTGATTTGTGCCGGATTTGCTAAATTGCGTCTTCATCCTTCATCGACGTAGGACTCTACCCGCTTAACCGGCATTTGAGCGTGTGCCCGACAGCTCGAACCGACACGGTTAATTGCTCATTGGACTGTAACGGCTACACGGATATCTGCGTTCCTGAAACATCTTGTTTCTTGCGGCTGAACTTGAGGGAAAAAGGCAAAATATAACCTTGCCTAATATAGCTTGATCTGATAAGCTCAGAACCTACATTCTCTATCCTCATCAATGTTCAAGGGGCAGATCTTCGCTGGAAGCTCGCTTAGTTTATTATGGCAGCCAGGGAGATACTCGACTTTTGGCAGCATGGTATGGCTAGTAGATGACAATGGTGAATCGAATCTCATTGCTATACCTATGGACAACTAGCTATCTAAGCGGAATGAAGGAGTGTGGTGGGACCTGAACCATATTGATGATGACCAGATTATCTTGATAATGTAACAATCTGCTCTTGGCAATATCACTATACCCGTAGACTTCATCTAGTGATATCAGGAGTTACATCGTCAAGATTCAGTACAGTATATGTAAAAGATTATTCCTCCTCGCCCCGAACAACTACCTCAGTTCTAGGAAGCACTAGCCCGCGTGTGTGCCTCGAAGCTCCAAAGACCCGCCGTGATGCCCTCTAGTTAAGGCACTGGGCGTAGTAGGGGTTCAAGGTAGAGCAAGTGGCTGGCGGCGCGCATCGAGTAGGCCCGCTGTAACCGCTGCCACCACACTGGCCGTACAGAGTCTGGGTTGGGCCGCCAGCAGGTGCCGACGTGGTTGCGGGAGGCGTAGAGCTGGGCCTGCTTGAGGCCTGCGTCGTCCTCGCCGTTGTCGTGGTTCTGCTGGTCGGGCCGCTACCGCCTCCAGGAACAGTGGCGCTGGCGGTGGCCGTCGCGGCGGAGCTCCCCTGGGCAACACTCGTTGGCAGGCCTGATACCACGGTAGGTCCAGGGATGATGTAGTTGAGCGGGCTGGTGTAGATGTTGATGAGAACACCAGGGTCCGTCGCGTGATAGAGGTCGGTCCCTAGAACGCCGCTGGGCTGCAGAGAACCCGAGCCTGAGACGGCAATGTTGAAGCACTGGGGGTAGTTCTGAGCGCCGTTTGCCTGCCCGGCGCTGTGTAACGCGATGATCTCGTGGCGGAGCACGTAATTGCCTGGCGCAAGATTGTCGGGGATCTTGACGACCCAGGTGTTGTTGTTGGAGATCAGCACGTCTGAGGCCCAGGTGCCCGGATCCCCGCCGCTGAGGAGACCAACGCCATCGATCTTGAAGAACTCAAGCGTCGTCTTGTCAACGGTCTCGCAGTCACCATTGCAGTTGGCCAGGTAGTCGACAATGGGACCAGGGTGCGGCCATGGAACTGGCACCCACTGGAAGAGAATAGTGTCTCCGGCCTTGACAGACGCGTGCCCCTTGGCATTCGTAGCATTCTTGTGGCAGATGATGTCAGGGTTTTGGTATGCGTCGGGTGAAACGAAGCCTATTGAGTTGGATTAGCATGAGCGTTGTACAGATAGAGATGAGGATCACGTACCGTTGTCAAGGTCGGCAGCCGTCCAGCCCACTACTATGGGGGGGTTTGACTCGTATGGAAACGTTGTAGGATCATAGGCCTGATACCACACCCCGTTGATGACAATGTCATTAATATGTCCATGTCCGACAACGCCAGTAGCCACCGCCAGTGCGGTGACAAGGAGGTTGGAAAGCTTCTGGATCATTTTTTTGTGAAAGAAACAAAGCGAGTCTCAGTAAAGCCTATATCTGCGTATGCCCAAAATTATGCTTCGACAGATGTTCCAGACTCAGATGATCATGCCTGTATTTATGCAGGATGGCTCGCCTTCGGTGCCTCCGCGGCCCATCCAACGGATTTCCCGAACAGGGGCCTCCAGTCACCTCCTCGAGTGCCGAGTGACCCGCCAGTTGACGAAGAAGAAGCATTATACCATGGCGGCTAAATAATTCAACCCGAAAACAGAACGATGGAAGGTCTTGTCCCGACATATATTATCCTTTTTTGCGGAGAAGGTTGCATCGGCTAGAAAAAGTCGACATCCAAATGCTGCCAGCCGCTTTGGTTAGAAGCTTGGCAAATCAATAAAATCAATGGCTCGATACAGTGTTGATACCTGTCAATACCCCCTATTCTGAGAAACGAGGTTGGATGAACTCCAAGAGTGGAAGCGCGTCATTCCATCCACAGAATCCTACGTTGCAGAAAAGGGAAGAAATTCGACATACGAGAAGAAGTCGATGAGACCTTGAGGTCTCCACTGCGCATATCCGTAGATGTCCGAGACCAAATGTCTCGGAGGAGAACAATGTTTACATGTGGCAGACAGCCGAGGGAGAGACAGATGCTACAACGACGTAGAGTACAAGATTATTGCCCTTTGAGTAACCAACTACCGCTCTAAATCTAGATTCGCAATGTCTAAATGATAGGGGGTCTATGGCCATTTGTGCACAGGCACTGATATGAATTCGACATAACTCTTCCTCTCGTGCTCTCAGTAGTGAGATTTGCGTGTTGCAACATCTACGAGTAAAGTTCTGATCTATGATGCTATATCAGTAGTTTGCTGATGGTTTGTATGGAGACATCTCCGATGACTTTGCTCTGTGAGCCATTCGAGCACCTTTCCTTGCTGTTAAGTGTGGTGAAACATTGAGAGATCATCAGGTACGGAGCATAGGAGAATATGAGAAAACAGGATATCGATCGAGAAGAATAATGATAAAAAAGACTAGATATGTGGCGAAAGAGTGATGGATCGCGCCTATTACCGTTGGGACACATGTAAACATGTCGTTGGTTGCACAGCCAACTCATTAGTAAGGCGCCTAGCTACTGGCTTATGTTCCTGCAAGCATGACAAGAACAACAGAGCATAGTTTGGCTCTGGCCAAGGAAAAGAGCAAGTTGGAGTGAGCATCTAGGATGAGTTTTGGAGATATTACAGCGGTCAAGTCTTATGATCAGTTAGGCCACCTTGGTAGTCATAATACACAGTAGATGGAATCTCCAGAAATAATTGAGTAACCCGACAGATCAGGCATAACCCCATAAGTTCGAGGCTCAGTCTGTCCCAGAGAGGAACTCAAACTTTGCCAGAAGTATTATCAACGGCATCACGAGTCCAAGCCGTGTCACCCTACAAGCGAACCATCAAAATCTCATATATCACAGAACCGGGTTCAGCTGCTGCAGCAATCACTCTCTTTTCAGAAGGTCATCGAGATGACTAGATAATGTTGCAATATGGCCACTAGCATCTGGGGAAATGTGCCACACATATTCAACGGCATTCTATTCTTAGTATCTTGTGTATGGATAATGTATTTATCCTATTCGCGCGAGTAACGGTAGCTTGCAAGCGACTGCCGCTTCTACAAACTCCGTGTGGCCATCCACGATCGAGAGAAGCCCTCATTCATCTCGTGCTCTCAGGCCGCGAAAGGCTGGGGAGAGTGCGTGATTTATCACAAGACGTGCGGCAGCCAGTGTCGAAGATACATTTCTCTACTGCCATACAGTAGTTCCGGTGACACATGTCAATACATTCATTCGCTTTTTATACTTTCCTTCCCGCAAGGCTCCGTTGCTCATAATCGGGGTTGTGAACCACGAGGCGAGGCCACATGTCTGAATGAAGCCGATCCTGAGATAGGCCGGCTACATGCCTTCTTTGGAGAGCACTATTACGAGCTGCCTGTTACTGCATGCAAATGAAGGCTAAAAACTGCTATTCAACTACAGAACATATGTGGCTGACCATGAATTCTAATTTAGATAACGGGTACTCCTGCAATGAAGCCTATGCCCTCCAGACCCCTATCCCTTCGAGGACTCCAAATTCGGTCCATTCCACAGATTGTTGATAGCTACTAATGGTCACTTCCACCTGTATCTGTGAACAGTACTGGGCAGCTTGAGATACTTTTACAGAGGCTGCGAAAGCATCATCAGACCGAGTTACCAAATACAATTAGTGACTATCAAGGGGTACACAGGTGTAGCTACCCTTATACACACACACATGCATATCTAGATTATGAGATTCTTAACTGTAAGCCAATGAGCATAATATAACTACCTAAGGTATACATATATATATCTTTGGTGCTCAGCTCAGCAAAGAAAGCGGCAGGAATTTGTCCACATAGCAAAAAGATGACCAACCTCTTTTGCGGAAAATGAGATGTATGGCGTAATGCGAGAACTGCAAAAAGAACAAAGTCTGACGGGTGTGGGATTCGAACCCACGCCTCTTGCGAGATGCGAAATCCTTTCGAAGGATCAAGATATTATCTTGAGTCGCACGTGTTAGACCACTCCACCAACCCGCCTTAGCGGCTTTGTTGGTCAGTCGCCTCAAAAAACGCATTATACGGCTGACCTTGCGTGGTCCTACGCCAAACCAGCTTGTAACAATTCGGCCTGGGAACGCTGCGTACTTCACGACCCTTGCTCCCGCGCTATGAGGGCAGTGTGATTTCCTCCTTGATAAACTGCAGACGTTTGAAACCGAGGTTTCGGGGCTGCTGCGCCAGTTCCTGGGAGTTAATACATGTAAGTCTCTTACACAGAGCAGCCGTCAGTTCAGCCGCTGGCTCCTGTGGGCCGATAGAGAAACGAGCAGCGACTCCTGCCCCTGGCGTCTGGGTAGTTATAGAAATGGTTACTACGAACCTCGACCTGACGAGAACCCCATAGTCTTCATCTGTGCTCAAATCATACCTTGCGAGACTATTGGGCGTCTGAGCCAGATTTGCCTCCGGTCAACGAGTCACCAAGAGATGTGCTTTCAATGGCTGCATATCATGGCCGTCTGAAGATATGCGATGAATTAGTCGAGCACGGCTTCGACGTGTACAAGCAGATCGGCGATCATTGCAAGGACTATAACGCGCTGAGCACTACGGTTTGTGAGAATCACATCGACATGATGACACTCCACATCAGGTCAAGGAGCAGATCCTAACCTCCCGTTGAACGGCATATCCGATCTGTGTGCCGGCATAAACTATAGCGAAAGCAGCATGGAATACAGCAAGACCTTGCTTAAAGCAAAAGCAGACCAAAATCACCCATGCGGTCCGCTCTGTCAGTTCTCGTACGCCTTAGAAAAGGCTGCCCATCAGAGAAAATTGGATATGGCGGAACTGTTGCTCAAAAATGGCGCGAATCCGACTCTCTTGTCTGACTTTAGAGACTCTGGAAGTGCCCTCGCAGCCGCAGCACGTAGATGTCGCAAAGCAGTCTGCGAATCACTGATCGAACACGGCGCGGATGCCAGCCAGCCGTTAACGGGAGGCAAGTATGGCAGTGCCTCTGCAGCAGCTCTTGCTTCAAGGGAGCCTGATTATACCTTGGGACTGACACGATACTTGGTTGAGGATGCCCACGCAGATACGAATGTCCTCTCTACTGATCCGCCTCGCAGAACGTCCTGTCATCAGGAATACCGGAGTCATATGAATGAATACCTAACCGAGGATCACCATGTCGAAAAGGATCTCTTGATGGAGATTGGCCTCGAAATGTACGCCATTTGTCAAACACTCGAAACAGGATCTCTGTCTACAGCAGACACTTGCAGGTATACTGAGTCACTTCACTCTCATCCGGATTACTCCGAAAGTGAGAGCGAGTAGCTCTAGGTCTAATTACATAGAGAGAAATAGACTTACTAGAATTGATATATACGCATATCTGTAGATGTTGAAGGGTTATGATTCCAAGAGGTAAAAGGTCGGGCAACTCTGTCAATTCAAAAAGACCTTGGCTCATACTATTCTACCGGATGTCTTAACGGATAGATTAGTGTAGTTGGAGTCCCATGTCGAGGCGATGTCGCTCACCTTGTACAGATACACTAGAGATGAAACGTTGGTGGCCTCCTCTCTTCATCGTACAGTCCTTAGACTGACAATTCATGAAATCATGTATATAACAGTCCCCAACCATTTGATACCATCCCGTCTTGCCATTTGATCGAACAGCTGACCTCACCACGCAAGGAAACCGACAATCTCTGAAGACCACGATGCTGCCCCCTGCTTCTGAATCGCCAGGCACAAGTCCGATATACCCCAACGACGATACCATAAGCCTCTGAGGAGCTATTTGGAGGGGCCGCACATGACATCACGCGTCTCTGAGCCTGCCTCCACAGCAGCCTATTCCACATCGTAAAGCAAGACTTCATTTCCTCCACCGATGCTTGTGTAAGGGGCTCTGGGGGCATGCCTCGAGTAAATCTCTCAGAAACTAGATCTTACCAAGGCACATCAGCCTGAACCATCTCCCTTTTCAAGGGACCCATTCGACGGAAACCATGGTCGCTGGGCCATATGGGCTACGTCTATGCAGAGAGTCCTGCAAAACTCCGCCCACCTAATCTTGGGTGAATGAGTGAGAGCAAGCTGCATCCCCTCAAAGACTGTAGGCCACATTCTTTCATCGCTTGAACCATCTGAAACGGTCGTCTCGCCCCATGACCTTTACGTGGTCCAAGATGACTACATACTTCCTGCTCTAGTAACCTGCTACTGGTCTCATCAAGGGTGACTGAGGCTTCTGTTCCAAGAGTAGATCATACAGCCCAAAGAGAATTCACTTGAGTAGCTCCGGCCTCGTTGGGCTCAGTTAGAATTGCCCAGTCCAGCACTAATGATTGAAGGCCGTCATTTCGGAACTCTCCAGCTGTAGACAATAGATTAAGAGAGCCAGCATCGGCCCACAGCGGTATGCTCCAGCCAGCTCGGCGATAGTAGCGAAGGGCAGTCTCAAGACCTCATCCGATGGACCGCCGGCGACCTTTAATGTGAAATGCCCATCTAGGGGCGGACCGTCCCCGGACATACGAGGAGGCGGCGTATTGAGGCTTGTCGTCGTCGAGAGACGCAACGCTGATGCGCAGCGGATGTCGGCAATCCATTCTTCAGGGAAGATAATGAGGACACGGATGTCTCCGTCTTCAAGGGGTAGCGATGAATCTATATTGTGAGGATTTGTTAGAGATCATTTACTGAGTATACAGTTTGTTCTGGAGTCTCTTGCTAAACTCCTCCGCCTAATGTGTGACAGTGCGTACATATGTCTAGACACCCACAACTAACAGATGAAGACTGGAATCAGCAACACCACCTGATACCCCAACTCGTCGTCTCCTACATTAAGAAAGTAAACAAATCAGCATCTTTCTAAGCTACAATCCCTAAGCCGCAATTGGATAGCTGCCGCATCCATTGCCATTCCCATCGATAGCGTGGGCGGCCTACAAACCGACCGCAAGCGACTCAGCTCCCCCTTGTCCAACCAGACGAAGGCACAATCAACGCCACCACCACAACGACAAGCCAGTATATCACATTTCGACTGCTTCGTCTAATGCTACCCCGCGCCATATACCCTCGCAACAAATTTTCTATAAATCGAACCAAGATGTAATGAAAGAACGAGAATCAGGTTATCCCCCTCTCACACTACTTCTCAAGCCTCATCAGGCCCTCTCATCTCAGAGACAACCTCAGAACCATATCCCTCAACACAATTTCAACAACCTATCTCAAAATGTCCCCCCCAAGCCGCGACACCAGCCCTGAAACCCACGAAACCGACGCCCTCACCTCCTCCTCCCCAACCCCCAACCTCATCCCCCCTAAACCCTCCACCACCATCAACAGACTCTCAAGCCTCATCCCCCTCCATCGAGACCGCTACTACGGCGCCCTCACCTTCAACACCGCATCCTTCATCCTCCCCGCCCTCTACTCCACCCTCTCCAAGCTCTGGGTCTCCCGCATCGACTCCTCCATGGTCGTGACAACAGACTCCTTCACCTACATAAACACCTTCTCCGAGGCCCTCAACGAAGGCCTCCCCCGCGCCGCATGGCTCATCATCGGTGACAAGGCCTCCCGCTCCCTCCCACAGCGCCTCCAGCTCACGCATACCCTCATCGCCTTTCAAGCCATCGTCGGACTCCTCCTCAGCATCGTCTTCCTCGCCGCGGCGCCGAGATTCGCAGAAAGCTTCGTCCCGCAGGAGGTAAGGGAGGCGAGCCTGACATATGTCCGCATCACGTCCTTTACCGTCTTGAGCGGCGCCGTGGAAACGGCCGTGGCCTCGGCGACGAGGGCGCTGGACAAGCCCGATGTCCCGCTGGTCATCAGCTCCGTCAAGTTCGCCGTCAACATCATTCTCGACCTGCTCATCATCTCCAACTTCCACGTCGGCTCGTTCCAACCAACAGTCAACACCCAAGGCATCATCCAGCTCGTCTGCAACTTAACCGCCGCCTTCATCGGATTAGCCTACTTTCTCTACTCCGCGAGCCTCTCAACCTGGCGGAAACAGCGTCATGTCCCTCTCAACGGCCTCACCACATCAAGTCACAACAAGAATCACTCTCTCTCTCCAAGCCTCCGAGCACTCCGCGTTCTGCTCCCCCCGGGCCTCATCTTCTTCGCCGAATCCGCCATCCGAAACGCCCTTTACCTCTGGCTCGTCACCACCGTCGTCGCCCTGGGCTCCGTCTACGCAACCGCCTGGGGCGTCTTCAACACCATCCGCTGGGGCCTCGTCATGGTCCCCGTCCAGGCCCTCGAGGCGACGGCCCTCCAGTTCATCGGCCACAAATGGGGCCAATGGCGACAACTCATCGGGCCCAGCAACCGCAGGCCAAAAGCAAGCTGGAACGAGCTCTTCAGTCTCGTTAGCCCCGCCATACGATCTCTCCTCATCGCTCTCCTCGTCGAGGTCCCCATTGCCATCTTTCTCTCCGTCTTCGGCGCCCGGCCGTTTGCGCTGTACATCAGCGGTTCGAGCGAGGTCGCGGACGTTACCGCGCACATGTGGCGGACCATTGACTGGTGCTACATCTTCTACGCAATGTCGACGCAGCTCGCCACCATACTGCAGGCCACCAGGCCCAAGTGGTATCTGTACCAGAGTCTGGCGAGCAACATGCTCTATGTCCTGCCGTGGGCGATAGTGTGTCAGGTTGCGCATCTAGACCAGGAAAATGCATGGACATATCATAGCTTCATCTTTGGAGGCAGCCTGGTGTTTAGTTTCGTTGATGTTCTGATCGTCGTTGGCGTCTGGATGTGGACGTTGCGGACAGGGAGGGCGAGGCTCGAGGTAATTCAAAGTTCGTAATTAATTGATATAGTTAATGAAGAGATAAATCGTGCCCTCTAGCGAATGGCGATATCTCATTGATCACTGAAAACTAGGTTGAACCTGAAAGAATTTATCATTCGACATTTGGAATGAGCCAAGACCCTGGCTGCCATTCGATGAGAAACACAACAGCTTTATATAAAGACAAAGGCAAATAAACTTTAAACGACAGCCGTAACTCTCCTCACGCTCTTCCTCGCTCCCTCGCCAGACACCATGATTGCATTCTCCGCCTCCAATGTCCTCATAATCTCGTTAAACTCAGCCTGCTCAACAGGCACCGCCGACGCCTCCGCCAATCTCCTAGACACATCGCTCCACCGAACCGCGTTGCCGCCCGCCGTCATCTCATCCAGGAGTCGCAGCGCCGCATCCTTGAGCTCACTGCGACGCCTTCGCTCAGCAGCGCTGGTTCCGTCCGTGAGCAAGCTCATGTCAATTCTGCCTTCGGAGTCGGTGGCAGCAGTCTTGAGAGCAGACTGGATGAGGCGGTACGCTTCCTGGACGTCATCTCTGGTGACGGTCTCGGAGAGGCGCATCTTGGCGTGGGCCTCGGAGAGACGGATCATGCTTTCGAGCTGTCGAGTGGTGGCCGTGATGCGTTTCTCGGCAGCACGGACATCTTGTCCTAGGGCTCGCATGGCAACGTAGCATTCAACGAGCTCCTTAGCTGCCTCCTCGGAGATGACGGGCTGAATGTTGGAGCGCGCATATGAGATGTACAGGGTCAGGAACTCGATGGGGAGGATGTCGTTGCTGGTGGGTGCCGACTGGGGCTTGTCCTCCAAGTACATGGAGAGAAGATGTTTCGCCAGCCGACGGTCCGTCTTATCGTCGACGCGGTCGAGGATGAGGTAGATGAGATCGAAACGAGAGAGCAAGGTGGGGGGGAGGTCGATGTTTTGCGGGACGGACAGCTCCGGGTTGTAGCGACTGCCGATGGGGTTGGCAGACGCGAGGATGCTCGTTCGTGCGTTGAGAGTCGTGATGATGCCGGCTTTGGCAATGGACACAGTCTGCTGCTCCATCACCTCGTGGAGGACAGATCGCGTGGATTCGTTCATCTTGTCAAACTCGTCGATGCAGCAGACACCTCCGTCAGAGAGGACCAGAGCGCCAGATTCGAGAACCAGCTGTCTAGTCTCGGGGTCGCGAGTGACATACGCCGTCAGACCGACGGCTGAGGAACCCTTGCCACTGGTGTAGACACCGCGCGGTGCAATCTTGTGGATATACGACAGCATCTGCGATTTGGACGTGGATGGGTCACCGCAGAGAAGAATGTTGATGTCGCCTCTGTACTTGGGGCTACCACCCTTTGTAAAGGTCTTGTTGGTTCCGCCAAACAGCTGCAAGAGGATGCCCTTCTTCACATCGTCCATTTCGTAGATCGAAGGAGCCAAGGATCTGGAAAGGAGTTCGTATATGTCAGGGCGACGGGACGTCTCTCGAATCTTGAGTTCATCCTCGGCCGTGATGCGACGAGTCTCTTCCATCTCATTGTTGTTAGTTTCCGCTTCTTCTTCACCCTCCACACCAAGGGTAGTCGGGTCGGCTCCAAGGCGCTTCTTGTCGACTTTCTGCACATGCAGGACATCCACATAAGTCTTGTAGATGCTCTTGATGGCCCTTTGGCGCGGGTTCACTCGTACGGGACTGACTCGGAAGATACCAGTCAGTTGTACACGGTCACCGGCCTTGCAAAAGTCGACAAGCTCATTGTAGACGCAGACGGAGACGGAATGGGGCGTCTGGCCAGCGGGGATGCTATCAGGAGTCTCCTGAAGCTTGATGACTTGTTTGTCTTCAAACGAGCACCTGTTGTGGACGATCTGCATCGAGTTTTTGGAAGCGCACAAGGGGCGAGGGCACTCGGTAGGCTCCCGAATCTTGCCTCTGTCCAAGCCAACGTTGACGGAGTGGTTGCAGACGTTGCAGCGGAAGAAGGCATCCTTCATGTCGGGAATCACGGGCGTTGTGCGGATAACGAGGCCCTTGATGGACACAAGGCGGTCCATGTCTGATACAGGTTAGCCATCTCTTCTAGCAGTGCGAATTATCGATTCAACTCACCAGAAGGATTCAGGTCTCTCAGGTTAGTGATCTTGTCGAGACCAAAGGGACGCACGACGTAGAGAGAGGATGCGACTTGGTCCTCCAGCGTAGGTTCTTCGTCTCGCGGACGGGGCGTAGGCGTAATACCCTCGTCAGGCCTGTCGGAGCTGGGGAACACAGGCTCAGAGCCCTGGGTGCTTCGCTGAGAGGCTTGCTGGCCGGCACTGCTCTGTGAGGGGCGGTTCCTCATCGTTTCGGCTTGGGCTAGGTCGAGCATCAGATCATGGACAGACTGGTCCATGACCGGGACTACTTCTTGGGGGTACGCTTGGATCTGGTGCCACAGCTTCCGCGTTGGCGGGTAGAGGTTCAGATCTGAGATGTCGAGATAGAGCCTCGTCGTGCCGAGTAGCAGCATGTTCTGCAGGGCTTCCCAGTATGGCTTGGATTCGGCATCCGGGGAAGCATTGACCTCTGCGTCCGTAAGGCCATCCCTGTACATGCGGTATTTGAGGGTAAAGTGTCGCAGGAAGTCCTTGAATGTGGAAAAGGTATCGTCAATGGACACAGTAGTACCCCAGATGAGAGTCTGGCCAGCACCACCCAGCACATCGGCCTCGGAGGTATTAGGATCTCGGTTCGCAAAAGACGCGGCATCGGAACCGGGAGCCTGGCCCTCCCTCAGGACGCGACCGGCTTCGTCTAGGATAACATGGCGGGGGGCACGAGGCGTTCTGACGGTATCCGAGTTGATGTCTCCACGTCTGTAGGGCGTGCCACGGCTGGATCCAACAAAGAGACCACTGCTCTCGCTGCGCAGATCCGAGTGCAGTCTCGGGGTTCGACCAGGACTAGAGCTAGGTTCGTATCGGATAGGAGATGATTCTGCAAAGCCTCAGCCGTCAGCAAAGCCCCAGTACCTAGGTCAAACAGCAAGCTCCACAAGTTCCAAGACGCCTTTACCTCCAGCAAGGCCACCGCCACTGGCTCTGGGAGTCCGCTGGCCATCACCATTGGTGGACTGCGTATCCGTCATCTGCCTCAGCGGCGAGCTCGGCGCAGGCCCATTGGTAGGCTGCGTGCTCTGGCTGTTGGACATCTGCCGCAGCGGCGACGAAACGTCCCCCATGACCTCATCTATGCCCTGCGTGGGCGCCGGCGACGACTGGTAGAAGATTGGGCTCGAGACCAGCCGCGCAGGAGTGCCCGCCTCGGAGTTGCGCGTGGACCGGCGAGGCGTCGCGGACTGCGAGTCCCGCTGTCTTCGGTTCGGCGTCGACATCTTGGAAGTCGGTTACAGTTGAAGCTGCAGAATGAGGCCGGCGACGATCCAGAACCACGCCGGAGATGATGACAGGGCTGGGGTTGGGCAACAAAAAAAGCGACCAGGTTGAAGAGTGGACGGCAAAAACGAGGGGCATTACCTTGTGCATGCAAAGGCTCCCAAAGCGGTGGAGACGCGTTTTCCTGCCAATTTCCTCCCTCGAGACGCGTAAAGTGCTTTTTCCGGACGCGAAATGCCCAATAGAGCTTAAACAAGGTACAGCAAGGTACAGCAAGGTACAGCACGCGTTAAGCGCCGGAAGACGGCAAAACAATCCACCGTTGCTGGCGATTTGGCGGGGCTCGCCGTTTTGGGGGACACCTTTTCGGAGCTTGCCTGATAGTACAGGTATCGCTATCACCAACCATCAGTCCGGCCTCATCTCCTCCAGCTTTCGCATTCAGTCCCTCCGCCCCCGAACCGCCCGCCATGTCCCCTGGAATGACCCTCTTCGCCGTCCAGGCAATCCTCATCCTCGGCACCGAAGATGGCGCACGGATATTCGCAAAATACTTTTCTCCGCCGCACGCCGCTCCCACTGGTACGCAGCATATCACCTAGCAAGGAGCTTGAGGGGGGGAGGGTTGCAACAATTAATATGCGCCCCCTGAAGTTTTGAAGCCATTGCTAATCGCGAGCTTGTTGCTTAGGCGGCGCAAGCATCCCAACACACCCGTACACCGATCTGAAGGCGCAAAAGGCTTTCGAAAAGGGCCTCATCGACAAGACGGCCAAGCAGACGGGCGACATCATCCTCTACGACAACCGCATCGTGCTGTACAAGATGGAGTCGGACGTCATGCTGTACGTCGTTGGCGCTGCCGACGAGAACGAGATCCTGCTGTATAACACCGTGCTGGCTCTGCGTGACTCTCTGCATCTCCTGTTCAAGTCAGTCCTCCCCCCTCTTCCTCGGCCACTCCGTCATGGCAGTGGTTGCTCGGGGCCGGAGAACCTCCTTTTCGCTAATCACATCCCAATGAAGGCAATCCGTGGACAAGAGAACCATTATCGAAAACTACGACCTTGTCTCACTCGCAATTGACGAGATTGTCGATGACGGCATCATCCTGGAGACGGACCCGACCATCATCGTCCAGCGCGTCAGCCGCGCGCCCACCCAGGACCTCCCCGTGGGTCGCATCGACTTTAGCGAACAGGGCGTCAACAATCTGGCGCAGCTGGGCAAGTCGAAGCTGTCAGACTGGCTGCGCCAGGGGCTGTAGTGTCGAAAGGACCTGGGTTGCTTGTTTGGAGTTGCATGTTTAAAGCGGTCTGTTGCACTAAAAGACTACCCTTGTAGTTGATATTTCCTACATTTTTCATTCTTCCGTCTATTGCTTGCAACGAAATCTCGGTTTATATATACAGGGCAGGGGTATAACGAATCTATGCATCTTTCCTCCTTTTTTTTTCTATGTCTATCCAGAACTGCTCCCTCATGACCGGATCTCCGATGCCGCCTTGCGAAGGCGATTCATCACGGCAGCGGCGATGTCCAGCTCGCCGTCTATGCCATCGACAAAGATTGTGTCTATGTTCCGGCGATCCAGCTCCCGCAGCGCCGAAAACAGCCCTTGCGCTATCCTCTTCGTGTCGTGTCCTAGGTCAATGTCGAATAGCTCACCGATGACATCGCCCTGTTTGTTCTTGAGATGTCCTTTAAACACCTGATATGCGGGATTCAGGTACTCGTCATCATGAGCATCCTGATCAACGGGAGCAGGCTGTAAATTATCGCACTCAAGACCCGCTCCCGACTTCCACCGCTGCGTACGAATCACGCCTATCCTCGTCGACGAGTGACCGTTGGTCTTCCCCGTGTTTCCGTTCTCCGTAGCGCCGGCAACCTCGACATCCGACGGCAGCACCCCTCCGGAGCCATCCGCGTACGTAGACTCGTAGAGCACCACCCTCGCCTTGGGGCTGTAATGCTTGTACTTCATCCCAGGAGCCCTCGGCGCCGCCTTGCCCAGCTCGCTGTGGTCCTTGTACGCCTTGGCCACGTTTTCCCAGCCGGGACAGCTCCGGAGCTCCTCCATGCTGATGCCTCCCGGTCGCAGCACCACCGGCGGGTCGCAGAGGCCATCCACGACGGTGCTTTCGACGCCGACCTGGCAGGGACCCCCGTCGAGGATGAACTCGATCCGTCCATCCAGGTCGTCCTTGACGTGCTGCGCCGCCGTGGGAGACGGTTTGGTCGAAGCATTCGCCGAAGGAGCCGCAAGAGGCACGCCAGCCAGCTTAATCAGGCTCAAAGCCAGCGGCGACGACGGCATCCTCGCGCCAAACGTCTCCAGCCCCGCCGTCACCTCCGGCGCCAACCTTGACGGCTGCGGATTCGGCAGCAGGATCGTCAGCGGGCCCGGCCAGAAGCGCTCTATCAGCGCCCTGTACCTGCTCGGGATGGCATCCGGGTCGTCCTTGTTCTTGCCCAGCAGCTCGCGCAGCATGCGCAGGTCCGAAACGTGCACAATGAGCGGGTTGTCCGACGGCCTCCCCTTGGCGGCGTAGATGCCCTTGACGGCGGCGCTGCGAGTGGCGTCCGCGCCGAGCCCGTAGACGGTTTCCGTGGGGAAGGCGACGGGCGTGTTGCTGGTTCGGAGGTAGGCTGCTGCGGACTCGAGGGCGGCGATGGCGTCTTTGGAGGAGGGGAGGATGCGCCATTCTTCCAGCTTGGAGGGCGGCGGTGATGATGATGATGATAAAGAGGTTGTGGATGGTGATGGTGATGACGGTGGTGAAGGGAGGGAGGCTTCGAATTTGCCGAGGGGAGAGTCCTTGCTCGGAGAGACCTTGATGATCCTTGTTTCCATGGCGGCGAGGCTTCGAGACACTGGAACTGATGCTGATGGTGAACAAGTTGAAGCTGCAAGTGCTCGAAGCAAGCCTCGATGGAGTTGACGCAGAGGAATGATGACGGCTGGTGGCGGGGTAATAGGGTCCTCTCTTATTTTATTCTATTTTCTTCTTCTCGTTTTCCTTTAGCTGTAATAGTTTTGACTGTAAAGTTGGTAGCCGAGATGAGGCTGGTTGTGTCAAAAGTTGTCAGTCGTTTTGTGAAGTGATGATATGCGCGGTTGAGATGAGTCTTTGAGACGTGCTGATGCTGATGTGCCGGTCTCGCTGCATGAAAAAAATATTTTGGCGGGCGGAAAATCTAATCCAGGCGCCTCAACTATAACGTCACAAGTGAAGCCGACGCCACTCCGAGGCCGAGCCACTTCCGTATAAGTACACTGTAGAAGACATCAACCCAACAACTCAAAGCGTCCTCTTATGATCCATTCTAGAGCTCGCCTTTGTGATGTAAATCTCTCTATTTCAGAGCGGTTGTAAACAATGTCTACGCTTTTGTCTTGCCAAAACGCACAAACAATTAATCTTTGCATGCCCATATCAACAAACCACCAGAGCTTCCTCAACTTCCCACCTGGTCAGCTCGGGCAACAGGCAGCAAACTAAATAACAACAAGGCTTTGATGACGACCTCAAAACCCACCATGCAAATGCTGTGCCGTATCGGTTCGCCATATTCTCTTGATCATCACCCTCTGACCAGACTCCGCGCTCTTCGCTTCTCGTCCTCTGTCAACACCCAGTCAATCCCATCCTCTCCGTTCTGGGCGCAAATCTCCTCCCACTCGTCATCCTCCATATTCGCAACCATGAGCAGCTGCGTGACCCTGCTAAACACCTCCTTGACGCTATAGTTGCCCCGAGACACCACGTCCACAATGGCTGTGAAATCTCTCTCCATGCGAATCGCGCCATATGCGCTCGTTCGTCCACCGTAGCCTAGGATCCTCTTCTCCAAGATCCGGGACAGGTAACGCGCAGTCATGTCCATGAGGCTGCTGAATGTGCCCGGCGTCATGATCCGGCCAATAGCCTTCATGAGCTGATCCCAGCCGTGTTCAAAGCGCCGCGCCACCTGATCGAGCAGCTCTCCTTCACCCGCATCGTTCTCCTGTGCGATTTCTGCAATCTCTTCTTCAGTGAGTGTGTAGTCTGCGTCGCGGAATGTGTCGCTAAGCACCGGCCGCAGGCGTAGTTTGACGACCTGGTTGAACAAGACCTGGATCGCTTCGTTGAGCAGTTCCGTCGTCTTGCCCAGGAAGGCCGTCTCCAGCGACCGTAAGGCGCCCATGACTGCCACCGCATCGCGATCAAACGGAAACGACTGTTTCAGCTGGGCCTCGATCTCTTCTTTCTGCTGCGTCGGTCCATCTGGCGAGCCAATGCGGCCATGGATGATTCTGGCCAAGTATTCATTGGCCATGTCCAGGCTGTTGATGAGAACAATGAACTGTATAATCTTGTCCTCTGGCGGGAATCCCCCTTGTATAGCTGCCTTGGGGTAAGACTCGTCGCGCATCTTGCGCTGTATCATGCCCACAAAGTCACCGGTGAGGACCCGACTAACCGATGGAACGACTGAAGCGACAACGTCCCTCTGCGAGGTGGACAAGCACCTCTGAAGAACGGCGTTGACAATGTACATGACATCGTCGACTGCAAGTATGATGTAGGGGGTATTGCCCTCAATGGGCTTGTTCAGGCTCAAGGAAAGGCCACTAGGGTACTCATCCAACTGGAACGCCTTTTCGACGGACCGACGGAAGAAAAAGGTCGACATGACGTTGTATGGCGATATGAGTTTGGAGGACACTTTGCCATATAACTTTGACTTGACCAACAGGTCTGCTAGCCTCAAGGGCGCATCCTGAACTTCTGGGTCCTGTGAAAAAAGAAAAATACATCGTTAGGGAGGAAATTCTTGGAAAAGAAAAGCAATTTCAGGATGAAGCAGCTGCACTTACCATGGACTTGACTGAGATAAATCGAGTGTAGAATGACCACTGCGCGAGCATGACAGAAATCTCATGCAGCAGCCCGTCAACCTCCTTCATGTTGACACCCTCATCTTCACTGTTTCTTGGATTGTTGCCCGCGCCCGCCGCGGGTGAGTTCATCCTAGGGATACCTCCCCTGGGAGGCTGTGGGAGAAAGCTCTGGACCAGGAACGAGAAAGGATAGCTCTTCACATCTGTCAGCTTCTTATCAACTCCTCGCTCGTCGCTCCACGTGTCGAGAATGATGCCGCCCTGGACGTCCGCCTCCATCTGGATGCGCTCGATAACGCGGACCATCTTGCCGGCGCCGTAGTGCCGCTCAACCAGCCCGCCATGGCCCTCGACAATCTGAGCAATGTGCTGGAAGAGCCTCGTGAGCGAATTGGCGTAGATGATGCCCTCCTTGCGGTTCTGGCCCGCCATGCCGTCCTTGAGCGTGGCCCTCGCCGTGCCCGCCACGCCCTGGCACACGTATTTGCCGTACACGTCCAATCCCACGTCCGCCCGTCCAATGAGGGGAAACAGCTTGAAGAAGCGCGTCACCTTTGCTCCGTCGCCCTCGGCAGCCGCCTTGTCAAACTCGCGCAGGAACAGCCCGCACAGGCTCTCCCTCGCATTCTCCAGCGTGATCCACGGCGCATCGGGCACCTCGACGCTGGGCACAATGTCGGCCGCAAAGGCGCCCCGGGCAATGGCCTCGGGGATCTTGCTCGCCCGCGCCAGGTAGCCCGCCGCCGCCTCCCAGTCCTGCGGCGCGCCCATGGAGCCCACGACGCCGTTGACGCACGCCTTGAGCTCCGCCACCTGCTCCACGACGCCCAGCGTGGCCTCGACCCGGCTCTTCTCCAGGTCCAGCTCCTTGACCCTGTTGCTGAGCCGCCCGGCCGTGTCCGCCGCCGTCATGAGCATGTCCCTGCTGATGCCGCGCACCGCAATCACCTGCGCGCCCAGGCCCGCCCGCAGCAGGTCCAGCCTGCCCAGGTCCCGCGAGAGGTCGTTCTGCGACTCAACAAGCGCGTCGAGCCTCGCCGTGATCGCCGACTCGCGCTCGTGCAGGGCGGCGAGCGTTGCGCGCAGCTCAGCCTCGTTTGTGGCATTTTGGAGTGTCGGTGATGATGATGATGCTGCTGCTGCTGATGTTACGGCTCGACTGCTGCTGCTGCTGCCGCGGAGCACGCCGTTGGGGGCTGACATTGGCGCTGAGCACGAGTATCAAGGAGGCGCATAGCTGCCCCTGGCAACGTCGTCGAGGCGAAAATGCGTGTGAGGTCGAGAGTTGTGTGGTGGAGGTTGCAGCTGGCTGGTGTTGTCTGGAGACAGATAAGCCGAGCAGTACGTTAGTAGGTATGTAGTGCCTACATGTATGGAGCTGTTCAATATGGGGTCATTTGGTGGAGGAGGGGCTAACCTTCAATGTCAACTCCCCCAGCTGTCGTTGAGCTCACTCAAAGTGCAATTGATAGACGGAAGATATATCTGACCAGTTCTAAAGTGAATAGGCAAATTATGGACGGTAATTGATTCCATAGGTAGTCAATTGAGTCCCTCATTCCTACATGGTGCGAGTTTATGCTACCTACCTGAACGGCTGGTTGTAAAGCTGTCATGTCGCTGTGGTATTACCAGCAAGCAGTATTACCCAAGGTTGGATCGTTTGGAGAACCCGTCCGTCTTCAGCTTTGTGATATTAGAGGACCAAATGTCCAATTCTTTTTCTATACAAAAGCGCATATCAATGCTAGCTAAAATATGTAACTGTATAGAGGCAGGGCGTCTACTCTACTCCCTAGGCCCATACATATCTGTATGTATTACAATCGCCTCATACCATATATCACAAACCTCCCCATGAAGCCCATCCGTCCCTTTTGTACCACTCCTCTTCTCTTTTCCAAAGTTCGTTCTTTTAAACCGCCTGACTGTACCCGCCGCCCAAACGCCGCTTCCCATACTTGAGATACTTTCGTAATTCATCCGCCAAAAACACCGTGCTGCAAAGCATGACCAGCCGCACCAAATCACCCAGCCCAAGGGCTTCCGTCTGAAAGACTTCTTGTAGCCAAGGAAGATAGATGACGAGCAGCTGGCCGACGATTGACAGAGAGACTGCCCAGTTAAACAAGTTATTCGAAAATAGTCCCACCTCGCCACGCAGCACCGATTTGGATTCGGAGCGGCAGCTGAGAGCGTTGAACATGTCAAAGAAGACGAAGCAAGTAAAGGTCATGGTGGTGTCCCGGCGCGTGACGATGCCGTCAGCCATTTGCTGCCGGTACGTGATCATTGTGCCCACCATGATGATGGCTGCCGAGGTGAGAACTCTCTGGATGAGTTTCGTGGTAAGAACCGGATCGTTGCGCTTCCTTGGTGGCCTGTTCATCACGTCTGGGTCGACCGTCTCGACACCCAGAGATTGTGCCGGAGGGCCATCCATGATGATGTCTGTTTTTGTTAGCTGAGGTGTTTTTTCACGAAGATGCAGGATCATCGAGCAGCAAAACTCACTAATCCATAGAATCTGCATGGCATTCAGAGGACTCTTGAACCCGAAGCATGTGCAGACAAAGACAAGGGCCAAGCTCGCCGCGCTCGTGCTGAGCTGAAACGTTAGAAAGTTTTGGATGTTGTTGAAGATGCCCTTTCCTTCTTCAATAGCCCGCAGAATGGTGGAGAAATCGTCGTCGGTCAGAATCATGTCCGCTGCCTCCTTGGCCACATCGGTTCCATGACGGCCCATCGCAATGCCAATATCAGCCTTTTTCAAAGCCGGCGCATCGTTGACGCCGTCACCAGTCATGGCTACAATGTCTCCCCTGGATTGAAGCGCGCGGATAATCTTCATCTTGTGATCGGGGTTGGTTCTCGCAAAGATGGTCGTGTGCTGCATCGCCTGAGCGAGGGCGTCATCAGACATGCTGTCGATTTCGTCCCCTCTCAGGACGGCCTTGACCGCGTTCTGGCCCGGCAAATGAGCGCTGGGGACGGCAACATTCATTCCTAGCTGTTTGCCAATCGCAAGCGCCGTGGTCTCGGCATCACCAGTGATCATGATGACGCGGACGCCGCCTCGCATCAATCGTCGAATAGAGCGCTCTACGCCGGGTCTCGGGGGGTCCCTCATGCCAACCAGACCGGCAAAGGTGAGACCCTTGTAAACATCCTCGGAGCTTTGAGGGATGACCGGACTGGCAGCTCCATTGGCGGGGGTGTTGCTCCGCGTGTCAGCAGCCGACGTGCGTGTTCTCGAGGATCTAGCTACTTGTCCACTGGCAAAAGCAAGCACGCGAAGCCCCTTGGATGCCATGGCGTCGGCCGCTGCCAGAGCCTCCTGGCGACGTGCATTGTCCAATACAATTTCTCGGCCGTCCTTTTCCAGATACGTGTCGCAAGCGGCGAGAACCTTTTCGATCGACCCCTTCATATACGCATGTTCCTTTTCGCTTCCAACGGTAACACCCATCCACTTTCTCTCAGAGCTAAAGGGCACCTCCGTGACACGAGGGCCCATAGAGTCTCGGATGTCGTGCTCTTTGAACTTGTCGAGCAGATCAAGCATGGCCACATCGGTTGGCTGGCCGACCCAGCGAGTATAGGTCGACACCTCTTCGCGTCCTAAGGTTGAAGACAAGACAGCACTCGTTGCAGCGCCGCTCTCGGTGAAATTCTTCGACAGCCGTGCATTGTTTGCGATATTTCCGATGCGCAGGATGTGCAAAGCCGCTTGTGTCGGCTTGAACTCCTCAACCTCGACATCAGAAGCTACGTTGAACGAGCCGTCTTCTCCGAAGCACCACATCTCGACAGTTGTCATATGGTTTGTCGTAAGGGTACCTATTTTCCCGTACATTCAGCACCAGTGCGACCGTGATTTGCTAGTGGCCTAGGAGAGGGACTTACCGGTCTTGTCAGTGCACACCACATTGACGGAGCCAAGGGTTTCCACCTTGGGCATCCAGCGCACGATGGCATGATGCTTGGCCATACGGTGGACACCAAGAGCCAGAGTGACGGTGACAATAATGGGCAACCCTTCGGGAATAGCTGCGACGGCCAGGGATATAGAAATGGTGAAGATTTCCAGGAGCTTCTTGCCTTGCAACCAACCAACCAGCGATATCAGTCCAATGACGACAAATGAGGCCTTGCTCAGCTGCGAACCGAGGTCGTCCATTGACAACTGCAACGGGGACCTGGGGTTTTCTGTTCCAGAAACACTTGACGCAATGGAGCCGAAATGAGTGTTTCCGCCGGTAGCAAAGACAATTCCCTGACCATGGCCGGATTTCACCAGTGTGCCCATGTAAGCAATGTTTCTAGCGTTGCTGCTGTCAGACGACTCAGCATTGCCCGCGGGAGGTGCCGGGGAGAGGGATGTTGGCTTTGGAAACTGCATATTCAATCCGTGAGATTCTGCTTCGGTCGATATCCTAACGGGTTTCGTTTCGCCAGTAAGGTTGGAGACGTCAATGGTCAGATCGGCCGCCTTGGTAACTCGGATATCCGCAGGGATACGGTCGCCGGTAGTGAACAACACCAAGTCTCCCGGGACAAGCTGTGACGCTGAGACCTTGAACGACGTGCCGTCAAGGATATCTTCAATTGGCGTGATTGCGCCAGAGCTATCGGCTGGGTCTAGCGGGTCGTTGATGCTGGGAGGCCATGTGGGAGGTTTCTGCAGATTAGACTTATTCGACGAGCCTCGTACTAGATGTGCGTGATTCGGAACCAGGTGGTTGAGGGCCTCAATTGACTTTTCGGATCGGTACTCCTGGACAAAGCCCACGGAGACGACAATGGTGACCGCCACAGTGATGCTGATGGCATCGTCCATGTTGCCCAGGAGCAACGACGTCCCTGCGGACACCAGCAGGAGAACTATCAGCGGCTCCTGGAATTGCTTGAGAAACCGCAGCCAGAGCGGTTCCGGCGCCTCGTGGGGAATCTCATTGGGTCCGTACTCGCTCAGCCGTTTCAGTGCCTCGTTGGGCGTGAGGCCGTATGTAAGCGACGTTCGTAGCTGGGCGGCAGCCTCGCTGGGCGTCATGAAGGAATACTCTCTCGCCACTCCCTGCCATCGAATCCGCCGTTAGCGATCTATCAACAATGCGCCAATGGCATATCCAGCCTTACCCGTGCATGCGCCGATGATGTTCGGGCATGTCCAGGCCTGGTCTCTGATCTCCCCTGCCGTGATGAATCGTCCGCGTCGCCAGTGATGATGGGCACGCTGCTCATTGGCAGCAGAGACTCGCTGCCAGAGCCGCGGCCCGCCCACGGCAGCTGCATGTTGCAGACTCGAGGGCGGCGTCGATGATGCGAAAAGGGGGTCCGAACAATCAATCAACCTCCAAGAACTGGTGTCAAAGGCCGGGTTTCATGGGTGAGGTAGAGTCGGATGCGCAGCGGTCCAGCAGTGGCGCATGCGTCGTCGGTATCGGGAGAGGGGCGCTGCGTGAGATCGGGGTCGTGCTTTGTCTTGCAGCTGGCTCTTGACGGCTGCTTGTACGATCCTCATCCCCCTAATGGCATGGAAGAGGCCAGCGTGCAGACCGGTGAAGCATTGGCAGCCGGACGTGATCGTGGAAATTGCATGGATGGTGGAAAGGTGGTCTTCCAGCGGAATGGATGCGCTAGCCTCGCCACTCTTGCACTGGGCGACAGGCGGACAGGGAGCACCATTACAGGGGGTTGCAGCTACTAACGGGGGCGCCTCATAGTGGATTGGATTGAACGCTCTGGCTACAGTACCTAGGTAGGCTTAGCGGCAGTGCGGCATTGGAGGCTGGAGCTGTGTAGACGTCTGGCGGGTTGTTTTCTTGCGGGCGTGAGCTTGGGACGAACAAGTATAAAATAGCTCTCTGGTGTTCTGGGAGAAGACGGATTGATACACTGGGTGTCTGAGTGAGTGGCATGATGATGCTGATGAAGAGACACGGCATGTGAATGACATAAGACGGCAACCTCTAGTTGTGACGAACCGGTTCCCGGGACGTGGTGCTTGTACGAAGCTCAGCTGCAGATGCGGGAAACTAAGAAAGAGACAGACGAGGTAGCACTGGATGGAGAGCTCAATTATTGATGATGTCTTGGCGCACACAGACAAGGGATACAAAAGTGAACCCATTAGTATCAACCTGGAAGATCGAGCCTCTGGGAGTCATGGTTCCTGGTTGGAGACGCACATGCTGGTGTACCCAAGGTAATGAATGGTATGACCATGAGCTCCAGCGCACATGTCGCAACATGACCACTTAATTGAGCCAAATAGCAGTCAGCGAGTTGTCATTATCACTGTCCATTACCTATCCAGCACATTGCAAAAGAAACGCTTCAACAATTCGAGTTCGCTCACAAATGATTCTGCATCAAATCCTGTCAAGACCAGGTATTGACCGTTTGACTGTAGAAGTACTTGGTACGGAGTGCCTTGTCCGACAACCACCGCTGCACTGCAGGCACCGACTTCCGACAAGCCACCAGCCTCAACGATCTGCTCCGGAGCTGAGGATTCCCCGCTTCCGGCGCAGCAAACCGAGCCGCAATTGGACGGCCAGAGAAGGCTGAAGTACCTCGTACCTCGTACCTCATGCCACCAGCCACTTTTCCTCCCAGCCACGCAATTTACGGCAAGGCAAAGCTCGGGGACCGCAGCGTCTCCCCTCGCTCCAGACCTGAGACTTCCACACAACTGCGTCTGCTCGCCTTTTTTGCCCTTTGCATCACCGGAACCCCGTCGCCTCGCCCTGCGCCGCCGAATCTCGCGCCTCTTCGCACACTCGCCCCGGGCGACACGATATTTTACGACTGGATGAGCTTGCGCGGCTGCTGTTGCGCGTGAGCCCGGCCCGAACACGGTTTCGGCGATTGTTTATCCGCCAAAACGCGCAGCCCTTGTGCCGTGTTTACTTGTGCTCACCTCCACCGAGGCTGCAAGCTCGTGTCCCTACACCGAGTTCCCACTGGCTGAGCAGTATTCTGCAACTCGCCTTCACAACCACATTCCCGTTCGCATCCCTACCCGGCCATCTCGTGCCCTTGAGTCGCCGTCGCCACATCGACCCGTGCGACAGCTTCGCGCGCCGCCATGTTCTACTCGGAGACGCTCCTCCAGAAGACCGGGCCGCTCGCCCGTGTCTGGCTGTCGGCCAACCTCGAGCGCAAGCTCTCCAAGAATCACATCCTGCAATCCAATGTCACGGACAGCGTCGAGGCCATCATTACGCCGAACCAGGCGCCCATGGCCCTGCGTCTCAGCGGCCAGCTTCTGCTGGGTGTGGTCAGGATATACCAGCGCAAAACGCGATACTTGCTGGACGATTGTAACGAGGCGATGATGAAGATTAAAATGGTTGGTAGCCTCTCTGCATTGCCTTTAGAGTTTCTCGACGTCCACTGTTACACATCTCGCTAACATTGTTGCTAGGCTTTTCGATCAAGTGGTAACAACGATCTGGCCGCCAATCTGCAAGTCACCAACCGCGAGGCTCTGCTTCTGCCCGATCGCATCACCCCATACGACAACCTCGAGCTCCCTCCGCCCCCGGATGCGTCATGGCTCCTTTCGCAGGTTGAAGATGTGTCGTCCACGCAGGTCGGTAGGAAGGGCCGCGTGAGCAACACTCGAGACATTAACCTGCAGGAAGACTTCGACAACAGCCAGTATCTCCAGAGCGGCATGACGATGGATGAGGACGCGCTCGCGCCCATGGACGATCTTGAGCTCGAGCTCGACTTTGGCATTGACATGGATGGTGGCCCAAGCGTTGAGATGGGTCGAGATGCCCCGGCAGCGCGATCAATAGAAGATGACGTCTTCAGCGAGCTGGATATCATGCCTCGAACCAAGGAGGGCGCTGGTCCTGACGACACCACCATGGCCATGGACGGCGGCGTGAGGATCGCAGATGACGAGGGCGACATCCAGATGGGAGACGACGACTTCCAGTTCAACCCCGACGATCAATCTGCCGTGCCTGGCATGGCTGCTCTCGACATCAACCGAGAGAGAATCTCGGAGTCTCCTCTCTCAGACATTGATGATCAGTTTGCCAAGGAGATCGAGGAGGAGTACTCCCGCCACGGCCACACCGATCTCTACGAGCCCCAAGAAGACGCGGAAGACTCCCCTGTCAAGCGACCTGCACAGCGCCCCAGGAAGCAGCGCCTCATGATGCCAGATGATGAAATCGTGCTGTCCAGCACTCACATCAAGCAGCAGCAGGCCCACAGGGACAACATCACCAAGCCCACCGCATTCCTCCCTCGTGATCCTCTGCTCCTCGCTCTTGTGGAAATGCAAAAGAACGGTGGCTTCGTCTCATCCGTCATGATGGACGGCAGAAGCCAGGGATGGGCACCCGAGCTCCGCGGCATGCTGTCATTGGACATGGTGCGTGGCGCCAATGAGCTGAAGCGCAAGCGCGACAGCGGTGTCGCCGATGTGGAGAGCGAGTTGGGTGGAGTCAAGTCCCCTCGTCTCGAGCTGGGAGACGACACCGACTTCACCATTGACGGAAACGCCTTTGGCAACGGGAGCGTGGCCGCCGATGGCACCATTGTGGAGATTCCCGCCGACCAAAGCGCGGCTCACTTTGACGAGGATCATGCGGACGGAGAGGGAAGCACCCTGATGCCCGCATTCGAAGACACGACGATGCCGCTCGTCCACCCCGCCGACAGTGGCCCCGTCTCTGTTGGCACCAGACACGCCGTGCATATTCTGCGAGACCTGTTTGGCTCCGAGGCGGCCCATGATGCCGACAAGAGGAAGAAGTCGGCGGTCGTCTTCCAGAGCCTGCTGCCTGAGAAGGAAACCACCAAAGCCGAAGCGACAAAGATGTTCTTCGAGTGCCTGGTGCTCGCAACCAAGGACGCCATCAAGGTCGAGCAGGGCTCAGGCCTGGGCGACCCCATCAAGATCCGGGGCAAGCGTGGCCTCTGGGGTGCTTGGGCTGAGCGAGAAGCCGGCGGCGAAATTTCGAACCAAGATGAACCCGAGCCCGTTGCTCCCGCGAGTGTTGCGGCGGTTTCTGTCGGAGCATGAAGCGTCTGCCAAACAGTCACGAGTACCTACCAATGGAAGAAATGACGAAACTTTGCATGTAACAAATACATTGCTGTGCATCTTGGGGCTACGGGTTTTGCTTTTATTCGATTCGCTCATGGCGGAGTTGAAGGCGTTTGGGAGATACCATGTAATGTGACCTTGGGGATTTCTCTGATCTGGATAAAGGGTGGAGGGGGAAAAAAACTGATGATTCGAGCCTTGGGTGTGGATTCAGGACAAGCCTTTTGCTTCTTCTTCTTCTTCTTTCTGTCTTTTGACTTTTTGTTCTGCCTCTCGTTCTTCTTTTTTTGTGGCCTGTACGTTGCTTGCCTAGGTATCAGCTGTTAGATAGGTAGGATGTCCAGGGTTTGGTCGTCACTCGACAGACGTTGGCAATATGATGTGCTTTTAACGCTTGTTGAGACTGATTCGATGACTCTCTTTACCGAAATGCTCCAGTTCCTGTTAAAGTCCGAATATGCCTTGCCAGTGTTCTTCTTGATGCTCAGGATTTGAGCCCTTGAATGTCAAGCTCGTGTTGGCTTCAAGCCTACCTTACTAAGTTGGTACCTAGGCTTTGATAAACTGGAAGATTCCAAAGTCTAGCAAAAGAAGTCGCGATCTGCTGCAGCTGCTCTGCCCCGCCACGGCTCTCGAACCCCACGCGGAACCAAATCCGTCTCCTCTACCAGGCAACCTAGTACTACCTGGTAGTTTATCTCCCATATTCAGGTAGGCAACCCAGATTCAACCCCGATCAAACAACTTACTACGAACTACTCCCCGTTACCACGAACCATAAAAGACACCTTTACCTTCAACCTCACACCGATACCGTCCGGCCGAAACGAACAAAGACATAAACCCCAGAGTAAAGAAAGAAACGCAGCAATGCCTCCCCCATCACCCCTCGTCATCGCAACAGGCGCGGTAACCCGCCTCCTCAAGGAAGAAGCCTCCTACCACAAGGAGCTCCAGGAGCAAGAAGCCAAGGTCAAGGCGCAAGAGGAGAAGATTCAGAGCGGACAGGACGACGAGGAGGGCAATGCGACGTATATCCTCAAGCAGCACGTATGTTTCTTTCCTTTTTCTTGGTTTCTTCCCCCTTCTGCCTTTACCCTTCTCTCTCGTCCTCTGCGGAAGCTCTGTGGGCTCCTACCGCGTGTATCAGTTTGACGGGCTTTGTGTAGATTGTGTTGGAGAGAGTCATGGCTGACGTTTCTGGTGGTTATCTCTTTTTAGCAAATGGTTGTCGAGCAGACGAGGGCCGTGTTCAAGCCGCTGAGGACCCGCATCAACCAGGCTGTCGAGAAGCTCGAGGATTTGGTCGCCGCGGAGGAAAAGGGCGGAAGTGCTTCTGAGGAGGAGCTTGCGAATGCAAAGGCGGCGCTGGAAAAGGCCAAGGCGGAGAATGCTTCTGCTTAAACGAACGAAACGATCGGGATAGAACGAGGAGGATAGAAAGAGTTGCGGTTTAGTCATACAACACAAGACACACCGGTGGGCTACGGCCATCACTCCGTTAGATAGGTATAATACTGGCAAAAAAAAAGCGTCATCTTTGAATTCTGGTAAAGGGTCCATTTGGGTATCCTATGTGTATAAAGACTCGACCCATTGTCGCAGGAGAAAAGCAATGCCATGCAAACTTGTCGAAATCTAATTATCAACCTCCATCTTATCGCCATTCCGTGCACCCGTCTTGTCGTCTTCATCCTCCTCCTCCTCTCCCTCTTCACCGTCCTCACGTCGCGAATCCTCCATATCAACATCTTCGCCCGTCTCGCTCCCCGACGCCTCCCGCAATCGCGTCCGCGACGGCTCCCTCGTCGAAGCCCTGCTGGGTGCCCTCGAGCCCGTTCCTTCGGCAGCCAGCTGCTGCAGCCGATCCGGTCGCGGCGAGCTGACCGCCGGCGTCGGCGCGTCCACAGATATCGTTGGCTGAGGCGTTTCGTTGAGGGTGCCCTCGCCGTCTGGGCGCGGCGTCCCGGTTGCGCTGGGCTCAACGCCGGGCGTCTGGCCGCCGCGCTGTTCCTCCGCTTCGTCCTCTGCGCCTTCGTTCATGCCCTCTCTCCTGTCTACCTCTTCCTTCTCGTCTCTAATCTGCCGCCTCAGCAGCATGCCCTCCTCCATGATCCTGTTGAACTGGTCTCTCCGCTCCTTCCACGTTCCACTGTATGTTTCGCTTTCGCGCTCCAGCTCCTTGCACTCTTCTTCCAGCTTCTCCAGGGCCGCAAACTGGTCTTCGCGTGGCCTTAGCAAACGGTTCGAGAGGATCTTCTCCGCCAGCTCATCGAACTTCTTCCGCCGCGCCAAAGTCGCCTTGGCGTCTTCCAGCTGTTCCCGCAGCCGAGCGTTGTTTTCGCGCGCAGCCTGGCACTCTGCCAGGATGCGCTGCTTGTCCGCCTCGTAACGTTGCCGCTCTCGTACATTTGCGTCGTGGAGGAACTGGAAGCGGGCGATGCTGCTCTCAAAGGCGGCAAAGTCGAATGTGAGGTCTTCTTGTAGCTGGGCGCTGCTTGTGGTTTGGCCGTTTTGGACGGTAGCGTCGGACTGTATGGCGCTGGATACAATCGCGGAGATGGAGGAGAGTCGCTTGGTGATGCGCTTGAAGGGTTTTTCTTCAACGTTGAGCAGCCGGCTCTTGTGAAGCTCGGATTCGCCTTTCTCGTCGAGAAGATCCCAGGACGCCATTGTCGGGAATTGAGGAACGTGGTTGTTTGATTTGGCGGAAAGAAGATCGCTGGCAATGAGGGAGACCCTGGAAATTAGAAAAGATCTTTGAATCGAAGACACGAAGAGTGCCTCCAAGCTTCGATCGTGCGGTAGGTATGTTGAAAGGCAATCAATGGCTGGTGTCCTTCAGCCTTGCACACCAAAAAGACGTGGGCGCGTTGATGACATAATCCATCCACCGCTTTCCAAGGCTAGCTCCTCCAAAGCTCGCCACGGCTCGGCAGCCTTGCATCTGCTCTCTTCAAACATAATTTCGATACATCTTCCACCGCTCCAAAACCACGCACTCCATCCCATCTTCTGCCCAAATCTATTTATCGCACTGCATCACGTACTTGGGACTACGAGGAAGAGAGTCATCGCCAAGATGACGGACGAGGAAAAGGAGCTTTTGGCGCGCATCGGCCAACTCGCTGGTAGGACGTCAGCTGTCCCGCGATGACTTCATAGAAGCTCACGTCTTCGTTTTCATTTTAGGCCAAATCAACCGACACAAGAACCAGCAGGCTGGCTACCAATCAGTTCCATCGACGCATCACCCGAGCCGCCATCGAGGTCCGCATCATCCGCGAGCGACCGGACCAAACAGTCAAACTGACGTGATTTCAAGGAAATGTTTATCGTCAAGCAAGCGCGCCTTATCCCACCAGAGGATTCAGCAGCCGGCCAGCCGCAGCTCACCGTCACAGGACCCTGCACCTCAACGCCTCAGCATCCGCCTCCGGATCCGCGTCGAGCTCGGCAGCGCCCAGTCCTGGTCCGACGGGCTCCGGTTGGGTATCCAAGAACGATCGCCACCGCCAGCTCATCAACGCCAGCATCTACGAAAAGGACAGCCAGAACCGGGCCAAGGCCATAGAAGAGACTCGGCAGCGGAAACTCAGGGAGCAGCGCCTTCGGGAGAAGAAGCGGTTTAGCGAATATCTCCGCCACCAAGCCGGCGCTGCTGGGTTTCCAAATACGGGCATGACCGCTAACGCGACAGGGACGAATGAGATATCGGTCGACGGTATTCGTTTCCGCGTTCTAGAGGGAGGAAAGAAGCTTGTCAAAGCACCTGGTATGTGCATTTCCTCTTCCGTTCAGACGTGTATTTTTCTCCTGATTTTAACAAACAACAACAGGCGATCCGGCCTCTCCTGCCATGACGCCCAAGTCGACAGTCATTGCCGGGGTTAAGTTCCATCGTACCAAGACTGGAAACCTAGTGGCGCAGAGGATAGTCAAAGACCAACGGTATGTATACTCCCGCTCGGCAAGCGCAGTACTAACGTCAAACAGTCGATCTGGCGCGGTCAAGAAGCTCGATCAACGGTGCAAGATCTTTTCAACGACCGGTAATTGTTTACTTTTTCTACAATTTTCACGCCTGCGGCGACGAATACATCCCCCGCAGCTTGACAGAATAGGTGGCATGGAGGTAGGGACACTAACCTCTCGAATGTTTTCTGTTTTAGGATCCTGCCCGAAAGGCCCAGCCTGCCGCTATATCCACGACCCCAACAAGGTGGCCCTCTGCAAAGACTTTATGAAAGACGGCAAGTGCCCCAACGGCGAGGCATGCGACCTCTCCCATGAGCTTACCCCAGAGCGTGTCCCGAACTGCCTGCATTATGCCAAGGGCCAATGCTCTCGGCCTGACTGTCCCTTTACGCACTCCAAAGCGTCTCCAAGCGCTCCCGTTTGCGAGGCATTTGGGTTCTGCGGTTACTGTGACAAGGGTGCGGAGTGCACCAATCGCCATGTCTTTGAATGCCCTAACTTCAGCAACACCGGGTCCTGCAACATCAGGGGATGTAAGCTGCTCCATCGCGAGAGGGCAAGCGTCCTCCGAAACCAGGCCAAGCAGCGCGACGAAGCCGAGAACAAGGACGAGGACGTGTCGAGCGATGATGAGTCGGTTGATTCAGACGACGTCGACTCGGACGAAGTGGCCGAGTTTCTCGAGGCTGACTCTGACGACTCTGACTTTGAGAACCCAAAGGACTTTCTTCCTCTCTAGTCAAGTCACAAGAGTGTGGTCAGCAGATTTGGCAGCAGCCACTTGTTGTACATGATGAAGCCGATATGGTTTCGGCTTGCAGTCTCAGCTTGGTTGCGCCTTTATGAGATGCTTCTTTGTTGTTTTTTTATATAGCATGTGATGGCCTCCTTCCTTTTCGACGGCACCAGCAAGGCATCACGACGTCGATGATGACTCATATCCTTCTTTGTTATAGCTCTATTGCCAAGGGAGGATTCGTGCCAAAGATACCCTACCAGCTACTGAGCATTCTGATATTGGTTTGCGAGATTGCAACAAGGCAAAAAAGGTAAAAAAAAAAAAACATAGGAAGAGCGAAAAAGAATAGAGGGAGAAGAAGAAGATGAAGAAGAAAGTTGTCTGAGAATTGTCAGGAAAACAGCATGTGTTGGTAAAGGAAAGAAATGAATGAATAAAGAGCAGCTTATGAAGGCTTATGGATGCATATGGCGAATGATGTTTATTACGTGAATCTACTACAGCTTGTGTCGTGTTTGTTTTAGTTTCTCTCTTTCGAATCTTGACTCCTATAGGAGCCTCAATTTCACCCCCCCCCCCCCAGTCGCCAACAATGGAATGACACGCTCTACAGCACAGCACGTTCTTAGCGAACAAGGGCCCTGTTGAAAACATCACTGATCGACACCTCTAAGACTCCATGGATGGAGCCCAAGTCCAGAATTCAGCCCTTAAAAAAAAAAAAAGGGCCGCAAGCACCTATTTAACATCATGAACGTTGAGCTTCTTGATACCGTATATGGAAAAACAGACTGCTAAAATCGCATGTAATATCTAACAGGGTAGATGGTGCCCCTGCTCCCTGCTCCCTGCCATGAACCCAAACCTTGTTGAATGGAGAAGACGAAATAATACAGGCAAATTGGCTGCCAAGCCGACAAGGGGCAAAGCATTCTCTCACATGCCTATCTACATATGTTCTTCTCTCATCTCCCATCTCAGTCCGTATTGATCCTGTCAAATCCAAATCCTCAATAGTTATCTGAAAAAGTGCCATTATCATATATTTAAGGTCTTATATGACAGGGTAACCGGGACCCGCGACGGCGCCGTAGGTACATATTTTCCTCGGTAATATCCCCCGCCCTCTTTACCACACGGGATACATACAATTTCCAAGTGACTATTTGCGTTTCGTGTCCCTCCCTGTCGGATTCATACTGTCTGCCGGGAAAACCCAATCAATCATCGAATTCCAGGGGCAAACCCGGCGTTCCTTTTTAGCCTCTTGGACAACTCTCTTTACTCATCTGATCACAATCACGCTCCAATTACAACTCTTTAGTCTCCCTTCTGATTCGTCTTTTCTTTCAACACATCTGAAACCCAAGCCTCACTCGACCTCCTCCTCCTCCTCCTCCTCCACCCACAAACCACATCGCCAGCCATTCTTCAAACAACAGTGTGCACCGCCATATTATCCCACGCTCCAAAGCATCTCGATCCGGCCCATATATTACCACACAGTAGGTAGGTAACAACAAAATGGCAAAAGCCGCAAAACAACACGAATCTACCTTTTTTTTTGACGCTGCTCAGCCTCGCTCCAAGCCCACCCGACGACTCTTTTTGGCTGACTTGCCTTTTATAACGTTAGACGGGGGAGTGAGTGACAAGGAAAGTTTTCTAAATCTATTTTGGGATACCAGGGGGTTGTCATCATCGCTTTTGAGGAGAGGGAGGGGCTTTTACATATCATTCTCCCGTTGAGGCGGCGGCATCGTCTTTTTAACTTACAGCGACATCTTCACATCATCATCGCTTGCAACGATTTATACATACCTTTGTCTACATAGAGAGGGTGTTGTGCGTGAACTTGTTGCTTTGTTGCCCCTTTTCTGTTAGTTCCAACAGCAAAGAAAAAAGGAACAACGATCTCATCTTTGACTTACGTCAACATCTTCACTTCACTTTACACACCATGGGTCTGCGAGACGCTCTGAGGAAAAAGGACGCCATAGACCATGACCAAGGCCCCGACATCTTCGTGCGCTCCGACTCCGACACCATCACGCAGCAGTTCGCCACGGCGCCGGATCAACAACAGGGACATGAGCAAGCAGCACAAGGACTCGGCCAAGGCTCAGGCTCGCCCGGCTTCAACGACGCCCTGCTGTCGCCCGCCGCGTCCACCAGCGGCGAGCCGCGCAAGTCCCGGCGCAGCTTCGACTTCTTCCACTCGTCCTCTGACCGGCCGCGGAGCCCCTCGGCATCCTCCGCCACCAGCCAGACCAAGAAGGAGAGCACGGCCAGGCGCCTGTCGCACCGCCTGCACCTGAGCCGCGCCCCCAAGACGTCGGACCACGTGCCGCAGGACCTGCCCGAGATCGTCGTGCCCGGCACCGACGCCGGCGACAGGGAGGCCGAAGAGTTGCAGTGGGAGAAGAGGGCCACGATGCTGGCCGGCCAGAACGACCGCGCCAGGAGCCCTGCAGACGGCGCCGCCCATGTGAGCCTCGACGGTGCCGCTGCCCGCAGCCGCAGCGCGTCGACGCACTCTGCCACCGCCCCGGTCTCGTCCAAGCAGATCGACGCCGACATCCAGGAGGCCATCCGCCTGCATGAGGAGGGGAACTTTGCCGAGGCCACCAAGATGTTTGGGCGCCTTGCAGACGAGAACGGCGCCAACAACCCGCTGAGCCAGGTTCTCTATGGACTGGCCCTCAGGTGAGTGCTACCGTCTCCCGGATCCCCGATTCGCCCGTCTCAACTCTTCTCCTCACTTCCCATTCTGCGGTGGCGATGCAAAGCTGCTGCCGGGTGAAACTAGAAAGAGGGGGTGAAGAGAGGAGAGAAAGAGAGAGAGAAAGAGAGGCAAGTCTCCATCTCACCCCCTCCTCTCCTCTTCTCTCCTCGCCTTGATCCTCATTGAGTGCTTCTCACATATCACATCACCCCATTCTCCATTTACGTGACATGCCCATCATATGATTAGCAGACGATGAGCGAGAAAGAGAAGACCATGCGGAGCTAATACAGCCATGGCTTTTTCCCCCATAGGCACGGCTGGGGATGCACACCAGATCCTGAGCGGGCGGTTCACTATCTAACGGCAGCGGCCTCGAATGCTGCAGCCGTCGAGCAAATGGCCATCCAGGCCGGCCTGAAGAAGGGAGGAGCGGCAAAGGGAGAGCTGGTTCTAGCCATCTATGAGCTGGCCAATTGCTTCCGCAACGGCTGGGGCATCGAAAAGGACCCAGTCGCCGCGAAGCAGGTATGCAGCTCCGTCCAATCTTTGCGATATCAGGGGCTCGGTGGTTGGCTGCCGAGCTGCTTTCTGGACCGATTAGACACTAACCGAGCTCTGCAACGGGACAATAGTACTATGAGACGGCGGCGAACTTGGGCGATACTGGTAAGTAACACATGCGGCCCATTCTCTCCGGGCCTGAGTCTCGACTCGGTATGCTGATGAGTGACCAAAGACGCCATGAATGAGGTTGCCTGGTGCTATCTGGAGGGCTACGGCTGTAAGAAGGACAAGGTACGTGGACCATTAGTCAAGACCGAACAAAGTGAACATATGACTTGCCTTGGGGTTGCGCCTCGTGGTACGCAAGAGAGCCAAGCCTCAGTCAAGGCACAGTGGCAGCATCACAAGCTGTGGCTTGCCCAGTCGCCATCCTCCATGGCCTGGCTGACAAAGACCAAGTTGATGCCCAACGTCTCACCAGTGCCTCGGGGTTGGGTTCCCATGAGGACACAGCGAGCAGGCGAGGGCGCACAGGTCTTGTCAGGTCCAATGGAGGCATGGCCCAGGCAGTACTACTAGCTGTCTTCTCCCTCTCCCCTCCCCCACAGACTCGAATCCGTCACATGAAGCTGATGTTGGACCCCTTACTTGGGAGTAAATACAGTACACTGCAGCCCAGTATTATCGACTGGCTGAGAAGGCAGGCAACAAGACACTAGGGAACACATGGTAAGTCATCAACAGACTGCACCCATACTTGCCCATCGTGTCAGCTATTGGCGTGTCTGTGTGTGTGTGTGGGAGAATCCATAATCCACGGCTTCCGAGTGGCCGCAGCTCGCTTGCGAACCCATCCGTGCAGGCACAACCACACACGCGCTGCTCTTTGGCGGGATGGGCTGTGCAACAGCTGCGACCGTCTGCGGTCTCATGATTGCCTGCCAGTCGCTCCAGAAGGATTCGTGGTGTGCTACAAGTGCACAGTTCAGCTCCAATGAGACGACAGACGAGGGCTCTCAGAGGCGTCATAGGCTAACGGCTCTGCAGGATATGGAAGGAAAAGTACAACAAGAAAAATTAGGGAGGCTGGTGGTTACAGGTAGGCAGATCTCCCTCGACTCGGCGGCGCTCGATGGCGGCTCCTGGCCTTGATCTCTCTCTCTTTGCCCTCGGGCTTGTCAGTTCTCTCGTAATCAGCGTTTATAATTGGACACTCAAGGGGGCGCGCGCACGTCTTTCTTTTCTTCTCCTCACTGTTGCATTGCGTGTCCCTCTTTTGTGGCTTCAAACCAGCAAGTAAGAAAGCTGCATGGTGACCCATCCTGCGTCCTGCTACACATTGCGGGGTGCTGCTGCTGTGCCATCCGGAGGTGCGGACGCCGCAGCGTCCAGGCGTTGTGGACGGCTCATACTTACTGTAGCGGGCGATGGCGGCATGTAAGGTTGGATGTTTGCCTGTAGCATGCATGTGTGTAGCATGCATGTGTGGCTTGTGTCTTTGGATTGCAATGACCTGAAGGTGTATGGCCGTATGGTTGGATGACTGCAAGGCCATAACCGCTTGTTCATCCATGTGGGAGAGCATGTGTATGTGCGTGTGTGCCATATGCGGCCGGGGCCACTCAAACAGCCAGGACCAGTGATAACCAGTTTCACTCTGCTCATTCCCACAGCTGCTCACCAGCATCGATAGGGCAAAGGCAACGGAGGAGAGTGAGCTGCAGCTGTAGCCCGGAGAATTGGAGCAAATGAGAGCGCCGGCCGGCTGGCCATGGTCCTCCCCCCTCTTCTCTCTCTCTCTCTCTCTCTTTCCCTCTCTGCGGGCGGCTCTTTTACCAGCTTTGCCCTAGCTGGGGGACCGGATCGTTGTTTTGATGCCTGACTTGCACATGTATCGTATCGTATCGTACAGACAGACGGGCCAGGTGGTCTGAACGCGCATGATACATACATGTACATGATGTACGTGTATGTACGAAGCAGGCGGGCATCCTTGTATGTACATGTATGTATGTGTTGTTCAGCTGTCGCCGTGAGACTGGGTGGGAGAGACAAGGTAAACAGAGGGAGCAACTCCTCCTCTTTTGCTGCTGCTGTTGTGGAGGCGGCCGTATATCGAGGCCTAGTACGGAGGAGCACAAAGTGGGCTGGGTGGGAGAAGTGCTGCAGAACCCTGCTTTCCCAATTGAATTTTTTCGCTCTCTTCTTCCTGCCGTTGCCCGTTTGTGCTTATCAATGGCCATTGGGCTTTGGGTATCAATCCGTGAGTCATTTATCACATTCGAGTCGGCGTGCTGGCTGTTGATTTTGCTGGCAACCACCTCTGTTAGTCCCGGGTAAGAGGCATCCTCAATGGTAGTTGGGAGGTGTCACGGAAGGGGGAGGAGCTGTAAGGGACAAGGGACGGCTTTCTGCCGTCACTGACATTGGCTCTCTGTCTGACGGTGGGTAAGAGTTCTCTGAAGGTGCATGCACGATGCATGTGTGGGTGTTTGTCTGTGTGTACATGTATGCGGCCATGCGTATATGCGTCTGTGGATGCTGCTTCCTTTTTCATGTGCTTCTCATGTACACGAGATGTGACTGACTGGTTTTTTGCACGCTGATTTGCCGCTCGAGGTAGGGTATCTCTCACAGCAGACGCACAAAACGAGAGATACCTGTTGACATTGTGTGCCTTGGCCTGTAGTACCTGTAACAGCAGAAGCGGCAGCAGTACCCCGATGTTGGGCGTCATCAAGCTGGGCGGTCCTCAAGCCACTTTCTTAGCTTCCAGCGCCATCAGGATCGGCCCGTTGGGGGGATGGTGTAGCGTAGCGATGTGTCAAAAATCGATGTCGTAAGGTCAAGCGTGGCCGCCGGCGTCGTGTCAACAGAGGAGCCAAAATCAGAGACCCGGAGCTAAATCAGAAACGGGAGCCAGAGCCAGCCCCAAACGTCCCCCGTCTTCCAGAAGCGTGGCATGAGCTGTGCGCGCGTGCGAAAAGAAAATCATGCCCTCTCCTTGGGCCGCCGTTGCGTGTGGTGTCTCTGGATCCAAAACCCCGAAGGTGGTGGCCGCTATGGAAGGGGATTGGTCGGCAGCTCGAGGCAGATGATCAGTTCTTGCAGATGGAACAAGGCAAAAAAGAGCGCGAGCCCGATGCGCCGGATTGCGCCTCGATGGGCTAAATGGGATTAATGGCGAATGAGGTTGAGGAGAGGGGAAAAGCAAGGGAGGGAGTGCAGAAACTGAAGCCGAACTAGGGATTCTCGATTTCTCGGTCATGTTTCTCGTGAGCGGATTCGCTCCTTCCCTTTGTCTGTCGAGTGATGAACCCCGTTCCCATCAGGCAGGTACGGACAAGGCATACTTTTGGCTTATCTCATCTTATCCGGTTCATCGTATTGAGGAAGCAGCGCTCGTCCATCTCCTCATCCTCCCACTTTCCAAATCGAGAGGTCAGCATGATGGGACTCGTAGCACTAAATCTCGTGATGGCATCATCCATCTTCTCTCACTGACCAAGTCTTTCATACTGGTTGTGTCACTGGCAAGGAACGAGGCACACACACGCACACACACAACACACACCTACACAGGCTAAGCACTACTACTAGGTAAGTAGTACTGGGTAGCAGACAAGCAGAGTACGAAGTACATAGTAGCAGTAGCAGCACCAGAACATCATTGCCAGTAATGACGTTCCCGTCCCGTCCACGTTCGGCATACCTTTCTGAAGCAGCAATGGTACATGTACATAGCTCTGCGGCCACAAGGCCGGGGATGCATGATGCATGGCCATGACCACCACACTTCTCCTTCCCGTGTCCCTCTACAACATCACTACTACTAGTAGTAGTACCAGAAATCCCAGGTCACCACCACATTTGCAACGCCAAGTCCAAGTCCAACCAAGACTAAACGAAAACAAGAGTAGGCAGGATAACCGCAATGCCTCGTTGGCGGTGTGATGTCAACCCAATGTCCCCCCCTCCTCTCAATGTCCAAGGCCAGCCTCGTCTGTGCATGTCTTCAAGATCGAAGATTTTCCCTTTGCATCACTTTACTTTCACGGCTCGTCTCACGACTCCGCTGCTTTTGTTTTTCTTTTTCCGTTTCAGGTCTCGGGTAGATCTGTGGTGGTGGCAGCAAGCAGCAGTAGTGGCATTTTCCAAGGCATAAGGCCACCTGTGGTGCGCTGGATGCGGGACGTAGCAAACCACTTTCACCACATGTTGTTCCCTAGGGAGATACCTTGCTCCTAGTGGTGAGCAAAGGGTAGGTCGCGGCCCGTCGAAGCATGCAGGTTTCGGGTTCCTAGCCCTGCTCTTGGACACACACTCTCTCACGGCCAATCGCAATTGCATCATGCAACTTGCAACTTACTGTAGGTAGGGAAGATTGCAGGAACAGGTCGGTTCAAGACAGTCATAGTCACGATAGAAGCAAGCAATACGTTGATGAATGTAAGCTGGATATTCGTCCATGGTCACATTGAAGAGGCTATCTGAAAAGAAATATGTCGTCAAAACCCAGAGGCCATCATGTGGCTGCTCGTTCCAAGTGGAAAAAAAAAGGCTATGTCCAATATGCCGCCCAAACAAAGGAAAGCCACCCAGAGATCTTTATTTCAGTCGCTGTGGTGGGTTCTCAAGAGAGTGTCGGGTAGATGAGCCCGTTCCAGGTGCTCAATCTCGTCGTCGTCGTTCAATCTGATTCCATTCTGTCATCATTCTGTATCGACATGCCTCGTAGAAACCATTTCTGTCGGTGCTAGGTATCATCCCGCACGCAGATTCCCAATATCCGAAAAGCTATGCCTCTCAAAAGTACAGGCATGCACGGGACTGGGGCCCGTAGCACGCCTTGCTTCTGCCTGTGTCCTATGTCGTTCGACCCACCAGCCGGAGGGATCCAAAGGAGAAAAGAGAAAAGGAAAAGAAAAAACACACAAGGAAAAGACAATGAAGAAGGGAAACGCTGAAAAATCCAAAAGCCATCCAAAAAATATAACAGTAGGAAAGTAAACACAAGGAAAAGTCAAAAGTCAAATCATATCAAAACAAAATCAATCGCCAAGATAAATCAACGCTTGCTCGCTCGCTAGATAGATCCGCAAAGAAATCGTAAGAGACTCCAAAGTAGATGGTTTTCATGAGAAAGCGGTGTGTCCAAAAAAAAAAAAAAAAAAAAAAAGAGACAAGTAAACCAAGAAGAGGGGTGGTGAATGCGTGAGCAGAAAATCTCCAATAATGTGCATGTGGAAGAGTCGCCCTGAGCGACTCAATAAGAGGGGCCAGCCGGTCAATTGCTGGAGGGGCTGTAAGAAAAGAAGAGTGAGAAGGAGCAGAAGTTTGTCGAGAAAAATGAGAATAGAAGCAAAGACAAAAGGTAGAGTGAGGAGAGGTTTGATCGTTGCATTACTGAAGCCGTTTTCTGAATCGTCATCGTGAGATTTCGTGTTTTGTTTTTTTTTATCCTGTCTTTCGCGGCGGGTCACTGAAAAGCCATTCATGACCTCGCTTCGTTGCATTGCTGCGCATTCTGGGCACTGTTGCACTCAACCACCATCCTGGCAAAGTTGCGGACAACATCGTGGGGGATCTGGTCCCAGAGGAGAGTGCGAGTGTAGACCTCCGCGGCACCTGACTGCTTGGCGACCTCCCGCAGCTCAGCAAGAGACTGAGCCAAGTTCTTGCGAGCCTTGCTGGGGATTCGGCCAGCGGTGTTCTGGAGGAAGTCGTGGTCGCTGACTCCGTTGTACTGGGCGGCAGAGAGGGAGAAGATCTGCTCGTTGGTCTGCTGCTGCGAGGGCTGCATCAGGCTGTCGCCGAGCTCCACAAGCATGGACGGCGCAACAACGCCGTCGGCAGCCATGCCGGCCATGGCGCTAGGGCTGATGGGCTGGCCCCAAGAAGCGCCGGAAGGCTGGGGGGCAATGGCGTGCATGCTGGGCGAGGGGCTGACGCCGGCGTCCTTGAGGACGTTGTCGAGAAGAGTCGCCGACGCAACGCGAACATCCTCGGACACGCGAGGGATGGAGGGCATCGAGCGGCTCGACAGGACAAAGGCGCCCACGAGGAAGAGCATGAAGAGCAGACCGCCCTGGGAGGAGCTCTTGTCGGATTCCGAGGTGAAGGGGTTGTTGTCCTTCTTGGGGGCCATGGCCATGGGCGGCTTGACCTCGTCGGTGAAGTCGTTGAGGAAGCCATTGTCCCAGGCGCCGGCCAGATCCATGGACTCGTCCATGTCGTCGTACGCGCCGGAGTAGCCGTTGGCGTTGGGGGGCAAGCTGCTCTCCAGGCGCTGGACATGGTCGGTCAGGACGCCCACCTTCTTCCTCAGCTCACCGGTCTCGATAGTGTGGGTGCGGATCATCTCGTCCTTCTCGAGGGTGAGGGTCTCGATGTAATCGACGCACTGCTGCTTCTCGAGCATGAGCTGCTCAACCTTGGCCTTGAGGCTGGCCAACTCCTCCTCCATGTCAGTGATGACAACGGTGAACTGCTTCTTCTCGTCTTCCAAGCGCTCAGTGTGCTGCTTCTTGCGCTGTCGAGAGTCGAGGCTACATTTTCAAAAGTCAGCTTCATTGTCTTGAATAGCAAAGATGAGCTTGTTTTACTTACGCAGCCTGGCGGTTTCGCAGCAGTCGCTTCTGTTGCTTGAGCTCCTTGATCTCCTGCTCATCCGTCGACTGAGAAATCAACTGGTCGATGTTGCTCAAGTTGCGCTCGGCGGGAATCTCGAAGCGAGCATTCTTCTTCCGGATGCCATCGCCACGGCGCAGATCATTGTGCGATCGGATGGAGGGGCTGCTAGGTCGCATCTTCTTGGAGGCAGACTGGCCGTCTTGCATGACCTGGCCGTCTGCCAAAGAAGCGAACATGTTGGCCGAGGGAGGGAAAGGAGTGGGCGCGTGGATGGTCTGCTGGAAGATGGAGGCGTTGGCGTCAAAGTCCGTCGCCATGCCGCCGAAGCGCTGGAAAGGCGTGGCCGTTCCGGAGCCTCCGTTCATAGGCCAAGGGTTGCCCGAGGAGATGAAGGGGTTGGCAGAGTTCTGCTCAAAGCGCATGTAGGGGTTTGTGCTGTGCGGCTCGAAGAAGGGGTTGTTGGAAGGCAGCGACTGCATGTCGACAGATTGCCAGTCCTCCGTCTTGGGGGAGAAGAGAGGCCCTCCGATGCCGAACGACTCTCGCCTGCCGTCCATGGGAGGAGAGAGTTCCAAGCCCGAGTCCATGCCGCTCTGATCAATGAGGTTGTCATCAAGACCATTGGTGTCCTCTGCCTTGAAGTACTTCTGTTCGTGGCTGGCATCCATGGCCAAAGGCGCTGAAGAGTAGTAATCCATGATGAGGATGTGTGTGACTGTGTGAGAGAGCCGACAAGGGCGAGAGGTGGGGATGAGACGACGCGGAAGTCGACGTCAAAGAAGCGAAGGAGACGGTTGACGACCCGAGCAAAAAACGAGAGAAACAAGAAATAACGAGGACAAGGAGGAAGAAGCGAAACAAAAGCAAGAATACACAAGTCGTAAGGTGCTGATACTGATAATCTCCAACGAACGCGGATGTTAGCGTATGGCGGGCTTTTATTGACTGCAGACGAGCAGTGATGATGTGAGGCGGGGCTGGTGAGGGAAAGAGGGAAAAAAAACCACAGAAACGCGAAGACGATAGTTCAAGACAGCGTTAAAGAGACGAGCGGAGGGGGCAGTCGTGAAACGCAGAGCAGATGCAGGTCATGAAGTCGTCAAGCAAGCAGCGTCTGTGGAAGGGCAGTGAAGGGCGGATGCAGAATGTGGGAAGCGGGAGGGAGGTCGAGGTGATATAAGACAGAGGCTGTGGTTGGGCCTGTAGTAGTTTTGTGTGGGAGTGACAGGGTACATCGAGCGACAGGGAACAGCGGTAGTGGCAGAAACGGAGCAGAGCGCTAAGAGAAAGCGCTGTGGGGGGGTGGTTTAATGGAGTGCGGGAGAGGGGACGGGACAAAGACAGGCCAGTGAGTGGTGGTGGATAAATGGGAAAAAGTACATGTAAATACCTAGGTAGAGAGATAGAGGGGGGATAGGGAAAAAATTGAGACACATGCTGGGTAGAGTGAGGTGCTAGGGGGAGACGGTGCACAGGCGAGCGAGAGCGCCTGGGCCAAAAATAAATCCGTCGACGATGTCGGGATAAGGTGAGAGAGGAACAAAGGCAGAGTGAAGGTAAGGCGCAGGCGATGGAACGAATGAGTCAGGAGAGGAGAGAAGGCATTGCGGTATCCATAGTCATCGAATCGAGACGCTGATGGACGCAATAACGGTGCTGCTGGGAAACGGGACAATGGTGATGACACAGGACGCTGGGCAAACGCTCGTCGGCCACAGGACCTCGGGGGACAGCAGCACAGGGGAGGGGCCAACGGTCGAGGGAAACAAGGAACGCCAGAGGCTGAGAGAGGGCTGACTCACTGAACTGAAATCGATTGGACCGAAGCGAACTGAAAGGCGGTTTCGTAGCACAGAGCTGATTCGAGGGGCGCGGCGCTGCTGGACAATGCTTCTCTGGCTCTCTGCTGCTGGCACAAGCAAGGCAGAAGGAGAAGAGGTTGAAAGGCGTTTGATGTTTGGGATGCGGAACGAGAGCAGCTTCGAGGAGGAGGGGATATCGATTATATGTATTCGCGGGGCGCGGAAGAGTACTCTTGGTGTCCAAGAGGTACCCCGAGACTCTGAGAGCCCTCTGCAGATACCCATAATGACAAGAGATACTTCTGGGTACACATCGCTATCGGCTAATCGATTGGGTCGATAGAGCCATCGAGCCCTGCTTCGAGATCCATCGCTTGAGCCGGACAAGCTGATGCTTGCATACAAGCGAATACCTGCCTCTACCTGCATGAGACGCAAGAGGCAGCAGCAAGTGGTACCACCAAGGTATGTCGACAAGGCCGCTATCGCCGCAGCTGTTATCGACACGGGGGCTGCGTATTCCAGCTGCGAGGTGGATGGGCTCTGCCAACCAGCGTGCGTCGATTGGGCTCGATGGGGCTGAGGGCTGTTGGGCTCCTGGGTGTAATGTGTGTAATAGGTACACGCTCCTCCAACCTTCGGGCTCCGATGTATGTACTCTGTAGGTAGTGCATGTGTAGTGCCTAGCAGTGTACATACCGGCAGGAATGGGGAGGCATCGAGGTCCCGACCTGGACGAGTCCTGTGTGTGCTCGCGCTTGTCCGATTGTCGTGATGTTACTGCTCCGTCGGTCGTAGCGCAGAGCTCCGTCATCGTCTCATCGGGCTCCAGATGGGTCCTGACACCCCGGCCCGGCCAGTAGCAGGGGTCCTTTGAGATTCGGCTTTTCCAGATTTTTATTTGTGATTTTTTTCCAGATTTCCTTTTCTTTGTTTCCCTTGCCATGACTCCATACTCGGGAGACCTCGCGCCCGTGCCGATGAGAGGCGATGATGACTAAAGTCGTACGCCCATTATCATGAGCCGAGTGCGTACGTACGACAACTCGACTGAGAGCCCCCCCCCCGTGTGCTCATATCTGGCTTGGTCGGTCGGTAGGCTTGTTGTGGGCATACATACCAGGATATGGAGTACATTGTACGCATGTACGCCGGAGGTAGGGTGTTAGTACGAAGTACCGTATGTGTTATGATGCAGTCCAAGTCATGTCGCTGTTTCGCCGTGCTTTGTCACCCTCTGTGTCGCTGTCGTACTCTGCTCACACCACATCGAGGCCGGGTTAATCCTGGTCCCGGCTCCCCCAAGCTCCATTCCCCTCTATCTCATGTGGCATTCGGGATGGGACTAGCAGGACATCTTATCCTGTACCCTAATCGACTGCGACCTCTGCTGGTACTGCCAGGGAGCGGTTGTTGTATGTACTTTGTAGGTAGGTAAGTAGTCATCGGCCTCGGCATTGTCATCGCCAACAAGAGTGACCATCCACACACTTGATCGACCCCGGGGGGGAAGATGTCTGTCTCTTGTGACTCGAAACAGCCTCTACCTGCCTCAGGTATGGCCTGGACATGGAGGGCCGTGTTTGCCGCTCATCTTCCTGGAGAGGATCATCCTGGCCCGAAGCGCGCGAGGCGCATTTCGTCGTCACCATGGCCAGTCAGTCAGTTGAGCAGCCGCTCAGCCCACGACGCCATCGTCAACCCATTAACCGCCAGGTTGGAAAAAATACACACAGAGGCATAGAAGGCAAACCACCCTGGAGTCGACTTTGGCTCGCCTGGGGCAGCACGGGTCCTGGAAGAATGAGCTCCCCTAAACCTTGGCACATGGCTGAATCTGTCAAAGCTCGGGAAGCGGGCCATGACGGGATACCATCCGCGGCGCCGGGAGGGCACAATGCCAAAGACGGAGAAGAGCAGACACTCCATGACAGAACCAGCTTCAAGAGCTGCCGAATGAGAAGCTGCGGGAGTGTGCTAGTCCTGCGCCGCCGAGCGAATAGATTGGCAGGTTGGCGTTGGGCATGAAAGCTGCCCAACTCGACGGCCTCTCAGACGACCCCCCTCTTTCCCCCTCCCCCTCTTCTCTCTCTCTCTCTCTCTTCAAGGAATGGGCTGCTGCCCAGCAGGGCAGAGAAGCACTGGACGGCGTTGCTCGCTCCCGCACAACCCGAACCATGGGTGGACGCCATACCCGCTACTTGTGACCACTGCTCCGTTGAGAGGCTCGGGACGGGCCAGTAGTGTGAGTTGCGCCGCTCAGGCGATGCCTCTGCTAGAGGGCGACGGTGCCAGACGCCTGCTGTTTTGGCGTGCGAAGGTGGTGGCCATTCAATCAGTCAAACCACTCAGCCAGCCGCTTGCCAGGGGAGCGTCGATAGGGAAGCTGGTCGCCAAAATGGCCTGTCACATTGATACTGCGGCCTTAATCCTGATTGCCGCCTGGCCGTCGTCGCGATGAGCCCTCGCGCCGCGTCAGGCTGTTCAAAGCCCCTTCGCCTTTCTCCGCGCTTCGTGCGAGAAACGCCAACCCGAACCCCCCTTCCTCTCCTGTCTCTTCTCTTCTCTTCCCTCCATCGGACCATCGTATCGTATCGGTATCCGCCATGGATTCCGTCACAGGATGGCCAGCAATCGATAGGCAGATACCGGGCTGCTGCCAGGGGGGGTGTCATGGTGTCCATCAGGCGCGCAGTTGTTTGGCCTGGGCCAACTCATGCCTCATGTGGTTGGATCTGTGACAGGAAAGAAAGCCCACCCGGAGAGAAGAGCAGAGGTGGGCTGACAAGGTACCTCTGCACCAAAGTTTGGCTGATGAGGTACGGGCACAGATGGGGAAGGGTGGGCGCCATCGGACAGTGGACCAGTAGCAGCTTGCCAGGGAGGCCAGCGCCGCGCAGCACCTGATCTGCTGATTACGTGATGCCGGTACTTTGCAGCCCACGCTGGTGTGCGGCCGTAACAAGTACCCAACTGCTCCAGCTGCGGCGGGTGCATGACTAAGGTAACCGCTAACCCGAGGACGCTGGACGACACTCGCATGGGTGCATGTGTGTACTTGGTGCTAGTAGTAGCAGCAGCAGCAGCAGCAGCAGCAGCAGCACAAGCACGAGCATGTATGTAGTATGTACGAGTAGGGAGCGCATGCTACCAATTTAGAACAGGACCACTCAAGAGAACGTCATCCACTTTGCCGTTTTGGCGCTGCCTCGCATGCTTTAGGCAAAGCAAGGCCGCCGCCAATGCAATGCAGCTCAGCAATCGCACGGGGACAACACGTCACGATAAGCACCATGACGCCTTAGTCATCACTTATCGATTATGCCCCGTCTTTCTCCGGGTCTTCATCCTCCATGTCTCCGTCATTCGTCTGCCTCCCAACCTCCCTCGCTGTCTGTCCTGCTCATCATCATCATGCGCCATGCTGCCTCTGCAGTGGACCGTGGCTGGTGTATGCCTGCCTGGCCTGCCTGCCTGCCTCTGTCTTGCCTCCAACAACGGGCATTGGCCTGTGTCTGGCCTGGCTCGCGACGCTGCAGCCATTCAGGCGCTGACCTGGCTGCTCCACTGTGCCATGGCCGCATATGAGGCGGCCATGGCCACGGTCCGCACGACAACTCTCACGCGTTCTCCGCTGCTGGGTGTGGTTGCGACTCTGCCCTCTCTTTGGCTGTACTCGTGCTGTACTTGACGCGTGCGCGCTCGCAGACTCTGTGCCATTAGGCATCGACACGGCACACTATTTGCTGACTGTTAGGCCCCTCGACCTGACGCATCGCCAGCCCTCCTGCGGATTGCCTCTCTCAGGAGCCGCCTTGCTCTCGCGGCACCAGGCGGTCTCTTCCGTTTGGACTGCGTCGGAGAAGCTGCTGTGGTTCTGTGGAAAGTCCCCTACA